TCTATTTCCTATTGATTCCTCCGTGGTCTGGGCTGTATGATGGTTTCGGTGATAATCTTCTATTGTCTAGTTCCTATTGATTCATCCGTAGTCTAGGCTGTATGATGGTTTCGGTGATGAGTCTGCTGCTAATTGTCTATTTCCTATTGGTTCATCAAGTAGTCTAGAGCAAAGTATGATGGTTTCAGTGATAAGTCTGCTGCTAATTGTCTATTTCCTATTGATTCATCCGTAGTCTGGGCTGTATGATGGTTTCGGTGATAAGTCTACTGCTAATTGTCTATTTCCTATTGGTTCCTCCGTAGTCTAGGCTGTATGATGGTTTCAGTGATGGAGTCTGCTTAATTGTCTATTTCCTATTGATTCCTCCAGTAGTCTAGGCTGTATGATGGTTTCAGTGATAAGTCTACTGCTAATTGTCTATTTCCTATTGGTTCATCCGTAGTCTGGAGGCTGTATGATGGTTCAGTGATAAGTCTGCTGCTGGTGTCTATTTCCTATTGATTCCTCCGTAGTCTAGGCTGTATGATGGTTTCAGTGATAAGTCTACTGCTAATTGTCTATTTCCTATTGATTCCTCCGTAGTCTAGGCTGTATGATGGTTTCAGTGATAAGTCTACTGCTAATTGTCTATTTCTATTGATTCCTCCGTAGTCTAGGGCTGTATGATGGTTTCAGTGATAGAAGTCTACTGCTAATTGTCTATTTCCTATTGAGTTCATCAGTAGTCTAGGCTGTATGATGGTTTCAGTGATAAGTCTACTGCTGGTGTCTATTTCTATTGATTCCTCCGTAGTCTAGGGCTGTATGATGGTTTCAGTGATAAGTCTACTGCTAATTGTCTATTTCCTATTGATTCCTCCGTAGTCTAGAGCTGTATGATAGTTTCAGTGATAAGTCTACTGCTAATTGTCTATTTCCTATTGATTCCTCCGTGAGTCTATTGGAGCTGTATGATAGTTTCAGTGATAAGTCTACTGCTAATTGTCTATTTCCTATTGATTCCTCCGTAGTCTAGGCTGTATGATGGTTTCAGTGATAAGTCTACTGCTAATTGTCTATTTCCTATTGATTCCTCCGTAGTCTAGGCTGTATGATGGTTTCAGTGATAAGTCTACTGCTAATTGTCTATTTCCTATTGATTCCTCCGTAGTCTAGAGGCTGTATGATAGTTTCAGTGATAAGTCTACTGCTAATTGTCTATTTCCTATTGATTCCTCCGTAGTCTAGAGGCTGTATGATAGTTTCAGTGATAAGTCTACTGCTAATTGTCTATTTCCTATTGATTCCTCAAGTAGTCTAGGCTGTATGATGGTTTCAGTGATAAGTCTACTGCTAATTGTCTATTTCCTATTGATTCCTCCGTAGTCTAGGCTGTATGATAGTTTCAGTGATAAGTCTACTGCTAATTGTCTATTTCCTATTGAGTTCCTCCAGTAGTCTAGGCTGTATGATAGTTTCAGTGATAAGTCTACTGCTAATTGTCTATTTCCTATTGATTCCTCCGTAGTCTAGGCTGTATGATAGTTTCAGTGATAAGTCTACTGCTAATTGTCTATTTCCTATTGATTCCTCCCGTAGTCTAGAGGCTGTATGATAGTTTCAGTGATATAGAGTCTACTGCTAATTGTCTATTTCCTATTGATTCCTCCGTAGTCTAGGCTGTATGATAGTTTCAGTGATAAGTCTACTGCTAATTGTCTATTTCCTATTGATTCCTCCGTAGTCTAGAGCTGTATGATAGTTTCAGTGATAAGTCTACTGCTAATTGTCTATTTCCTATTGATTCCTCCGTAGTCTAGGCTGTATGATAGTTTCAGTGATAAGTCTACTGCTAATTGTCTATTTCCTATTGATTCCTCCGTAGTCTAGGCTGTATGATAGTTTCAGTGATAAGTCTACTGCTAATTGTCTATTTCCTATTGATTCCTCCGTAGTCTAGGGCTGTATGATAGTTTCAGTGATAAGTCTACTGCTAATTGTCTATTTCCTATTGATTCCTCCGTAGTCTAGGCTGTATGATAGTTTCAGTGATAAGTCTACTGCTAATTGTCTATTTCCTATTGATTCCTCCGTAGTCTAGAGCTGTATGATAGTTTCAGTGATAAGTCTACTGCTAATTGTCTATTTCCTATTGATTCCTCCGTAGTCTAGGCTGTATGATAGTTTCAGTGATAAGTCTACTGCTAATTGTCTATTTCCTATTGATTCCTCCGTAGTCTAGGCTGTATGATAGTTTCAGTGATAAGTCTACTGCTAATTGTCTATTTCCTATTGATTCCTCCAAGTAGTCTAGAGGCTGTATGATAGTTTCAGTGATAAGTCTACTGCTAATTGTCTATTTCCTATTGATTCCTCCGTAGTCTAGGCTGTATGATAGTTTCAGTGATAAGTCTACTGCTAATTGTCTATTTCCTATTGATTCCTCCGTAGTCTAGAGGCTGTATGATAGTTTCAGTGATAAGTCTACTGCTAATTGTGTCTATTTCCTATTGATTCCTCCGTAGTCTAGGCTGTATGATGGTTTCAGTGATAAGTCTACTGCTAATTGTCTATTTCCTATTGATTCCCTCCATTAGTCTAGAGCTGTATGATAGTTTCAGTGATAAGTCTACTGCTAATTGTCTATTTCCTATTGATTCCTCATTAGTCTAGAGGCTGTATGATGGTTTCAGTGATAAGTCTACTGCTAATTGTCTATTTCCTATTGATTCCTCCATGAGTAGTCTAGGCTGTATGATAGTTTCAGTGATAAGTCTACTGCTAATTGTCTATTTCCTATTGATTCCTCCAGTAGTCTAGAGCTGTATGATAGTTTCAGTGATAAGTCTCATACTGCTAATTGTCTATTTCCTATTGATTCCTCCGTAGTCTAGATCTAGGCTGTATGATAGTTTCAGTGATAAGTCTACTGCTAATTGTCTATTTCCCTATTGATTCATCCGTAGTCTAGGCTGTATGATGGTTTCAGTGATAAGTCTACTGCTAATTGTCTATTTCCTATTGATTCCTCCGTAGTCTAGAGCTGTATGATAGTTTCAGTGATAAGTCTACTGCTAATTGTCTATTTCCTATTGATTCCTCCGTAGTCTAGGCTGTATGATAGTTTCAGTGATAAGTCTACTGCTAATTGTCTATTTCCTATTGATTCCTCCGTAGTCTAGGCTGTATGATAGTTTCAGTGATAAGTCTACTGCTAATTGTCTATTTCCTATTGATTTCCTCCGTAGTCTAGGCTGTATGATAGTTTCAGTGATAAGTCTACTGCTAATTGTCTATTTCCTATTGATTCCTCCTGTAGTCTAGGCTGTATGATAGTTTCAGTGATAAGTCTACTGCTAATTGTCTATTTCTATTGATTCCTCCATTAGTCTAGGCTGTATGATAGTTTCAGTGATAAGTCTACTGCTAATTGTCTATTTCCTATTGATTCCTCCTCGTAGTCTAGGCTGTATGATGGTTTCAGTGATAGAGTCTACTAATTGTCTATTTCCTATTGATTCCTCCGTAGTCTAGGGCTGTATGATAGTTTCGGTGATGGAAGTCTACTGCTAATTGTCTATTTCCTATTGATTCCCTCCATTAGTCTAGGCTGTATGATGGTTTCAGTGATAAGTCTACTGCTAATTGTCTATTTCCTATTGATTCCTCCGTAGTCTAGGCTGTATGATAGTTTCAGTGATAAGTCTACTGCTAATTGTCTATTTCCTATTGATTCCTCCGTAGTCTAGGCTGTATGATAGTTTTCAGTGATAAGTCTACTGCTAATTATTGTATTTCCTATTGATTCCTCCGTAGTCTAGGGCTGTATGATAGTTTCAGTGATAAGTCTACTGCTAATTGTCTATTTCCTATTGATTCCTCCAGTAGTCTAGAGGCTGTATGATAGTTTCAGTGATAAGTCTACTGCTAATTGTGTATTTCCTATTGATTCCTCCGTAGTCTAGAGCTGTATGATAGTTTCAGTGATAAGTCTACTGCTAATTGTGTATTTCCTATTGATTCCTCCGTAGTCTAGAGCTGTATGATAGTTTCAGTGATAAGTCTACTGCTAATTGTCTATTTCCTATTGATTCCTCCGTAGTCTAGAGCTGTATGATAGTTTCAGTGATAAGTCTACTGCTAATTGTCTATTTCCTATTGATTCCTCCGTAGTCTAGAGCTGTATGATAGTTTCAGTGATAAGTCTACTGCTAATTGTCTATTTCCTATTGATTCCTCCGTAGTCTAGAGCTGTATGATAGTTTCAGTGATAAGTCTACTGCTAATTGTGTATTTCCTATTGATTCCTCCGTAGTCTAGAGCTGTATGATAGTTTCAGTGATAAGTCTACTGCTAATTGTGTATTTCCTATTGATTCCTCCGTAGTCTAATCTACTAACAGTTTGTCCTGAGCCTCCACAGACAGCCTGGTTCCGTAATGGCAACCAGAGAATGGCTATGTGACGCATCATTTAGAATTAGAATGTACAAACTGCCTCTTAGCTGATCAGAAAACTCAAATACTCACACAAGAAAGCTTCACGACTTCTGTAGTTATAGTAACCTGATTGTGTTTATTTGATATTTTGAAGAAAATGTCAGATGTTATATGTTAACTGGAATATAAATGTTAAGATATAGAAGATAACATAACTTATGCACTAAGTCTTGAAACTAGTGAAGATCTGGGTTAGAATTGGTCTTCATCAACCGATGCTTGTTGTAAGAGGCATCTAACATGTGGTTGGGATCACTGACTTGGTCCTTGTATCTCAATGGTATCAATCAATGCTCATGATGTAAATCACTGGATTGTTTGGTTCAGACTCGATTATTTACAGACTGCTGTCATATAGCTGGAACATTGCTGAGTGTGCACGACATCTCATTATATATTGTCGCTATGAGACAGTTCCACTGTACATTGCTCCAATACATATTATGCATGGATATTTCCTATAGAGTTGCTAGAGACGATGTTTCCCAGAGTGATATTACTGCATATGCTTATGTTACAGGACACATACGACAAGTCTGGTTCTCCTACGTACAAGTATTTCCCCAAACTGAGAGACTGGATCTCTCATTTCCTGGGCACCAATGGTGACATGACGGCATCCGAGGTTGGAAACAACCTGCTTGTTGAACAGGTACAAACTTTTTCCATTCGTGTAAATGAAAATAGTACTCTGATAACAAAATGACAAATCTGATCCATTTCAGTGAATTTTTGTTGAAAGGTACGGCCACGCCTTTAAGTTCACTCAGCCGGAAAGGCGTTAGCTTAACCATGATTTGACCTTTGCACAGTACAGTAAATTGAAACATTTTATCATCCTCAGAATTTTGCTTCCAAATGTTATGAAATTTAATATACCTGTAGCTAGTAATAAGGCCCAAAACTTTCAGTGTTTCATGATATACATTTTTACTCTTACTTTACCTCAGTACTTACATTCTCTGTGTGAAGCCCATTTCTGGTGTCCCCCACTGTGATACTGCTGGAATATTGCTAAAAGTGGCGTAAAACTAAACTCAATCACTCACTCACACACATTCTCTTGGAATTATTGTAAACATTACCTCCAGAAACTACTGGACAACTAAAACTTCACATGCTTTTCCCCACCACTGATGACCCCCCAGTTTGAGGATGTGATATTCTGTTCACCATGAGGAGTGATTGTTCTAGGTGCTGTGTTTGGTGCACTTCCTGGTCAAGTATGGCTTCTATCATAAGTCGGTGGACATCGAGAAGCTCCTAGTGCCACTCATGAGTCTACTGGATGGACGCAACGACAAGCCGTACCCCAACATGCAAGGTGGGGAATTATGTTTCATGAATATATCATGCAGGCAAATTGTTACCTAATGCCTACATACTTTATCGAACTTTATCAAAAATACCCTTTGGGATTTCTTATATATGAATTATGAGGTGAGGTGAGGTGAAGTTGGGTTTAACGTCGTGCTTGAGAATATTTTGCTCATATGACGACTTGCATGCGTGTGTATGTGTATGTGCGGCTGCTTGTACTAGCCCAGACTGAAGCTGGTTTTATAGTGCTAGCCCACTGAGATACCATGCCGCAGTGAAGCAGGAATACACCACTCAGACACATTATACTGACTCCCGAGCCGACCAGTCCTTGTTGTACCCATTAATGCCGAACGCCAGGCAGGGACCAACAAGTACCATATTTTAACGTCTTTTGGTATGACGCGGTCGGGGATCGAAGCCGCCACCTTCCGCTCTCCGGGCGGACGCTCTAACCACTACACCACGGAGGCGGTTATATGAATTATGATAAACTGCAATGAACCAAGTCAGCAAGCACAGTATCTGTGGACCTATTCTAACCTGGATGAGGTTTATGGGAAATCCAGTGTAGGGCTCATCTATGTTATAGTCACTAGAACTGATCATTTATGTAGATCAATAGACTCCAACTGGCATATGATTAAGGGATATCCATGTAATGGGTATATTGATATGTGTTGTAAAATCTGTTGTTCTTTTTAGGTAAAGAGGCAGAAGAAGTTTCGAAGTATTTCAAGAAAATTGAACGATTCAAAAGAAGTCCGGAGACAAAGGCCATTGTAGATGCCAAAATACAGTAAGTTGTCAGACAGATTGCATCTTGGCATCAGTGTGACACATCAAGTGACAACTGATGTTCCTTCCACAGGAGATATGGCTCAGTATTATCATTGTTTTTTACAATGAAATATGATTGTTGTTGTTGTTATTTATTGTTATTATTCATCGATGAAATGAGGACATTGTGTCTGATGTTTCAGGGCCCTGGAGGTGTTGAACCTGTTCTTCAACTTCATCTTCAACCTGAGAATGGAGGTATGTGTGTTGTGTAACCCTGCAGGGCACAGTCCCAAAATCAGTTGTAAGATTGAGCTCCTCTTCAATTTTGAAGCCCTGGACGACCCTTGTGAATGCTTTGACCGACACAAATTAACTTTTGTTGGACGATACTGGCACATATTAACACCCTTACTCACTACATGATTCTTGTTTTCAGAAATTCATGAACATGTTCAAAGTGACACACCATCAGTCAGTCCACACGAACATGCCCCAGCCAGAGTTATGGCCCTTGCTGAACGAGTCGTTTCAAATTGAAGGAAACCACAGGTAAGTAGTTGGGTACAGAATGGAACAAATGTTGATGCAATGAATTAACTTGTCCAGGGCGCTGTTGGGCAAAGCAAATTTAGTGTTATGGCTGTCTATATCTGTGTTAATAGTTTAATAACCATAACGCTAAGATTGCTTTGTGCAACCCACCCAGACAGATGTGTAAACCATATTTGCCATAGCATTACCCTCCTCCAATAAGACCCAGCTGCCACATTTATGACTGATAAGATAATTTGAAGATTTGAACAGCTTTACTAAGTTTCAAAGATGGGAATAATTTTACTAGTCTTTGCAAATGTTGAAAGAATTTACACAAGTTTTTAAAAAGTTACCCATCAGGATCCAGGTTAAAATTGGTCTTCACCAACCCATGCTTGTCATAAGAGGTGACTAATGGGATCAGGTGGTCAGGCTTGCTTACGTAGTTGACACTTGACATCGTATCCTAACTGTGTAGATCGATGCTCATGCTGTTTATCACTGGATTGGTTGGACCAGACTTAATTATTTACAGACCACCCCATGTAGCTGGAATATTGCTGTTTTATTGGGAGTGTAAAATAACAACCAACCAAACCAAACCAAATCTTTAAACATGCTGACGTCAGAGTTTCCTGATTATGTCTGCATTATGTCTTGACCAGTACCATGCCGCCCAGGTAATGTATGGTTATCTCCGGCAATGCACGCTGTTTGATACCTTCAGTTCTCACATTCACAGATTATACCATTTTGACATTTTATTGCTACGTTCTGAGGCATTTCCTTCAAAACTGCCTCCATTTTCCATTATATATTTTGTGTTAAATCTGTTCTGTTATTTGTGCAGAGTGCCATGAATTTTTGGTTTAAGACTTTAGTTTGATATCTTTTCTTATTTTTCTGATTGGCATGTATTGTCAGACTTTCGTGTGGGTGATACTGCAGTTTATTTTTTTTAACCACCTGATTTGTCATCGCGAATGCTACCACATTGTCTTTCTGTTTCTTGATGTCTTTGCATGGAAATAATCTACATCAAAACTCAATTTTACATATTTTTGTCCAACCTTGCCTCCATTTGACTATAGACTATAATTACTGCTCAACGTTTATTGTGAGTTTCCATTGTTATTAATTAGTTTGTGAAGAAAGAATTGGAATGTATGAATATCTTGTAGCCATTTGATTCCACATACCGTTCTCAAATGTTTTCCCTGCCGTACAAAAGACAGAAGATGCATGCCCGTTCAATCTTGTGATGGAGCCGCTACTGTTTATAAATTCTTAGTATTCGAAGCAGTGTGTGGTGTTTCCAAAATTTCCAAATAAAATATATGTATAGACATTTGAACAATCCTGTTTATAACATATGTAGTTATATTTTTAAAGGAAATATCCATAAACTGTAAACCACTGATTAATAAAGAGAACTGGCATTCCACAATGCCTTAGTAGTTGGCACTAAAAGTTGTTGCTTATCAGCCAGCAGTAGTTTGTGAAGTCATTGACATTACAGTGTTTCCGTTCTGCGGTATATACCTGAATATCGCCGGAAAAATTTGTTAGGGACCGATAAATTGAAAGCCAGCCGGACACTGTGTCTGGTAAATAATCGTGTATTAAAATAAAAAAAATCATGGGTAAGCGAAATGACAGTCTTGCCTGTGCTTTCATGGTCGCAAAAATTGTTATGTTTTGGAAATACCTAGGCTAAAAATAACTTTAAAATGAGTACTTACAGTAAGGTAATAGGATATGACCGGCAAATTTCATTCATGTTCGGTAAAATTTTAGGTCGCCAGACACAGTGTCCGATAAATAATTAAATCAGCGGAAACACTGCATTAAAATGTGGCAACATGAATGTGTCTTTGTTAAAAGTGTCTATTCAGGCCATTTTTAAAGGCCATGTATAACCTTATATATTACCAACATCAGCAGCCACAAGGTATAGATTTCTCTTGTGAGTTGTTGAAACACTTGGGATAAAAATAAGTGGTTTGTATGAACCAGGGTCCGAATCCACAAAGCATTCATAACATTACTTGTCTCAACTCTATAGTTTATCAGAGGCTTACGAATGTCATATTGTTACGAAAGCTTTGTGGATCAGTCCCCTGGAGTGAATAAATGTTCCAAGTAGTTTGTGCATCTTTGACATGAAACCATGGACAAACTTAAGGTGTGCCTTCGTAGATTTAAATCTGTGCACAGCCTCCCTATCCACTGCCAACATGAGGGAAGCTAAGGTAGAAGTTCCTCTAAGATTCATTAGGGGTGAAACAGTACGCTCTTACCACGGTACGGTACATATTGCGGTACAAGACCTTCGGTTCGGTTCAGTTCGATTCAATATATGAAATATGATCATAATGCAGAAAATTGATATATGGCAAAGAAATGCATAGATTTTGACAAAACGATTCGAGTTCTAGACATTTTAGGAAAGGTATAAAAAGGTTAAGAAATTGACGGTACAAAAAACGAAAATACAGAATTTTTGGATTGCAATACGGTATACTTATCTGTAGGTAAAATACCACGGTATACCGTTTCACCCCAAAGATTCATATATGCGATAGATATGTCTGAAATATTTTTATTGGTATAGAACTGGCTCGTCAAAAATATGTTTATAAATAATCACAGGCTTGTTTGCTTTAACATATCTTTTGTTTTTCAGTGTTTCAAAATCGGCTTTGAAGAAGCTGAAAGAAATTTTTGATGAAACTGCCTTCTTCAGGAATTATGAAATGACAGAGATTTTATTGGTAAGATGGAAACTGTTTTCACCAGTTTTGATGGTAGCCCAATGGATGATGTTGTTAAACAGTATGTCTGTGTTTTAATCTGTCATCTGAGGAAATCACTGCACCAAACACCTGTGTTGGTATGGTAACTGCATGCTGACATATCATACTATGATGTATGTATGTAAAGCCAGAAAACACCGTAGTGTAATGACCAGTTTGTTTAAGTGCCAGGCACCTATGATGGTATGGTAACTCCCGACATATCATACTATGATGTATGTATGTAAAGCCAGAATACAACGTTGTGTAATGACCAGTTTGTTTAAGTGCCAGGCACCTATGATGGCTCTTATGTTTGTGTATTGGCAAATAAATTGTATTGCAATATGTTGCGGTACAGACATCTCTAAGGCCATGCAATTCCATCATGTACGTGTAGATGCCAGACAGCAGTGATGGAGTGTTTGAGTGACAACGATACCTGGGTACAAGGAAGTGTCCTTAGATACTATAAACTGAGAGTCACTCATGAACCTTGGAGTCAGTCCTGCAAGTCATACACTCCCATGGTGTTAATGATGGTCTAACAGTGACTGATCAACTTACCAGTGTTACAATGTGATTTCCAATAGAATCCATTTGAATTCCAGGTTAGATTCTGTCCTAAATAACCTTTGCTGGTTGTAGGAAGCAGCTGAATGGATCAGGTAGTCCGACTTGGTTGGTTACTTGGAGTCATGTACCCAAGTGTGGATCATTGGGTTACTTGGTGTCATGTATCCAGGTGTGGTTCTTTGGGTTACTTGGTGTCATGAACCCAGGTGTGGATCATTGCTCACAACATAAATCACTGGATTGCCTGGTCCAGATTTCATTATCTAAAGGTCCCTGTCAAATAGGTGGAATATTGTTGAGCCACAGTCAGGTATTACTTCATGTAGCACTGTCTGTTGCAGGATTTGTCTCACTACGAGTATGATGAGATTGTCAGGTCAGTCAGGTATTACTTCATGTAGCTCTGTCTGTTGCAGGATTTGTCTCACTACGAGTATGATGAGATTGTCAGGTCAGTCAGGTATTACTTCATGTAGCACTGTCTGTTGCAGGATTTGTCTCACTACGAGTATGATGAGATTGTCAGGTCAGTCAGGTATTACTTCATGTAGCACTGTCTGTTGCAGGATTTGTCTCACTACGAGTATGATGAGATTGTCAGGTCAGTCAGGTATTACTTCATGTAGCACTGTCTGTTGCAGGATTTGTCTCACTACGAGTACGATGAGATTGTCAGGTCAGTCAGGTATTACTTCATGTAGCACTGTCTGTTGCAGGATTTGTCTCACTACGAAAGGTACGATGAGATTGTCAGGTCAGTCAGGTATTACTTCATGTAGCACTGTCTGTTGCAGGATTTGTCTCACTACAAGTATGATGAGATTGTCAGGTCAGTCAGGTATTACTTCATGTAGCTCTGTCTGTTGCAGGATTTGTTCACTACGAGTACGATGAGATTGTCAGGTCAGTCAGGTATTACTTCATGTAGCTCTGTCTGTTGCAGGATTTGTTCACTACGAGTACGATGAGATTGTCAGGTCAGTCAGGTATTACTTCATGTAGCACTGTCTGTTGCAGGATTTGTCTCACTACGAGTATGATGAGATTGTCAGGAAGTCCATGCACCTCCTCAACAGGTACTTCTCGGCCCATCACAATCTGTTCAGTCGAGCTGTACAGGCACAGGTAGGTACAACACTTCTCTGTAGACCTCTATTGTTATATAGTGGACCCTGGCATTCCCAAACAAAATACTTTCTTGTTGTATCATCAGTATTACTGCAAACAAACATGGCAGCTGATTATTTGGCATTACATGATAAATGGGCAGTCCAATTAAATTCACACTGTTTATGATAGGCTACTTCAATTTTGGATTTAAGTCTTTTCAATTTTAACTATTTGATAATTAAATTATATATTTAATTTACTTCCGTAACCTGGGTCACATAATGGAAACAAATTTCCAAATATATACTCATAGAAACAATTAAGGGAACACATGAACGTACAAGTGAAGAAACCTGGAAAAGAATAAAGGAACACTTGTACTTTCATGTGTTGCCTTATTTGTTTCCATGAGTATATTACTGAACAATAGTTTAGGCTTATTGTCCCCACCGCAACACGGAATGGGCGACTATGTATTCAGCGGCGTCCGTACCTACGTCCCGATTCTTGTTAATGCGATATCTCATGAACTGTTGTACCCAATGTCTTCAAATTTGGTGACAGCCTACATTGGGGGATTCAAGGGTCACTCAGGTAGCAATGATTATGGTTTCAAATCCAGGTTTTCCCTGAGCATGTGTGTAGATTATTGGCCCAAAAAGTTTCATTTGCACAGTGTTTCTGTAAATATAGCATGGAGATAGATGTGACATCATTCTTGATCACGTGACTACAGATGGAACACTTGCTTCCATGAAAACTGAACTGTCAGTTGTGGTAAAGACCTCCTGAATTGACTGCATTAAATACTGTTGTCGTTGATGCAGGTGCTGATCACAGATAAATCGGTGGACATCGTGAGGCAGCTGGAGAAGTTGACATCGTGAGGCACACTGGAAGTTGCTGTCTCGCTCGCCACGCCAAACTCTCCATGGAACAGACAGAGGAACTGTCTGCATATATTGACATCCTCACTGGGTAACCACTCTATGTTCATCGCAATAAGACACTCTATGATTTATCTCAATAAGGCTGCTCTTATATTTGTCTCAGTAATACCACTGTATTGTGTCTCAATAAGCCCTAAAAAAATTCATCTCAAAAAGTACACTCTCTGTGAGTGCAGATATACTCATCATGGCTTTTGCTCAGATTTCTCACTTCACAACCTAATTAAACCATTCCAAGCCTCACATCATCTAATACACAACAGATGGTGCTTAGATATTACCCAGACAATATGGCTGGGAACTGCTTGGTTTCAATGTGAAGTGTTTGTTTTTGATGTGTCTGATGTGTGTGTCTTATGTCTCACCTGTGTCTGATCTGCATCTCACCTGTGTCTGATCTGTGTCTCACCTGTGTCTCACTTGTGTCTGATCTGTGTCTGATCTGTCCCACCTGTGTCTGATCTGCATCTCACCTGTGTCTGATCTGCATCTCACCTGTGTCTGATCTGTGTCTCACATGTGTCTGATCTGTGTCTCACCTGTGTCTGATCTGTGTCTCACCTGTGTCTGATCTGTGTCTCACCTGTGTCTTATCTGCGTCTCACCTGTACAGGATGTGTCACCTGGAGGGAGAGACTGAGGAGAACCACATGATGAACCAGAACGTCCTCTACAACCACGGTCAGTAGCTGCTTCATTCTGGAAAATATACACATCATTGGTCAGAGAACATTTCAGAGAAACCAAACACACCTTGCTCTGTTTTCCCATTTAATTATAATGTTTATATGTCGGTCTAAACGTCTGTAATTCTGACATTTTTTGGTTCACTTTTGAAACTAACATCCATCATTGTCTACAGTATATTTTTGGTGTCATTTGCAGTGATTAATCACCGAGTTGCCTGAACATATCATTGTTTGTTATTCTGGTATTCCTTTGATCTTGCAGGAGTGCTGGAGGATTGTCTGACCATTCTGTCTCAGGAGATCGACGTCAAACTGCTGGTAACATAACACACACCATGTTTGTTAGGCCTTGTTGTCTGTATGTAGCCCATTTAGGCATCCTTGTTAGAATAGCACCCCAGGAACATATGCGTGTCCGGTTTGAAAGGAGAATCAAGGGATTCTTGGTTCAAGATACAATCACTCAAATAAAGTTGAGATGGCACTTCGTTGACCTAATCCAACATAATAACATTTAAGAAATACATTATGAACAAACCTTTAATAATTACCATATCAATTATATTCGTGTATCTTGAACAACAACAATAATCATTATATGCCAAGTTGTCGGTGGTCGAAGTCAAATGTTCCAATTACTTTCTTGGAATTAGTGAGCGAGCATGATCACGTGACTGCCTTTTACTTGAGTGCTGAAATAGTAAGGTCATAAACTTGTTAAAAATCATAAAACAAGTTAGCCCTTGTTCAGATTGGTGTTGGCCCATTTTCTGAAATCGGTGGGCCGATTGGCACAGTTCTGGGAAAAGTTCTTAAGGCTTATTCATTCAATCATTCCATGTTTCGATATTTTTCGTCATTTCATCAAGTCCGTCCCAACTTTACAGGACCAGTATGGCGGACTGAGGCAGGTCTTCAAGAAGACCTTCACCCTACTCAAGTTCATGGCTCGCAACAACAAGCAGGTTCAAGGTCGCTTGTTTGACGTCTGGAGATGCTGTTGTCAAAGGATGGTGCCCCAGCAGAACTCGCGGATTGCATCACAGAGGTGAGTTGGGGACAATTCATTATACCCCTTGAGGATATGACTTAGATATCCTGATTTAGATATCTAAAATACAGTTTGTACCTGCACAAACTCACTCCGTGTCATTTCCCTGCAGGTGTTTACAGGTAACTCCAACACCTGTATGAAGATCTACAGTCACCAGGTGCAGAAGATCATGGGTCTTGTTGCCAAGCACCGATCTAGGGTTCCACAGTTCCTTGACCTTCTCAATGCAATCGTCAAGGTCGAGGAGCTTGACCTTCCACTCAAACGGAACCAAAGTTACGTGATGACCTACTTCATGCAACATAGATCAGACATTGCAACTGTCATCGATCAGTCAGAAAGTGAGAGGTAAGAGTTGTCTACCTTGAACATCTACTTTGGATAAGACCGACTTACCCTGTTTAATTTCATTTTGTATATATTTTGAGAGTGTTATCCCTATGAGATTTGATATTATACATACCATATGAGAAGAACAAACATTGTATATTACTTGGCTTTGGAGAGTATGTATGTTTTATTTCTTGTGTAATTTTCATGTTTCTTGGTATAATTATGCAGCATTCTTGTTTCAGTCAGACAGAAGGTATTAAAGGTTGTCTGTTTCTGTTGATATAGACCCTCAATACTTAAGTGAGTGAGTGAGTTTAGTTTTAATCCGCACTCAGCAATATTACAGCCAGATAGCGGCGGTCTGTAAATAATTGAGTCTGGACCAGACAATCCACTGATCAATAGCATGAACATCGATCTGCGTAATTTGGAACCGATGACATGCGTCAACCAAGTCAGTGAGCATGACCGGCCAATCCTGTTAGTCGCCTCTTACGACAAACATGGATCAATATTCTAACCCAGACCTTCACGGCTACCCTCAATACTTGAAGACCATTAGTTATAATTTGTTGTAAGGTTGATAAATATCCATATTCATGGGACCAATTCTTGACAAAATCTTAGGTGGTGTTTTTTCTTGAAATCAGTCACATCATCTGTCAATTTTGAAAGATGAAATATGAAAAGCATAAAATAGTTGTCATTTTGTTGCAGAGAAAAGATTCTGGTGTCATCTGGATCAGAGGAACTGAACTATCTGATCGCCATGGTGGACCTGCTGGCTACCTGTGCTGAGGTGAGATGGAGTTCGGTTGAGCATATGATCTTCATAACACTTACTTGTTGCTCCAGGTGGAATCAAAATTAGATTTTCAGTAAGACTGTGGTAGGATAGAATCATCCTTGACATCCTTTCCTTGTTGGGGCGGTGGGGTAGCCTAGTGGTTAAAGCGTTGGCTCGTCACGCCGAAGACCCGGGTTCGAATCCCCACATGGGTACAATGTGTGAAGCCCATTTCTGGTGTCCCCCGCCGTGATATTGCTGGAATATTGCTAAAAGCGGCGTAAAACCAAACTCAGTCAGTCAGTCCTTTCCTTGTCAGCTAGCAAGTCCTGTGTGTTTGAATTTTAATACATTTTTGTTTGGTGTTCGACGGTATATGCCTACATAGCTGGATAGAATAGTCCCACAGATGTGAGTCCTGAGTAATAGGGTTCAAACAACATTCCTTCTGATTTAAGATCACACGCATGGTTCACATGACCAACAATGTTAACCTCATCAGCAAGCTGACAACATAAATCAAGCTTATCTCCTCCTATGATTGTGAGGGGCGATGGGGTAGCCTAATGGTTAATGTGTTCACTGAAGACTTGGGTTCGACTCACCACATGGGTACAATATGTGAAGCCCATTTCTGGTGTGATATTGCTAGATTATTGCTAAGAGTGGCATAAAACTACCCTCACTCACTCACTTTGATGGTGACGTTTACTAGTCACATGATAAACCTGATTGTGAAAGGCTTGTCCTTATATTCTGACAGATTTATCCTTCCTTTACTTCCAGGGTGAGAACCGCTTCATTGAGTCAATCTGTCAGACCATTTTCAAAATCCCAGACCTCCTGAAGGTGCTCAACAACAGCATGATCAACGACAACCTCAAGAGACCATTCCTCCGCTTCCTGCTGTGGGTGTACATGAATACCGCCAGCGGAATGATAGAGAGCGGAGCAGGAGACCTGCCCCACGACAGGTCAGTTGTCAAAGGGGATGATTGACAAGCCAGTGGGACTTGACTAGCCTGATGACATTTCAAACAAGTGAACATGAAAGGGGTATTGCAACAGCAATCTCATTTGTAAGGGGTAGCTCTGATGGTGTGACAGGGTGGGGCCTGGGTGTGGTACGGTAGGGCAAGCCTGTACTGGTTGTGGGAGGGACTGAGATGGCGGAACAGGGTGGGCAGGCAAGAGGGGGGTGTCCCAGGGTGGGACCTGTACTGGTTGTGGGAGGGACTGTGATGGCGGAACAGGATGGGCAGGCCAGAGGTAGGTGTGACAGGTGTACTGTGTGCAATTGTATCTCTCCAGTTCGCATTTAAGCCGACTTCCAATAACACCAAACACTCAAGACACGAGGCGGGTTGCTTGCTGCTTCTCCACATCATGTGTAGACCTTTTTATTTTCAAAAACATTCCAGCGTACAGACTGCGCATGTTCAGTTGTATGCAAATTGGGTTAACACAAAACCATATAACCCAAAACAGAATGCGATTGATCATTACAAACATTACACCAGGGTGGGACCAGGGTGTTGTTGGGTGGGACCAGGGTGTTGTAGGGTGGGGCCTGGTGTTGTAGGGTCGGACCAGGGTGTTGAAGGATGGGACCAGGGTGTTGTAGGGTGGAGCCTGGTGTTGTAGGGTGGGGCCAGGGTGTTGTAGGATGGGGCCTGGTGTTGTAGGGTGGGGCCTGGGTGGAGCCAAGGTGTAAGAATGGGGCCTGGTGTTGTAGGGTTGGGCCAAGGTGTTGTAGGGTGGGGCCAGGGTGTGGCCAAGGTGTAAGGGTGGGGCCTGGTGTTGTAGGGTGTGGCCAGGGTGTTGTAGGGTGGGGCCAGGGTGTGGCCAAGGTGCAAGGATTGGGCCTGGTTAGTAGGGTGGGGCCAGGGTGTTGTAGGGTGGGGCTTTAGTGGTTCCAGGATTGGACTTGGTGTGGCAGGGTGGAGCTTGAGTTGGGTAATTTTTTTGTCATGATCGAATTGCCCATTAAACCCATCTCACTCACTCACTCCACCTTCAGGAATCTGTGGGGGTACCTGGACAGTTTGAATGGTGCACTGAAGAAAGCCACAGACTACGCGATGGCCAACCCAGACCTGGTCAAGCAGCTACTCAAACGCCCTCCAGCTAAGAGGTATGTAGTACACCCAACACACTGCCACCTGACGAAGATTTATGGCATCCCATGAAGGGACATTGTTTTGATATTGATATACAGATACGTCAACCATTGGGATCATGTCAGTGTTTGGAACTAGATGACAAAAATACAATATGGATTAGGAATTTTGAGGTCCCAATAAAGACCTGCTGGCAATTGTAGCCCAGTATCTCTGTCCTGGAGAACTCTCCTTGCCTTGAAGATCTGGGTGCCTATTCTCGAAAGTGTCCCAGCTAAGACAGATCCTAACTAGTTAGGGGAGGAGTTAGGACATCCTACCGTTAGGATAAGACCCATTCTCGAAACGATCCTATCCCTGTCCTAACTTGAGCTACTGATCCTAGCTAGGATAGCGAGCTCTTCAGTAGGTGAGATAGAAAAACATTCATTAAGTTGGGGATTCCCCTAAATATGATTCATTCCATAAATAACACATATACAAATAACATTTTTACTTCAGAGTTTAAAAGTCTGCCAAAAATTCAATAAGATATGTGCAAAAAATATTTTCATTTTATTTGTTTTTTATGAAAATCATGGCTTGAACTGTCATTATGCGTCATCTCACAAACTCAAAATTCACCTAGGAAATAAACAGGAGTTACTTCCCCTATTGACATTGACATTTCATGGCAATGTGACAGAAAAGAGAAATGTTGTGAATAAAATGGGATAGAATAGGTAAGAATTGAACAAATCTCCTTCGTAGATCTAAAAAATATGTGCATTGCAACAAGTGTGACTATTCATAACCGATAAACTGATAATATATACATAAAAAGCTCTTCTTAACTCATCAAAACTTTTGGCTGTTGTAAATTCAATTGTAATTTAGGCGAGTTATTTTGTTTGACGTCAAAATTGGTGAACAAACAAGAACCACATCATGTTGACTTCGACTAAGATAGACATAGGACAAGTCAGAACCTATCCTAGTATTTGTCCTAAGTTATGGTATACTGGTGCTAGGATATTTTTCGAGAATAAGGTAAGACACCTGTCCTAGACCCTAGAATCAAAGTTAGGACATCCTAGGGCTAGGTTCCTTTCGAGAATAGGGGCCCTGGCTACCATTGTACAAAGCAGCCTTATTTCTAGGAATGTCATATGGCTGTGTTAAGGGACTAGGGGGATTGTTCTATGGATATTCAACAATCTATGCTACATTTCGGTGTGGATGCTAACACCATTATCAGGCAAATGCCCCACAGAGAAGTTTTCTTAAGGGATTTACGATCACCTAACACTAAGATTTGAATTTGTCTTCAGCATCCCATGCTTGTCGTCACACAAAACCTCTAATACTGTCTTCTTATATGTCAGAACCGACGTGGCTGATGTGTGTCATTGTGTTCCAAAACTCATTATGTCAGTCACTGGATTGTCTGGTTGTAACTGGAACTGTACTATGGCTGGAATATAGCTGACTTAAGTGTGTTACATCATTCAGAGAAACATACCTTTGATGGTTCTTAAGACTTGTGTTAACAAAGTTTCGTTGGACATATCTATATACATATATATATGTATATACCTACATACTTCTTGTTGCATGTTTTATTTTCGTTTGATGACAAATAAATGTATGTCTTTTAGAAAGTGGTTAAATGTAACAAATGGTACTGAGGATAACGTTTACTCTGTAAAGTAAAGAACTTCTTATACTTTTGGGTTTGCATCCTGTCCAGGATTAAAACTACACTCTTGGAGTGAGGCACCTAACTGGCACCACAAGGGCCATGATGTAACCCACTCAGCGCCAAGACTTCCACAAAATGTTACATTTGACCACTTTCTGAGATACATTGTGTATTCATATTATTTTATTGAATTGTTATTCACATTTTCCATGCACATGGCTCTTCCTAAGTATCCAAATTAATGAACACCTCACATATTTTGTATTTTGTTTCTATTTTTCTTGTGATTTTATTACAGTACAACTGCTAGAATTCAAACAGCCAGAGGGTAATAAGAGTTTGAAGGATGGAAATAAAAAAACTAGATAGTTTTCGTTAAAGTACATAATGTTTGACTACCAACCCCACCCCAAAGTTGACCCACCATGATAACCCATCCAAGATAACCCACCATAATAACCCACTCAACCAAAATAACGAGGTTTTCAAAATACTACCAGTAACCTGTTTACCATCATAATTTGTAATCCTATGTTTTAGTTAGACATCTTTTTGTAGTTCTGTCATAATTAATGAAGTCAGTGAAATATTTTTCTTACTTTGTGACCATAATAAACTTAAGATTAATAGGGCGGTGGGGTAGCCTAGTGGTTAAAGCGTTCTCTCATCACGCCGAAGACCTGGATCCGATTCCCCACATGGGTACAAAGTGTGAAGCCCATTTCTGGTGTCCCCCGCCATGATATTGCTGGAATATTTCTAAAAGCGGCGTAAAACCATATTCACTCACTAAGATTAATAGGATGGCAAACGTCTACTTCGTTTATATATACCATGAAAATAATCAGTGAATTTGAAGGGGCAAATATTTTGGGAATTCCAGCAACCTGAGAAAATACATTTCCTTTCAAGGTTCAAGTTTGAAATAGACATGCAAACCATGGCAGATTATCAATGTCATATGAAAAGTCTGGAGTTCTTTCAGGAGCATAATGCCATCAGGTTTTAGGCCCTAAGACTTGGTGCTAAGACGATCACAGATTTATGACAAACATAATGCAAAATCACCTTACAGAGCTTTTTAATAATCATTCTTCTGTGGGTTCTTGAGGTTTTCTTATCTATTTTCAATCCAGGATTTCCTGAAGCTTTTATTATTGACATTTGGTTACGACCATTCTCATTCATTTATGTCTCACTCAGGGGTACATGACAATTACTTTGAAATGTTGAGTAGTATAGACCTTTTTTTGTTTGCTCTTCCAGGAATGCAACTTGGTTCTAGTTCAGTGTCTGTTTGTCTGATATAGGTAGTCTGGGGGGCTGGTAAAATTGCAGACAGACAGACTTTTCAGGCCTCTAATTGTTTCATGTCAAGTTGCATTCCTGTATTTCTTCTTATGCTGCAAAACTGTGACTTCCATGTGTGCACTTTCTTTGATTCAGCGATGGGAGTAGAGGTGACGGGGTTGTAGACGATTTAAACAGACGGTAACATTGAATAACCATGTTTTGTGTGATGTGTGTGACGGCCTAACCAATATTTAATCAACAAGTTAATCTGTGTGTGTTTTGAAAGACTACTAAGTTTAGATCAGACTTAGAATGGAGGCACTGTATTTAAATTGGGCTCACTTGCAGCTGATGACATGGTCTGGCTGCCCTTGCCTACAGTCATACCTACAACCAGGCTTTAGAACTCACAGTACTTACTGCATGATTCCCTGCACTGGTCAGATGTACATGTGGTTATAATGCTTCACTTTGGAGGGTTTAAGCACAATTTAATTGCCCATTTACTCCTATTAAATACACTAGTATACATGTTTAGTAAATAGGCTCTATTAAACTGACAATGTATTGCTTGTGCAACAAATGCAGGTAATATATTAAATTTGACAAATCAAAATGGTGGTAGATTTTGAATGACTTTTCCCGTACTGTAACTGTACATTGCTGTAGCATTCACAGGTAAAAAGCTAGTCTAGCTTTCTTTGTTCTAATCTTTTTAGGGTGGTGGGGTAGCCTAGTGGTTAAAGCGTTCACTCGTCAGCGAAGACCGGGTTCGATTCCCCACATGGGTACAATGTGTGAAGCCCATTTCTGGTGTACCCCGCCGTGATATAGCTGGAATATGGTTAAAAGCGGCGTAAAACTGAACTCACTCACTCACTCACTCACTCTAATGAATCTCCTGGAAAAGATTGTTTAGCCTAATGCTGTTGCCACCAAAAGCTTTTACAGAAAAATGAAAGAAATTATTCCATAAAAATTATAATTTGATCTGCAATTCTTGACTGACCAATGAACAGATCACTTGATGCAGTGCAAACACTGCATGACAACTCACTGTGTGTATCCCTGTCTGGGTGGTTTAGGGTAGATGGTAGATATGGAGGGCTGTTCCGGGTGAGGCCCTGTGAGGGTGGAATAAGTACCCACAACTAGAGGTGACTGACTACTGGTTAGATGGTCAGATTTGTAACTTGGTTGATATATGTCATTATACCCCAGTGGAGTCGTGAGGCTGCTCGCAACTGGTCTGGCCACCATAAAATAACTGATTCTATGCTGACCACAACATGAGATGTCTATAGTTTGTATGTAGTCCATGACAGTGTATACAAAACTTGTGAAGTATTGACAAGAATATATGTGACAGTGATATATTTTTAAGAATGCTTTAAACTGATATAAACACAGCTATTAACTGGTATTGTTATTTGTTCTGAAATCAATTATTTAAAACTAAAATTGGAAATCTACTTAAATGTTCATGAACCAACCTGTAGAAATATTTTATTAATTGCTTTGTGCTTTGTCCATCTTTACTCCAGCTTATTAACACTACTGGTGTGTTAGCATCAATAACTAATCTTAATTCATGTACTGTACATGTCTGTTTTGTTGATAACTTCTTGAATAACGTCAGTGTCGTTACCCCTTCCTTGTTTGTCACAAAAAGTTAAAGGATTAACCGACAGCTTTTACTGCTATTACTAGAGTTCTCTTTTAAGTTAATTCTTTAATTTATTAAATCTCTACATGGATGGAAAATTTAAAAAAAGACTTTTCCGTTCTCTTAATTTTCATTGTTATTAATACATTTCTTATTTGAATTAATATTTGTTTTTAGTCTACATGGTTGGCAAATTCATGAATTGACTTTTATGTTTAAATCATATATTTGTGATTATTTACATTGTACCATGGTATTATTTCACATGTATTTCTTTATAAATATAATGTTTTTATATCAGTACTTGTATTTTGACAGAGAACGGAGCCGGTCTGGAGCGGAAGAGATGAGAGGAAGTCTGCACTATCTGTTTGATGCTGTCATGCCATTCCTGCAGGTGAGCTACTGTACCTATGTTCAGTTCTGTAGGTGATGTCCAAAATTAACACCACATGGCTGATGCTCATGGTAATCATATAGATATGACTGTTACTTCGAAGAGTGTTCATCGATCATTTTCCCTTTGAAAGGATATTCATGTTTCATTCTGGGCTACTTGTAGTCTGATACCTTCCTTTTCTGAATCATGGATTTCCATTATTAAAGACTCTCTCTGGTACAGGTTTTCTGCCACTGCTATTTCCACCAGACACCTGTCTATATAAAAGACTTTCTCTGTTACAGGTTTTCTGCCAGAGCCTTTTTAGGTCCAACACCTGCCTATGATAAGGACAAATGCTGTTACAGGTGTTCTGATGAAGCTACTTCTAGCCAGACACCTGCCTATATTAAAGACACCCTATGTTACAGGTGTTCAGACACTGCTAATTCCAGCCTGACACCTGTCTATATTAAAGACACCCTATGTTACAGGTGTTCAGACACTGCTAATTCCAGCCTGACACCTGTCTATATTAAAGACACTCTCTGTTACAGGTGTTCTGATGAAGCTACTTCCAGCCAGACACCTGTCTATATTAAAGACACCCTCTGTTACAGGTGTTCCGACACTTCTATTTCCAGCCTGACACCTGTCTATATTAAAGAAACCCTCTGTTACAGGTGTTCCGACACTGCTACTTCCAGCCTGACACCTGTCTATATTAAAGACACTCTCTGTTACAGGTGTTCTGATGAAGCTACTTCTAGCCAGACACCTGTCTATATTAAAGACACCCTCTGTTACAGGTGTTCCGACACTTCTATTTCCAGCCTGACACCTGTCTATATTAAAGACACCCTCTGTTACAGGTGTTCAGACACTTCAACTTCCAGCCCGACACCTGTCTATATTAAAGACACCACCTGTTACAGGTGTTCAGAGACTGCTACTTCCAGCCTGACACCTGTCTATATTAAAGACACCACCTGTTACAGGTGTTCAGAGACTGCTACTTCCAGCCCAACACCTGTCTATATTAAAGACACCCTCTGTTACAGGTGTTCTGACACTTCTACTTCCAGCCCGACACCTGTCTATATTAAAGACACCCTCTGTTACAGGTGTTCAGACACTGCTACTTCCAGCCCGACACCTGTCTATATTAAAGACACCCCCTGTTAAGGTGTTCAGACACTGCTACTTCCAGCCTGACACCTGTCTATATTAAAGACAGTCTCTGTTACAGGTGTTCTGACAAAGCTACTTCCAGCCCGACACCTGTCTATATTAAAGACAGTCTCTGTTACAGGTGTTCTGACAAAGCTACTTCCAGCCCGACACCTGTCTATATTAAAGACACCCTCTGTTACAGGTGTTCTGATGAAGCTACTTCTAGCCTGACACCTGTCTATATTAAAGACAGTCTCTGTTACAGGTGTTCTGACGAAGCTACTTCCAGCCTGACACCTGTCTATATTAAAGACAGTCTCTGTTACAGGTGTTCTGACAAAGCTACTTCCAGCCAGACACCTGTCTATATTAAAGACAGTCTCTGTTACAGGTGTTCTGATGGAAGCTACTTCCAGCCTGACACCTGTCTATATTAAAGACACCCTCTGTTACAGGTGTTCTGCTGAGCCTGACAGCTACTTCCAGCCAGACACCTGTCTATATACTAAAGACACCTGTCTAGTCTCTGTTACAGGTATTCTGATGAAGCTACTTCCAGCCCGACACCTGTCTATATTAAAGACACCCTCTGTTACAGGTGTTCTGACAAAGCTACTTCCAGCCTGACACCTGTTTATATTAAAAACACCCTCTGTTACAGGTGTTCTGCCGAAGCTACTACCAGCCAGACACCTGCCCATTCCCTGAGGAGGCCAAGGAGCCAGAGAGGCTGTCGACACTGACCAAGTCCCTGGAGGCGTTCTTGGATGCCGTGGCGCCACACATCAGCATTCAAAGACAAATGAAACTTCTCATCAATGCCATGACTTCCATCATCACAGCGTCCGGTGCCGTCTCAGTCACTGTGAGCCACATGATACATTACACAAATACAGTCATCCTCTGAAAACTATTCCTTTCAAAATCAAATGTTGCCATTTTTACACATTCTGAAGCCTTATTTCTAAACTTATTTACAAAACTTTATTCATTATAGGGACCAAATGTTTCTGTGTTAAAACGTAACAATATTTGTTAGTTTTTTCAAAGATTGCCGAAATTCGCTCATTTGACATTGCATGTGTGCAAATGTTGAATTGACTTGTAAACAATTTGCTGAGGTCAGATTTTGTGTCAAGACGTCATGAGAACCAAAACTGTTTTCTATTGTTTAGTAAAACAGATTTATATTTTAACTTAGAAAATGGAGGAGTTTCATGAGAAGTACGGAGGTGGCTTGGGATCTCAGGATGTCCGCAGTGAAGCCAGGAAGGTGAGATGTTGGAAGTAACACTCTCAGGATGAACTCACTACAGACAAGGCGGTGGGGTAGCCTAGTGTTTAAAGCAGTCGATCGTCACGCCAAAGACCTGGGTTCAATTCCACACTGGGTATAATGTGTGAAGCTCATTACTGGTGTCTCCCACCGTGATATTGCTTGAATATGACATAAGTCCGGAGTAATATAAGAAGCATCGTACACATGCTTGTGGCTATATAAGGGCAATAATTTTGAAGGCAATCCTTAAAGGCACAATGTCACACATTTTCAACAATATTTTGACCTATTTTTTTATATATTGGGAGCATATGCACTCACTTTAGCTTCCTAATGATGCAATAAAAAACTTATTTTCCCATACAACTTGCCTGAAATCAATAATTGAGCTTCCAAACAGATAACACTTGCCATATATGGAATGTAAACGATTGCTCTGTACATCGAAAACTGTCAAACACAGTGTTGTCGGTGTTTGCCAAGCTGGTTTTAATCACAAGTTGTGCGTAGGAAATTCATAAAGAGCGCTCCAAGGGACATAACTTTATGGGGTTCGCCTGAAATAATGCTCAGCCGGTAGAGGACACAAGAGTCGATTTAATGCAACATCGCATTATTTCATTCGAAATATTTGATTTAGTATTCTAATCTAAATACATAATTTGGGTGGGGAATAAGTTATATGGTAGCTTCTCTGAGGGCTGATAGTATTATTGAAAGAAATGCATTATGTATTTTTAGAGAAATGTCGTATGACATTGTTCCTATTCCACCTCACCCACAATGCATCTTGAGATCTTGCTGAGTCTGGAACACGCATGACTATGGTCCTTCTGCCCATATTTGGCTCACATAACGCAAATCACTCACAAAGAGCAGTGTCGGAATATTGCACATGGACCTCACAAGCATGAACAATAATACTTTTATGTAACTGACATACACATCCTCGAGCAACTGTCTTGTGGATAGTTAAGTTAACATTTGAGGTGAAAGACCCCATCCTTACTGTCAAACAAGGATAAGTTGAGCACCGACCTGACAATTGACCTGTATTAGCATGTATGAGTGCCGCCCACTGGCGCTTGCCATTGTTAGAGAAGGGACCCAAGGTTGTCCGCGATCAAGTGTAGTGCGATGGGTGAAGCAAAGCGCAAGGTGTGTTCAGCTACTCGCGGAATCAATTTCATCGTCATGCAATGCACATGCACTAGCCTACATCTGCTCTACCTTTCACAAACCAAATGGATTTGCTCATTGCCATGCACAACCTACTTCTCGTAAACGCATTCTCTACGCTGGTTCAACTTATCCTTGTTTGCCAGTAAGAATGCTGGATCGGACACTGTCAAAATGGTTCAGTCTAGCTGCTGGAGTGAGAATATCCAATAATTTATTATGTTTTTTCTGACTCCCTGTGACCTCATTGTCCTGTATGTGTAGAGGTACGCCGACTACTTCGATGGAGAGGAGGACATCAACCTGAAACTGAACGTGTTTGCCGTCAACATGCACCTTGCCTACGGGGGAGTTAATGATGTCCAGACTCAGATTGGCTTTCCCAGTAGAGAAGGTAGGTGTTGGAAGATGTGGATGGATGGATGTATGGAAGACTCAGATTGGCTTTCCCAGTAGAGAAGGTAGGTGTTGGAAGATGTGGATGGATGGATGTATGGAAGACTCAGATTGCCCAAGAAGGTAGGTGTTGGATCAAGGAGATTGGCTTCCACATTAGAAGGTAGGTGTTGGAAGATGTGGATGGGTGGATGGATGGAAAACTCAGATTGGCTTTCCCAGTAGAGAAGGTAGGTGTTGGAAGATGGATGGATGGATGTATGGAAGGACAAAAATAGATGTGAAGATAGATGGATGAAAATAAGATAAAAGATGGACCAACATATTGCCCAAAGCATCAAGTCATAGTCACCATCTTGTATGGAAAGGTTTAGGTTTACAATCAAACAAGGCAGTTTGGTTGGGTCAAATAATTGGCAGCAGCAGCAAATACAGGCCCTAGAATTAATGTTAGTACACTCACATATTGCCAGAATTTTAATGCTTGAATCCATAAAAATGTAAGAATTTGATGTCCACAACCTGGGATCTACACATGGTCAGTAGACAACACACTATGAGGTCGTAATGTGCCTTGAATTGCTCTGTTGTCATATTAACATAGATATAGTCAGCCTCCTGGAAACTATCCCATCCCAAAATTTCTGAAGTATCAAGTCTGCCATCTTTATGTTTACAAGGGTGATAACTCTGAATATCACTCTTTGTCACACTCAACATTGTACAACACTTCAGTTATTTGTTGCCACTGTCTGCTACAACATACTACATCCCCTACAACCATTCCAGAATACTCTGAGATTGGAGGAGATGAGGAGCTCCCGTTGGGGATCGAGTTCCAAGAGCACCTGCGCTGCTTCATTGACCCCTATGCAAGGACCCCCGAGGCCAAGTACAGGATGGCTGAGAAACTAGTCAAACAGCTGTTGTAAGTAGACAATAAATGTATAACGTCATGTGGAAAGTCTGGCATGAAATCTTTGACCAGCATGTCATGTTGATACGAAGGGATGCAAGTCTGACATTGATTCTTGGAACTGTTTTAGCACATGTTAGAAGTAAGGATCACAACTGACATTAGATGATTACTGGGTTTTCTACTGAGAAGAAGACAGGACATTCATCTGTGAAGTGTGACACTAAAATGATGCTGACAGCAACGTCACTCTATTCAGTGAACACACAGGGTGGTAGCCTAGTGGTTAAAGCGTTCGCTCATCATGCTGAAAGCTGGGTTCAATTCCCCACTTGGGTATAATGTGTGAAGACCATTACTGTCCCCCGCCGTGATATTGTTGGAATATTGTAAAAGCAGTGTAAAACCCAACTCACTCACTCACTCACTATACACTGGACACACTGAGTCAAGTAAGTTCATCTACAGGTGTTTTATTTACAGCATCTCGGCAACGTTGAACAACCTGAGCGAGAAGGAGAAGATTGAGCAGACGGAGCTGGATGAGAAGTGCCTGCAGCTCCTGCGTGGCCTCATCCACAACGAGATCATCAAGCTGCCCCTCGACTGGGAGCTCAACACCAAGGGCAATAAAAAGTAAGGGAAGAACTCCACCATCAACAATATTTCTTTGTCAGAGTGTCGAAACATGATCATGAATACTGCTTACAAATTGTGATTTGATGCAAAGAATTTAAGGTGCAATACCAGGAGGATGCCTAAATGTATGTCTGTTTGAACCATGAAAGCCATTTTTCTATTTTGGTTAGCAATACACTTCTAGAGTGTCAGAAGTTCAGTCTGACATTGAAATCCCTGTCTGTACTAGTTTAAAGTTTAAGTGCATTTACAGAAGATGTTGACTGCTGAGAAAATATTGATGATGCTTCCTATCAGTTTTATTAGAAATGCACTTAAAGTGTGTCATTCATGGTAACGCTCTGCTTCTGTTGTACAGGCAGCTGAAGGTGATTGAGTCAGTCCAGTTTGCTCTCAACTCCTACAATGTGATAGAGAGCACACTCAACCATCTGTCTCGACCCCAGGACAACATCATACGAGAGTTACTGGCCTTCCTTGCAGTGCTGCTGTTCGGGGAAACCAAGCAGTACAGGTGAGCAGACGTGACAAGACGTCTGATACTGGGGCTCAGTGGTGGACATGCAGCAATTCACGGTGTAGTGTTATGGGTGTTTACAATGTTGGAAGCCAAATGACTCATAAATCAGCTGGCATTATGTATTTATTTGCCATGCTGTCCAAATTGGTGTAAAACCAGACTCTAGCCTTGCTTGATGCAGGATGAAATCATATTTTGATGCAGACTCTATTCCAGTTCTTGAAAGGCCTTCAGAAGTTGGACGAGCATGAATATTCAGTTCTTAAACTTTGTGTAAAGAATAAAAAGAAATCGTTATGTTTAAAAATGTGTCATGTATTCATACTCCAGCTTGAAGCTGAATGAAATCCCAGTTGGGTACAGGTTTCCCCTCCTACCTTTGGTGAAGAGGGCCATAAGCATAGTGCTGACAAACCCTGAAACATTATCAGAGCAACTGATTTAAAAGCAAATCATAAGTTTTGAATATGCTAAAGGGACACAACTCTGCACAGTGAAATCTCAACGACTTGGTGCACTTCAAATGTTCGAGACAAGGAATATCCAGACAGAGCCAGTTTTTGTGAGGTTTATGTTTTCTGTTTCAGATGAGTTTGATTGCCTACTTCACTGGTACTCGAGAGGAAACGTTCTTTTTTGCCATCAAGAACCGCATGCAGCTATCCAGCATTGCAACTCGGGAGAAGTAAGTTCATGTCTCAGGTCACGTAAAGAGGACAACTGGACTGTAACTACAACTATTTATATTAAAAAATGTATGAAAAATATAAATTTTCTTGTCAAAGTAAAATCAACCAAAACAGAGATGACTTCAAGGCATGACCTGTGTGACCTTTGCCCTCTTTCAAACCTTTAACTACCAAATTAATAGTATGTGTGTGTGTGGAACTCCCTCTGCCAATTGTACCTGTCAGGAATTGCAGCAGACCACCCACCAGGTCTGATGAGTAGACATGGTCACTTCAATGGTGTAGTGATAATGTGCCCAGACAGTGGAAAGTCAGTGATTTATTCCCTTGGCCTTAGCATGAAAAGATGAGTCTAGACCCAGTCTGGCATCATTATAGTATTCAGTAGTTATCAGCAGCAAAGTATCTCATCCATAAACTTTGTCAAGAAGGAGTGTATATAGAGATTATTACACGAGCAAGTGCATCATACAACCTACGTGAAACGAATGTGAATTTTTGTATTGCCCAAGTGAATTTTGTGTAAGTCGTATGACACACTTGATCGAGTGAAATAATTTCTTTATCATCCATTTTATTCATGTACATTTGTGCAGTAAGACACGGTAAGCAAGAGTGGTGGCCCTCTTCATTGACATCACTTTTAATGACGTCACAAATGACGAAATACAGATACAATGGTTGCTAGGCAAAAGTGATATGTTCACATGTGCACATATGATACATATGACGCTGGTTATGTTTCACCATATGGATAGTAAGGATAAGCATGCAGCTAGGACCCCCATCTCTCCAGTATTCATCAACTCATAAACAGAATAAGCAGTTAAATCCCTGGTTTTCAGAATACTTCTTCTTGTTTCAGACGTCTGCTCCATGCGATGCACACCGCGCGAAGGTTGAGGAGATGGTGGCCCAGACCAAGGCCCTCCAGAAGGCAATGAAGGCCGGCAATGTGAAGGGCATGGTTGGTACTTAACTTGTTTCTCAGTTAGAGGAGATGGCCTTGGTGTTTTGGGTGTTACAGGTGCCAGTTACGTGCACAAAAACGTTCGGGGACAGATCATTTGAAAAGGCCTACCATCTGACATTCGATCACAGATGCAGTTGTGTACATTTAAGTCAACACTAAAGAAGCACTATTACAGCCTCATATACTGTAACTAACCAGCAACTCAAGTACTTTGAAGCACTTTTGAGCAGTACTTGGTGCTTGATCTTAGCATTATATAAATCTTTGTATGTATGTATGTGTGTGTGTGTGTGCGTGCGTACGTCTGTGTGTGTATGTATGTGCATGCGTGCGTCTATGTATGTATGTGTATATGTACGTACGTAGGTGTGTGTGTGTGTATGTATGTATGCTTGCAAGCACGCACGCACGCACGCATGTACGTACAGTATATGAGGCTGTAATAGTGATTCTTTACCGTTGACTTAAATGTACACAACTGGGTCTGTGATCGAATGTCAGATGGTAGGCTGTTCCACAAGTATGTTCCGGCCTTTTCAAATGATCTGTCCCCGAATGTTTTTTATGTATAGGTTCACATCCTGGTTTGTAAGCACCATCAATGTATGCTCAACATCGATGTTTGCATTGTATCCCAATTGTGTAGATCGATGTTCATGCTGTTGATCACTTGGTTGTCTGGTCCAGACTTGATTATTCACAGACCGCTGTCATATAGCTGGAATATTGCTGAGTGCAGTGTTAAACAACAACCATCCAACACATGAAAAGGACACGATCTTGAACAATGCCATTACCGTGATGTAGTGTCTTCATAAAGTGTATTAAAAAAGATGCACTGTTAGAATAGATTTCAGGGCTCGATTTAGTGCTTTTTTACTTGCACTGGTGCAACCCAATATTACAAAGTACAACCTAGTTATTGGTCTAACTTGCACCAGGTGCAAGTCAAGTTTCTATGCTATTTATAGACACCTCTTGGCTATGACAGTTCCAGTAAACAGGAACCAGCTCTGTCTCTGTGTTCTTATGGTTTCATGGGTACAACATCACGGAAATATATTTATGTGCACCGAAACCTCTGACTTTTTAACACACCAAGTTGAAACTGGAATTTGGCTGGTGTAACTAGGTTTTTATCTTAGGTTGCACCTGATGTAAGTAGTTTTACTTCTCTTAAATCGAGCCCTGGATTTGTTTTTATTTGACTTCATATGAAGTACATTTACTTTTTTACTGTAAGTATATATTTGTTCTCTATGTTTGTGGCAAATGTACCTGTGCTCTATGTCTAATTGGCTTACGCATCTGTGTACTGTATGTCCTAGGCTTCTATATCTCCATGTGATTGTGTGCACAATGTTTGCTTACTGTGTGTTTTGTAGGACCTGATGATGGCCAACCAGCTTGGATCTATGCTATCTCTTGCCAAACATTCCATGGTCAACCTTCGAAATCCGGTACTTTACCCTTTCTTCTCACACTTCGTCTTCGATTGTCTCTGAGGTCATTTCTCATGAAAAAAATTATCTTCTTTTATTGTGATCCTTATCCTGCTTTATCGTTTGATGCTATAATCCATGGGGACATTGGACTAGAACCTAGGTTCTCGACAACCTGTGCTTGTCACGACTAAATGGATGAATTTTACTGTAGCCTGATTGCATGGAATTGGGGCGATGGGGTAGCTAAGTGGTTAAAGAGTCCGCTCATCACGTTGAAGGCCCGGGTTCGAGTCCCCACATGGGTACAATAAGTGAAACCCATTTCTGGTGTCGCCCACCATGATATTGTTGGAATATTGCAAAAAGTGGTGTAACGCTAAACTCACTCACTCACTCATAAGATCAACCACTAATTGAAAAAACAACCAACAAACAATTGTATTTTCACAGTGAATTACACTGGGTGTGAAACAATTATTTTTCAACTCTAGAGACAATCCAAGACTTTGTCAGCTTCTAGTATTACTATGTCACTTGTACTGGTATGTATTATTATTTTTTATCTTCTATGTGTTAACAATTTCTTGAGAAACTTCAGCTTGAGAAGGGGCATATGACTTTAGATATGCTTGTAATCAGATTCACAGTAGAGTTTGTCTTATACATGAAAGCTTAAAGGTCACATGCAACGTAAAACACAACTTTGCAGATTCTGATACCTTTCGGTATGGACTTACTGAAACAAATCGTCAAAAATGCAAATTCAACTTATAAAGTTGAAAAATAACGAGATAAAAAAAAACACGCGAAATCGGAGTTCAAACGTTTCACTAATTTTCCCCAGACTTTTCTGGGGAAAACGGGTTTCAACAGCTGGGCTGCGCTCATAGCACGTGCGCAAGTAAATAGGTTCACGCAGCTTGGAAGCGGGTTGTCGGGTGAATACTCGGTGAAGGCTTTGGTGTGAGCTATTTTTCTAATGTTTTGTTGATATCTCACAGGCGCGAGCTTTATATGTTATGGCAGTAAATTAACTGTTTATATAATTTCATTTGTCTATTTCACCACACGTTCTTCTTACCGAGACACTTTCTCAGTTCGATACTTAAAAGCAATGTCATTATTTAGTGTTGACCGAATTTCTAACTGTGATATAGATATGTCGTTGTCACAGACAAAACTCAATGTCTTGTTTTATTGACACCTGTGTGTCTGCCTGCCTGTCTGCAAATGACAATATTCAATACACAGCTGGTATCACTGACCACATGCAATTTGAACTTAACACCAATCAGGCTATACACCATAAACAAAATGCAATGATTTATGGCCCCAGTTCGGTCTCTGTCACATTATGTAATTACACAGACAGGCAGGTGTGATACTTGAACATATGACATGTTATGATGTCTGTTGATTGCAAAAACACAAAAAATGAGCATGTATTTACAAAACCCAACATCTCTATATATACACACACAATTAGCCGTGAGGACATCTGCAAATGAACCAGCCGTTACACTTGAGTGCACACCCGACCGCTCTGACTGGGTTCGGTTTCCCAGCTGCTTCGTTTCTTGGGAAGTAAACCAAAGTACACAATTTTGCACTTTTGATTTGCGATTGTACGTTTATAATTTTATTTATATGTTTTTTCATAACCAGCAATGTATATTATATGTCATGAATAAGTGATAACTGTGTTTTAATTATGTTTGATTTTTTGGTTGCATGTGACCTTTAATATTGTCACATGGTGGTATTGATGCAAGGAGGACCAGAGCACACAACTGACACTTGTCTTTGGGGATCGAGGAGAATAGAGAACTCCTCCTTGTCTTCTCCTGGGATTTTAGGAGAATAGAGGACTGTAATACTCCTGGTCATCACATGGGGATTCTAGGGGAAGAGAGGACTGTAATACTCCTGGTCATCACATGGGGATTCTAGGGGAAGAGAGGACTGCAGATCTCCTCCTGGTCTTTCCATGGGGATTCTAGGGGAAGAGAGGACTGCAGAACTCCTCCTGGTCTTTCCATGGGGATTCTAGGGGAAGAGAGGACTGCAGATCTATTCCTGGTCTTTCCATGGGGATTTGAGGAGAATAGAGGACTGTAATACTCATGGTCTTTCCATGGGGATTCTAGGGGAAGAGAGGACTGCAGATCTATTCCTGGTCTTTCCATGCGGATTTGAGGAGAATAGAGGACTGTAATACTCCTGGTCTTTCCATGCGGATTCTAGGGGAAGAGGGGACTGCAGATCTCCTCCTGGTCTTTCCATGGGGATTTGAGGAGAATAGAGGACTGTAATACTCCTGGGCTTTCCATGAGGATTCTAGGGGAAGAGGGGACTGCAGATCTCCTCCTGGTCTTTCCATGGGGATTTGAGGAGAATAGAGGACTGTAATACTCCTGGTCTTTCCATGGGGATTCTAGGGGAAGAGAGGACTGCAGATCTCCTCCTGGTCTTTCCATGGGGATTCTAGGGGAAGAGAGGACTGCAGATCTCCTCCTGGTCTTTCCATGGGGATTTGAGGAGAATAGAGGACTGTAATACTCCTGGGCTTTCCATGAGGATTCTAGGGGAAGAGGGGACTGCAGATCTCCTCCTGGTCTTTCCATGGGGATTTGAGGAGAATAGAGGACTGTAATACTCCTGGTCTTTCCATGGGGATTCTAGGGGAAGAGAGGACTGCAGATCTCCTCCTGGTCTTTCCATGGGGATTCTAGGGGAAGAGAGGACTGCAGATCTCCTCCTGGTCTTTCCATGGGGATTCTAGGGGAAGAGGGGACTGCAGATCTCCTCCTGGTCTTTCCATGGGGATTCTAGGGGAAGAGAGGACTGCAGAACTCCTCCTGGTCTTTCCATGGGGATTCTAGGGGAAGAGGGGACTGCAGATCTCCTCCTGGTCTTTCCATGGGGATTCTAGGGGAAGAGGGGACTGCAGATCTCCTCCTGGTCTTTCCATGGGGATTTGAGGAGAATAGAGGACTGTAATACTCCTGGTCTTTCCATGCGGATTCTAGGGGAAGAGAGGACTGCAGATCTCCTCCTGGTCTTTCCATGGGGATTTGAGGAGAATAGAGGACTGTAATACTCCTGGGCTTTCCATGAGGATTCTAGGGGAAGAGGGGACTGCAGATCTCCTCCTGGTCTTTCCATGGGGATTTGAGGAGAATAGAGGACTGTAATACTCCTGGTCTTTCCATGGGGATTCTAGGGGAAGAGAGGACTGCAGTTCTCCTCCTGGTCTTTCCATGGGGATTCTAGGGGAAGAGAGGACTGCAGATCTCCTCCTGGTCTTTCCATGGGGATTCTAGGGGAAGAGGGGACTGCAGATCTCCTCCTGGTCTTTCCATGGGGATTTGAGGAGAATAGAGAACTGTAATACTCATGGTCTTTCCATGGGGATTCTAGGGGAAGAGAGGACTGCAGTTCTCCTCCTGGTCTTTCCATGGGGATTCTAGGGGAAGAGAGGACTGCAGATCTCCTCCTGGTCTTTCCATGGGGATTCTAGGGGGATAGAGGACTCCAGTTCTCCTTCTGGTCTTCCCTTGGGGATCCTGGGGCATAGTCGACTCCAGTACTCCTTCTTGTCTGCTTGTATAAACTGGCTTAGTGGTATGTGTAACCAGACATTGCCGCTGGTGAACCAGACGTTGCTGCTTGTATAACATGACTGTTATTGCTGCAGATGGGGTCTCTTCTTGTATAACATGACTGTTATTGCTGCAGATGGGGTCTCTTCTTGTATAACATGACTGTTATTGCTGCAGATGGGGTCTCTTCTTGTATAACATGACTGTTATTGCTGCAGATGGGGTCTCTTCTTGTATAACATGACTGTTATTGCTGCAGATGGGGTCTCTTCTTGTATAACATGACTGTTGCTGCTTGTATAACATGACTGTTGCTGCTTGTATAACATGACTGTTGCTGCTTGTATAACATGACTGTTATTGCTTGTATAACATGACTGTTACTGTGTACTGTTATTGCTTGTATAACATGACTGTTATTGCTTGTATAACATGACTGCTTGTATAACATGACTGTTATTGCTTGTATGAATTGCATGACTGTTATTGCTTGTATAACATGACTGTTATTGCTTGTATAACATGACTGTTGCTGCTTGTATAACATGACTGTTATTGCTTGTACAACATGACTGTTATTGATTGTATAACATGACTGTTATTGCTGCAGATGGGGTCTCTTCTTGTATAACATGACTGTTGCTGCTTGTATAACATGACTGTTATTGCTTGTATAACATGACTGTTATTGCTTGTATAACATGACTGTTATTGCTTGTATAACATGACTGTTATTGCTTGTATAACATGACTGTTATTGCTTGTATAACATGACTGTTATTGCTTGTATAACATGACTGTTATTGCTTGTATAACATGACTGTTATTGCTTGTATAACATGACTGTTATTGCTTGTATAACATGACTGTTATTGCTTGTATAACATGACTGTTATTGCTTGTATAACATGACTGTTATTGCTGCAGATGGGGTCTCTTCTTGTATAACATGACTGTTATTGCTGCAGATGGGGTCTCTTCTTGTATAACATGACTGTTGCTGCTTGTATAACATGACTGTTGCTGCTTGTATAACATGACTGTTATTGCTTGTATAACATGACTGTTATTGCTTGTATAACATGACTGTTATTGCTTGTATAACATGACTGTTATTGCTTGTATAACATGACTGTTATTGCTTGTATAACATGACTGTTATTGCTTGTATAACATGACTGTTATTGCTTGTATAACATGACTGTTATTGCTGCAGATGGGGTCTCGTGGCTCCATGAAGCGGCCAATCAGCCGAGCAAGTCGGATGAGTGGGGGGAAGGGGGGAAACACCCTGATGATCCCCCAGGGTCTGGGTCCCCCCAAGGTTGCTGTCAACGGCAGCTCAATGAATGGGCTAAGTGGTCCACCACCAACCAAAATGGAAGTCAGCAAGGTCAAGTCCAAGAAGAAGTCAGAAGTGGCGCCACTTGATGAGGTGGACATCAAAATAGAGGTAGGTAGTGTTGTTGTGTTTCAAGTAACATGGAGGCAGCATGATATGGCCAGGTCATCTAAGGGTCAGGGTTTGATGCAGCAGTACCAAATGTTACTACTATATGCAAACTGATATCCACGTGAAGCGAGTGGGTGTCCCAAAATAATTCAAATATGAGCCTTGTGAATATCCAGGTTAGAATTGGTCTTCAGCATGCTTGTCGTAAGAGGCGACTAACGGGATCGGGTGGTGAGGCTCGCTGACTTGGTTGACACCTGTCATCGTATCCCAACTGTGTAGATTGATGCTCATGATGTTGATCACTGGATTGTCTGGTCCAGACTCAAATATTTACAGACTGCTGCCATATAGCTGGAATATTGCTGAGTGTGGCGTAAAACAACAAGCAAACTAACCAACCACCCCTTGTCCGTACAACTTCGATGTTTGAAGATACTTAGATTTATTCACCATTCTACTTCTCTAGTTGCTTTCTTACATGTAATTCAGCATGATTTCTTGGTCTGAGACATTGTCAAACTGCTTGTACTTCAAAATATATCTGACTTTATGTCTATCTTGAAAGTGCCTTTGGGACGATTTCATGGACTGGAAACAGTCTCTAAATACAGTGGAAACCTGATAAGTAAAATTTCAAGGGACTCGCCAAGATTGTTTACTTATCAGGTATTTTACTTATCCAAACTTATAAAAACCTGCAAATGACAACCATATGCATGTATATGTATGCATATGTAACAATGAACAACTTATCAGGGCTGGCCTTCAGTTGTCAGTGTATTGTCAACTGCATGACACCAGCGAGCTGTAAGTAGGATGTTTGTTTAGCTGGAGACTGACACGACTGCCCCTCATGTCGGATTATGTGGTAATCGCTAATTTAGTTATCCAGTATCTTTTGTTAAGTAATTCACTTCCAGGGACCGTGAGAAGACGTTTAGTTAAGCGGTATTGTTTACTTATCCGAGTTTACTCAACTGGACTCTAATAGTGATAATTAATGAAGAAATTTGCCGGGACCAAAGAAAAGTGTTTACTTCTCAGGTCTGTTTAGTTAAGCGGTCTTTACTTAGGCAGTTTCCACTGTAGATAATTAATTATCATTATATATTTTCTGTACTGTAACTTTGTCTATCACTGAAGTGGGCTACTGTGTCTCACTGTGATATATATGGTTGTCAAACTAAGGGTAATATCAAAGTATTGTATGACAGTTGCTATGTAAGTATTGTAACAGTATGTACTTTATCAAAAGTAACTGACAGACATCAGATCTAGGGAGCAGCCTGGGTTTGTCTGGCGCAACTACATTTTTCAGCTTGCACCAAGTGCAAGTGAGATCAGGTTCCTGAAATCGCATCCTAGATAAATCAGAAGTGTTTAGTTGTGGGTTTAAATCCTTGATCGTGTTCTAGGTTTGTCTTGGCCAAACCTACATGACAAGATTTCACCTATGAGGAACTTGGGCTTTTCTCTCATATCAAGAAAATTTGTTCAAAGCAACAGTTCGAACCCAGTTCATTCATGTATTCATTCATGTATTCATTCATGTATTCATTCATGTATTCATTCATTCATTCATTCATTCATTCATTCATTCATTCATTCATTCATTCATTCATTCATTCATTCATTCTTTTGTCATTCGTTGATTTGTTCAGTCGGTCCTTTGTTCATTCGTTTATTCGTTGTTCACAGGACATGGACGAAGAGGAACTGATGGCCTTGACAAGTGCTGCCATCTCAATGTCAGATGAGCTGGACTTCAAGGACGATGGTTTTATAGAACTTGTGTTACGTGTGCTCGGACTTATGTGTGACAATCAACACAAGGGCCTTCAGAACTACCTCAGGGAACAACCGGACAATATCAAGTCTGTGAATCTAGTTGCCGAGACAACAAGGTTCCTCAATATATTGTATTCAAGTATTTCGGACAAGACGGCACCACTTTTAGTGCAGTTGTTTGACACGCTTGTGGAATACACATCGGTGAGTCAATGGTGGATGATTCTAACAGATTCACAAGTAAAAGAATGATATACATATATCACACTTGCTTGGATTTTAACGCTAATTTTGTCTCAGGTCTTTTTAAATAGACTGATGAATTATCGATACCCTTCCTTGGAGGATAAAAAGAAATAGAGTCAAACTTCACTTTTGCAGACACTTGCGTTTTGTAAACTATCATCTACAAAAAGGAATTTCCAGATGGCTGAATCCTTTGTCATCTAACCAGAGATTCCTCCCTTACCAAATTTTTTCAGAAGAAGAATTCTGCGTTCATTTTCTCAATAATCATATGTGGATTAATAGGTACTGAGAAATGGCATTTCTATTAGATAGTATGAAAAATATTTGATAACATTAAACAATTTGCAAATGATACTTTATAAACTTGTACAAAATTACAATTGTCTGCTCCAATATATATATATTTTCAAAAGGTCCATAATTTTGGACAAATTAACTGTTTATGGAAGAAAGGAGGAAGTTGTTTGTGAGAAAATTATTCAAGTGAAGACGCCTTTCATCTGAAAATTTGTAATAATGAATCATAAATATTATACACAAAATGGAACTTTGTTTGTTTCCAGGGTAACTAATCATTTCCATTGCTGTATTTGCATGTTGCTATGGTAACTGACCTTGTCATATGTTTCCAGGGTAACTTCCAGAACCAGTCTATAGTGTTTGACAACAAGATCTCTTGAAAGTACATCAACCACATACTCAGAGTAGGTGTACAAGAACTGCTCGCTAGAACAGGTGATATTTTCCTTACAGCTATTAACATTGATCTGAATAGATTGCACCACCTCCATGATAAAATGAACAGATCACACCCCACCGAGTGGAAGGTCAGTGGTTTGATCCCAGCCTTGTTATTCCAACCTATGTTACAGGTGGAACTTGTTGTTGTTATATTCAGTGTTTACAGGGTGCACACAGACTGATCGAGTCAGTTTTGTTTTACACTGACTGATCGAGTCAGTTTTGTTTTACACTGCTCTCAGCAATAGTCAAGCTATATTGTGGAGGTCTGTAAAAAATCAAGTTTGGACCAGACAATCCAGTGATTGATACCATAAGCATCGATCTACGTAATTGGGAACCGATGACATGTGTCAACCAAGTCAGCAAACCTGATCACCTAATCCCGTTACTCGCCTCTTAAGACAAGCATGGGTTACTGAAGACCAATTCTGTCATGGATTTTCACGAGTAATCGCCTCGCAGGGATTGATTTAGATGTAATGTTAAACTGCAGCATGGTATCTCCATCTGCAATGACTGTGAAACAGCCATTGGTCTGGACTACTTCAAGCAGTCACAAACACCACACACATACTCATACCAAATGTTGTATTGCACTGAGGAGTTGCCTCCCTTTGGATCTGCCATTAGTGGGTTCAAATCCAGATTTGTATAAAGTGTACCATTTCTATTACCTTGTCTAGGTGTACACCCTGAAGAAGTCAATCGCAACTCTGATTAAATCTCTGACAGAAGAAAACCCACCAGAGAGAGATGACGAGGAGGATGTACTCGCAAAGTGTAAGTCACATGGTTGTAAACAGCCAATCAGAGCACTACAAGATAGTGATGATGTCGCAGTATGGGCATTTCATAAATGTATTGTAAATATTTTCCTGAATTCTTAACAATTGGGGTAGGCATCTGTTCCACCTATTATCCTTAAATTTATGTTATGAAATTTCTGTATGTACAATGTTTGAAAGAATATCTCCCACTTTAGACAGGGCATTATTATTTTTATGTGTTTCACGTGAGCCACCAAATTCTGAACATGGGTCGGTCGGTCAGAGGAAAAACAAAAACAACTTAATAAAGACAAAATTATCTGAAAAAGGTTCTTGATTCTCATTTATTGTAATTCTTATTACAATTTCTTATGCTCTTTGACTTGTGACAGCAACTGATTTCAAGATAAACATTATATATGACGATATGCTTTTGGAAATGAAAAAAAGAGAGAGGTTTTTGGGGTGGGTGGGGGGGCGGGGGCAATGAAATTAGAATTGTCAGTCAGGCGCATGAGAAGTACATAAAACAAAAATGCTGCCCACATATTCAGTGTTGCACTCTAAGAAGCACCCCTGACCAACATGTTGACCGAAGTGAAGGCACTTTTCAAATGCCTACAGCTAAGGCCAGCAATTCACAAACAAGTCCATTATTCTTGTGTACACTGCAGTTTTCTTCACAAAAGGACTGCAGTTTAATTGCCAAGTTATTGATTGTTATATTTGCTTAGTTATCAGTGCTGAAGGTAATGAAAGTTAGGACTTCATGGTATACCGGTATATCGCAATACGCTTTTCAAGCGATACATATTGCAATATTTTTTCCGAGAACGGTATATTGGGTAGAGACGATATATGAAGTTTTTGTGATTATCTTTATGGTTTAAATTACAATTTACACATACTTTCATTCACAACAAATGTTTTCCTTCGTTATTCAATGACAAAACGGCATGCTGTAATACTATTATAAATCGTATAAACAATAAAATAAAATCCCTGACTTTGCTACCTAATTTAGAGATTGCTGTTATCAGAACCATAACATGTATGTTTAGTGACTTATGATGTAGAAAATAGAATCAACATGTACAATTAGTGTCACTCACTATCAAACACTTAAGTTCCCCATATATCGTAATATGTATCACAATACTGTTACACAAATCACAATATATTGCAATACAATTTATTTGCCAATGTACAGCCCTAATGAAAGTATTAACTAAGTTAGTTGTCTTCACCTCCATCATCTATATCATGTAAGGCTTAACAAGCAACTAAGCAACACCCTTTGTCTGTTTTTTTAAGTCCCAAGGGCACTTATTATGGCAAAATGGTATATAATTCCTTTAAAATGTTATTGACTGAATGAAATTAATTTTATGAAATTTTAATAGTTGTAATTATTATACTTTAAAACTGAAAATAAAGTTACTGATACAAATAGAATGTGTTACACAATGCCATTTAGAAAGTGGTCAAATGTAACATATGTTATATTTGGGATTATTTTCTTTTAGTGTATAAATTCTAGTATACTTTTGGGGGTCCTATTCGGGATTCAAACCACACTTTCAGAGTCAGGCACCTAATCACCAAAGGCCAAAGGCGTCTGACTTTGTGTGCTGGCGATTAGGTGCCTGACTCTGAGGGTGTGGGTTTGAATCCCAGATGGGACTCAACCCCAAAAGTACTAGAATTTGTACTTTACTAATGTTACAAATAGAATGTGTGTTAATGATGAAAGGAGCATATCATGTGCTCAACGAAACGGATTCTTGATGAACTTCCAAATATGGGTTTGTATGATTGCACTTGACCGTTAATTCAAACTGAAGATATTTCTGTAAAACATTATGTGGATAAACTTTGTTCACCTCACTTGTGTGTACACATGTAGTTTAGTTTACAGGTAGTTTCTTGCTTTTAGTGTTTTAGTGTGATCTGTAGTGTTATCTGTAGTGCTTCACTATGGGTCTTTGTACTTCCCTTCAGAAGTCATGACTTAGTTATTTGGAACTAAAATTGTCTTGTCTTTTGATGATAACTGTACACCAGCCAATTAGTTAATGAAACCTGTATTTTTCACGGCCTTATATGTCGTCATTACAAATTTGTACTTATTAACAGTTATACAGCAATGACTATCATGTTCTAATACTCTTAATATCCGGGAAGACCTGGATTAGAATAGGTCTTCAAGTAGACATCCTTGTCTAAAGTGGCGACTAACCGGATTTGGTGACCAGACCTGCACCATATAAGTAGACGCATGTTCTTTACGTTAATCACTGGATGTTCTGGTCCAAACAAGATTATTTACAGATTGACGTCACCTAGGTGGAATATTGCTGACTCTGCCATTAAACATCAAACGTAAAAACTTAATGTCAAGTTCTCATTACTTGGTGTCATGTAGAACAGTCTGTGTCTTGACCAACAATCACATAACTCCCATAATTCAACACGGACTGCAATTTTGAGAGTGCTTACATCTCCTTCAAAATGTGGGCCCACATTGCAGTCTGTTCGAGAATGAAGACAGAGAAAGCATGAAGTGTCAGTGATAAAAAAATCTACATCAATGATTATTGCAAGACTTCATAGCTGATACTAAATCATTACAAATTTGAACATGGCATTCCAACCTGGCCACAGAAGATCTCATGCACAGACATGACTATATTATAAGAAATTGTTTAGAGGTCGAGATGGTTGAGATAGTTTTCACAGATATTAGGAATACAGGTTGTAAATTTTTGTACATGTTGTAAATACAGGTTGAAAAGCAGGAATCAATAGATGAATTCTCTGTTGCAAGTGTTTCGACCAGTAAGTCTTCTTGGTCTAATGTCACGTTGAATGTCTGAACTGTATACAGTTCCAGGTAATGTGGGTCGGTGTTGTGTTACCTGATAAGGCCTCACTTTATTGATAGTTTGGGTTTGTGAGAAAAGACTCTGTGAAAGATTTGGACCAGAGGGGGGGAGATAACTGGCAGGAAATATTTTCATGCTAGCTATGATCACCAGAGGACATGTCAAATTAATAGGTCAAACTTTTCTGATGTGCCAGTTAATGTCAATTTACTCAAGGCTATAAAAATATGTACCCCCAAACAATTGATAAAGTGAGGACTCGGTTGAAAAATGATGAACAGCCACTGAGGTTGTGTTTTACCCCCTCCGGATACGTTGTTGATTGGTTTACCTGATTGGTTTGTTCTTGTACATAAGGGTTTACTTTTCTACCTGCTAACATAATAATTGGTTACCTTTTTACCTGTTAAGTTGATGATTGTTATGTTTACCTGTTGAGTTGATGATTGGTTACCTTTTTACTTGTTGAGTTGATGATTGGTTTACTGTTTACCAGCTAAGTTGATGATTGGTTTACTGTTTACAAGCTAAGTTGATGATTGGTTTACTGTTTACAAGCTAAGTTGATGATTGGTTTACTGTTTACTCAATGAGTTGATGATTGGTTTACTGTTAACCCCATGAGTTGATGATTGGTTTCCATTTACCCAATGAGTTGATGATTGGTTTACTGTTTACCAGCGAAGTTGATGATTGGTTTATTATTTACCCAATGAGTTGATGATTGGTTTGCTGTTTATCAGCTAAGTTGATGATTGGTTTATTGTTTACCCAATGAGTTGATGGCTGGTTTACTGTTTACCCAATGAGTTCATGGTTGGTTTACCTTTTGCCAAAGGTTTGATGATTTGGGTTGATTGTTTTTATCCCTCTTATGCAGTGATCATGTAAATCATGAATACTTTCTCTCTTGTTACACTGTTACACCTCCATCTTGGATTGATAGCATGACCTGTCAACATGGACTGTTGCAGAGCTATGCCAGAACTGTTCCTGATCTGTCTTCCAACTACACCAGACCTACCCCTCAACTATTCCACAACTTTGCCAGACCTCTAACAGACCACTCATCTCAAGTACTGAGCTTATTACAAACCTATACATGCATGCTAAAGATTGAAACTAAAAGTGACCACCTACATACATAGCACTGACCAAGATACATATTCAGTTCATCGTATCCCAATTACTTAAATCGATGCTCATGCTGTTGATCACTGGATTGTCTGGTCCAGACTCGATTATGTACAGACCGCCGCCATATAGCTGGAATTGTGACAGTAAACAACAAACAAACAAACAAACAACACAGCGAGGTCGATCAGTCTATACAAACAAACAACACAGCGAGGTCGATCAGTCTATACAAACAAACAACACAACGAGGTCGATCAGTCTATACAGGGAAGTATGATTTGATCACTGATGAAATTCCACAGTATGAGCTGTTCCTAAATCCCTAAATGACAGAATTTAGGGTCTATCCCCTCAAATGCTCATTTGAGGATTCACACAAGTATTCTTCCTTTCTCCTCCTCTTCCTCTTTGGATTGTTGCCAATACTTCCAATCACTGGTTTGTCTGGTCCAGACTCCAGTGTTTAGAGTTTTACAACACTCGATCGATCGATTAAAACAACAACACAACGATGGATTGTATAAGGCAAGTTCTAGAGTTCTAATGATGACATAAAAAGTCAATATAAAAAAAATTGAGAGAATATATAGAAAAGGTTAGGAAATGAACTGTTTTCAGATGTCTTCATGCATTTGGAACAGACTGTGTTAAAAGGAATAGAGTATATATATAAGCATGTTGCTTCCAGTCCTTTCTACATTTTACAGTGAACCCTTGTTGATCTGGTCCCTGTTAATGTGAAAACTTGGCCTCCCAGACAACTTTATATGTAGAAAGCAACACTGGCCTGTTATCTGTCATTCCATTATTCCCCATGTGTATCAATCTGATTGATATAACTAATAACGGCATTGTCCAGATTACCGAGGTTACTCTTTATTACAAACTTCTGTATCCTGTGTGAACAGAAACCTGACCAAGATAAGACTGGTAGCCCAGTTGTGTAGATCAGTGCTCATGATGTCAATCACTGGATTGTCTGGTCCAGGCTTAATTATTTAGACACCCGTCATACCGATGAAATATTGCTGATTTAGGCAATACACAACACATGCAACATCTGATATAGGTATGACTGGTTGTATTCAGCTTCCTAGTATAGACACTCCTCATGATGTCAATCACTGGATTGTCTGGTCCAAAGTCAATTATTTACAAATGATTGTCAATATGCTACAATATTGCTGTGCGGCACTGAACAGCAAATACAACATATGTATTCAGCCTCATGCAAATAACTGTAAAATTGCTGATAAAGTTTTAAACAATATTACCTCACTAACAATGTAGTTTAGTTAATATCCGCCGTTATCCTCCTCCGTTATCGTGCATCCCATGACAGACTTCCTTGTGTTCACTTACAGAGCAGTGACATTAGATTCCGTCGGCCGACGTGTTGGGTAAATTTTGTGTCAATGTTTTGTTGGAGATGGGCAAATAATATGCCATGTGAGGCATGGATCCGTTGGTTATGGCATTTTGAAATGTTGACTAACTGCTTACTTTTGCAGATAATGTTCTGCTTAGTTTCCATATAGCTTCTGAAAGATTGACTTCATTTACAGTGATTCAGCGTTTTTTGTGACCTGTTTCGTGTATAAAATGTTTTTAAAATATTTTCTCCTTTGCTTTCTGTTTAAGAAATTTAAATGATCTTTCTTGAGCTAAATTTCAATATCATTGATGTTGTGTGGCTTTGTACGCTTTTTGTCCAAACAATTAAATGATTTCTGTTAAATGATTTTCGCTGCATCCTGCTAGGCTTGTATGACACTGTAACTGAAGTCAATTGTTGTATATAGCTTGTTTATTATCCTCCTTGATGTTAGTTTTGTAGTTATCTGTTTTTTTCCTCTCTAACCGTATTTTCCATATTTGTTTTATTGACTATGTGCTTACCTGCTTTCGATCCTTAAAAATCGTTGTCAGCTGTTCAATGTTTTAGTTGGAATACGAAATGCAGGAATCTCCTGGCTTGGATGGCTTTGGATGTCCCAGATACAGTCTCATGTTAAGACTCATTTCAAATCTGCCGCAGGGAAACTCTGGTGTGAAGCCCATTTCTGGTGTCCCCCACCGTAATATTGCTGGAATATTGTTACAAGCGGCGTAAAACTAAACTCACTCACTCACTTGTAAAACTCTGAAGCTCACTCCATGATCCAGGAGCCTTAAAGGGGAAGTGTACACGAAAAATTCATGTTTTTTCTTATGTGAACCAAAATGGAATTTTTTAATTACTTAATATCAGTGTTTGAAAATATACACTAATTTTTCTTACAATGAGTGTGTAACCCGCACTATAAGTGCTGAAATGTTATGCCATTATGAGGCCTCAGTTTGCCGAGCTAAACAGGCCAGAGTTACTGCCCTTTGATTATGACGTAATTGGTGCCAGCTGATTTAAACTGGTCTCCTGTCTAGTCCCAAAGCCAAACGATGTAAATTCTGACATTAATCACGCGAAAAACACGGATGTAAAAAAATACTTAAAGAAGCATTAGAACTGACAATGTAAGCAGCAACATAGAAATGATCGTGGGTGTATTTTAATTCATAACCTGACCTCAATGGAAATATCAAATATGTATAACAATGTTGACGATCGTATGACATCACTATCGGGAAGCCGACTTTCTCAAAATGGCGTGCATGATCTTTGTGATGTTCTTGGATATGGTTTCGGCATCAATGTGAAGAGGACGGACATATATTGTACACGATTTAAATGTAGGAATGTACCAAACGTAGAATGCCTTCACATTCACCTATGGCACGCTAGATGTAGTGCATATGTACGTTCGAGTTTTGGAGAAAGAAGTTGATTGGAAAGACCACCGACTCAGGTTGAATGTTATACAATTTGGTTAAGTGGTAACACGTTTTGTACAATGTAACAGCTGGTGTGGAACCAACCACATAGCCAGCTGACGGCCAGGCAACAGCTGGATTAAAACAGTAGCCTGCGCATCGAGACACAAGAACCACACCTATACCTGCACTACGTGAAATGGTTCTAATAAGGTCTAACGACGTCATTCGTTTATCATTTGGGCACCATTGACGTCATTTCCAAGGGACATAAGCCATGGTGTGTTCATTGTGGACATAGAACATTAGGTTAATGTGGAAACTTTGAATTGGTATAACTCAAAAAATATATTAGTTACTTCTGATATCTGTGTTGTTTTGGCTATAAAACAACTTGACAAACATTTCTTACGATGAAAAAGTGGAAGACAAAAAGGTTAATTTTCGTGTACACTTCCCCTTTAAGGGGCGGTAGGGTAGCCTTGTGGTTAAAGCATTTGCTCGTCACACCGAGGACCTGGGTTAGATTCTCATCATGGGTACAATGTGTGAAGCCCTTTTTCGGTGTCCCCTGCTGTGATATTGCTGGAATATTGCTAAGAAAGCATCCATACTTACTCACTCACTCAGAAGCTCTGACTATGATTTGAGACCACTACAGCAATTTGCATTTCAAAATTATTTCTGATTTGCCTCAAGTGTCTGTGGTACTAAGTGATACTTAAATATTCTCAAAGTTTCCATTTGGTCCTAAACTTTGAGATATTGAAGATCTAAAAGTCACTGCCATTGAGATTCTCTGCATTTCAAAAGTAATTTGTTTATATTTGTTATTTACTGCTAGCTTTTGTGTCATGTCTTTAATAATGAAACCAAAACTGCTTTATACTGACATTATATAGTGGTGGTTTTCCTAATTTATAGTTGTTCGACAGTAATCTGCTTTTGACACAGTCAGCTTTAACCAACTCTAGATCTGCTTCTCTTTAAGAATATATATGTATGTGGTTGTCATAGAAACAATGACCTACATTGTATTTTTTTATTTAAAATTTTCTAAAAATGAATGTTTTTAATATATCCTCGAGTCATCTGTTTTCGTTCAACATCTGTTTTCGGTCGCCTGTTTGCGTGTTTATTTCTCGAGGTTATTAGCGAGATATTACGTCACCAGACAGGTTATTTTTGGCAGGAGGTCGACTGCTTCAGCACTGACTAACAAAATGATTTGTGTGAAATTTAGGAAGGTACATGATTGCAAACACATGTAAATGTTACGTTTTAGAACCAAGTTTACAAATGCATAAATTTTCATGTAATCAAAATGCTATATCTAAAATATCGTCAGCTCCACCTTTTCAGTATAGCGCAAGCAGCTCTGCTTGTTTATGGTATGATGTATCATTATCACATGACATATACAATGGCGTTGCCGGGCCGTGAAAAAATATATATGGAAACTGGATAGGGTCATCTCTTATTACGCATTTTCCAAAATACTCATTTAATTTTCGAAACTCCAATGAATATTTCTGTGTCATGGGCCCAGTGTACTCATCCTGCATGATGTGTTTTGGGTCCACCTCTGCTGTGCACCTCCGATCGTGTAGTGAGATCTTCTGATGAGTTTTCGTGCCCTTGTCAGCGAACCCGGAGGAGTGAAACATGCCTGGACATGTGATGTAACTAGCAAAGTCTTATCATGATTAACTTTCACATGAAATTATTACGCACCATAGTTTCTAATAATTATTATTGGAACTATTACAAATATTCTTTTTTTGGACTGGATGTTTATCAACTTTATATTATAAAAATATCAGCATAGCACTAATACTGCACTTAGATTTCTGTTTTCACGGAGAACCCAATGAAGTGAACGAAAACAGATGACGTCACTTCCGTATTCACGATCTGTGCGTAGCGAACTATGAGGCCTGCTCTGCGGGTGAAACACGAGGTTAATCCGTCAGATATTTGAATATCATAAATAAATAACAAACAAACGAGGTAGGTTTGTTTATTGTCGATTTATTCATGCACTTTATGTTACGTTGGTCGGCAATCCTTACATGACCGAAAACCGAATACACAAGGATATATAATGTCCAAATGTCTGTGATTCTCTGTTGAATTAATCTTTTCAAAAAATCAATTTTGTGTATTTACTTTGTGTACCATGATTACTGTTGAGTAAAATATTGACAAAATGTTTAAGATTCATTGTTTGGATGACAATCTCTATGTGTTATTGTTAGACATTATGAATTTCTACGTAACAAGTGCCTTAGATGAGTGTGTAGTGCTAATCACCTGTGTCTATTACTACGTACTTTCACTACTCTAGTGTTAAGTATTACCGTTTCCTCACCATATAGAACTATAGCTCATAGCTGCTACATGCACTGAATATACTAATTCTGGAAATGAAGGATTACTCTGCAGGTACTATACAGAGTTGCCCCCCTTCACCATTCCAGGATCTAATAATCATAGCTTCAAATCCCAGATTCTTTCTGATCAGAATTCTTGTCAGTTAGCCATTATTGATGTTTTTGTGCCTTGATATTGCTGGAAATTGCTTAAAGTGGCGTAAAACCAGACTCTCTCACTCACTCACTCTCTCACACACGTGTCTGTCAGCACCATATCCTTTTAGTTGATGTAATCTTATTGGTAAATTGGACATTTTTCACTGAGTCTTTTCTTGCACATATGCTGGCACACTGTTATATGACTGCAGTACTTATAACATAATCACCTGATTGTCTTCCCCAGGAGGTGATGGAGTATCTTGACAGTGATTCTGTTGTACAAGCCATGGTGGTAGCATACGGTGACATCAAGGTGAGCTTTCTTAATCAAATAGACCTGTGAATGACCGGGTTAGAATATTGATCTTCAGTAACCCATGCTTGTCGTAAGAGGCGACTAAAGGGATCGGGTGGTCAGGCTCACTGACTTGGTTGACACATGTCATCGTATCCCAATTGCGCAGATCGATGCTCACGCTGTTGATCACTGGATCGTCTGGTGCAGACTCGATTATTTACTGACCGCCGCCATATAGCTGGAATATTGCTGAGTGAGGCGTAAAACTAAACTCACTCACTCACTCACTCTTAATCAAATAATTAACTAAATGTTATTGAAGTATTTTGTTTAAGATTTGTTTTAATCACATATATGCATTACACCTTTCCTATAAAACATACAGAAATTTCATATGAGAAAGGTCCTTACACTGGATTGTATAGAATTGTATCTAATAATGTAGTTTCTATAAACTATTGTTATTGTATTTATCCTATTTAATTTTTGTTTCATCTTCTGGTGTAGGTTGTAAGTACTAAGGCAAAGGTTTACTGTTAAAAATGCAATGGATTAAAAATTTAATACTCTTGCCGTGGCACAGAAATATTTGGAAATGATTCACTTTTTGATTTCATTGATTATTTTGTGGTATTTTTGTGAATTGTACTAACATATCCTTTTGTCGGTCATACATGTTGCTGGTAGGATTTAGAACTTGTGGTGGTAAGTCTGAGTGTACACTGGAATGAATTCATCATCATAATTGTTAGTTGTGAGGAAAACATTATCTTGTCATGACTCTATATCATTGATCATTGTGTGTATGTTTTTCCATCATGTAGGATACTTCTGCCATGCATGTCAGAGAGGTAAAAACGAAGATATTAATTCATTTAGCTGTGTATCATTGCCACTTTCATTAGGAGCACTGGATATCGTATTTACACAAAACACTGTATTTATCTTGTCAATACTCCGCCTGGCGCAAAGTAATACTTAAAATATCAATGCAATTATGGGTTAATATCCTAAAGGAAACCTTAAGTATCACATATTTTATAATATTTTCATAATATTTCACAGTCTTTGAAATTCGGGCTTGTCTGTTAGCCCAAGACAACTAATAGTGTTGGGGGCAAGTGAAAATCTTGTCATGGTAGTCTTCAGTGGTATGTAGGATTTGAGGGTTATTTGTCTGAACCATCTTCAGTGTTTCAACTTTGCTACAAATTTGACTTGAATAAAAATCACGGAAGATGTAATTTAGTAAATATATTGTCTTGTTCAAGGACAAGCTACAAACTCTGAGAACTAGTGACATGAGATTCACATAGTCCTTTGAACTTGTCTAAAAGGGTGAATTTCAAAGGCCGAATTCATAACAACTTATTAATGATGAAATGATATTTTGTCTGGAAAATAATAACTTGTGGAAAAGTATGAAGACACAAACACATCGATATTCAGTCCATATTGTTTGCAGGAATATCTTATCCTTCACTTGATGTAGGGGCAAGGAAAAATGTCATCAGAAAGAGATGTCATCCATAAATGTTTCATTCTTCATCCTCATCCAGTTAGAGATCTCAGTCAAAATATTATTCATCATTAATGAGTTATGAATTTAACAGATATTTTTTAAGAAGAATTTCTTCAGCTTCTAAATGCCAGTCAAGGAGATGTAGGAAGTATATTTTGACTCCCCATCATGTTGATAGAAGAACATTTCAGTTGGATAGCAGTGCTCCAAATGGAACTGACGTGTGTCTAGCTATATGTTTGTTTATGTGTTGCATCCAGTAATCTCTGTCCTCATCTGAAGTCCTCATCCTGTATTATTTGTATTGTCTTTGTGAACATCATCTTTGTGTGTGCCATGTATTTGTCTGTTTTGTCGGAGAATTGTCGTTCTGTAATGATTGTCATTCTTGTCATCAAAACTAGATCCAGTTATTTCTGCTCAAAGATTTTCTCAGTTACAAAATACCTTTAATTACTTTTTTAAAATCACAATCCTGTTATGTTCAGAGTCTCAAATATATCAATGTATCAAGATGTTTCTTTATAACTGGGGTAACCCAGTGGTTACAGCGTTCGATTGTCACGCTGAAGCCCTGGGTTCAATCTCCACATGGGTGCAATGTGTGAAGCCCATTTCTGGTGTCCCCTGCCATGATATTGCTGGAATATTGCTGAAAGTGGCGTAAAACTAAAATCACTCACTGACTTAATACATGGACGATGCATGACCTTCCCTGTGTCCCCTGTGCAATCACAACATACTGTTTGGCACACTCCTTTGGTGCACTTATCCTGCACTTACCCTGCAATTACCCTGCATGTCAGTGCTGCACTTTAATCCTTACAAAAGCCGAGACACCTTTTCTATTAAGAGACTCATCATATATAACAAGGAGGTTTAGGGTTGATGGATTTGATGTTATTCTTAGCTACCTGTTAAAATTTATCATGAAAATAGTGCTATTATGAGCCTTGTCCGTCTGTCATTTTTACTTTTCTTGGTTTCCATGGAAATGCTTCGGACTTAGTCTCAAAAGGGAGGGGTTGGCTTCATTTCCGGAGCACAACTCGAAAACCGTTTTATTTGTTTTTAACAAGATATATTAAACAGAACCTAAAGTGGTGCCTTTTGATATAATTTTGTCATTTTTATTTTTCTTGGTTTCCATGGAAATGCTTTGGACTTAAACGCTTTGGTCTAAAAAAAGGAATCAAGCTGGACTTTAAGTAACTGTTAGATGATTTGTTCTTTCGAATATGTGGGGGCCGGGGGAATATGTCATCTTCTGATGACTCTTGTTTCATGTTAATTAAAAATTCCTACAGAGATTGTTTTTTTTATTTTTCAAAATATTTCTTTGCACTCTGTTGTGGATATTTCATGAACAGTTTTACCTGAAAATATTGCTGTAGATGACAGAAAATGTGGTCAAGGAAGTAGGACATTTGTGGACGATGTCAAGACTCTGTGACTGGTTTAATAATAGCGTGAAGTAGCAATACTCTGATCCATGTTGAATCAATGTATGTCATGCATTTGCTGTTCATTTAAAGCGTCTCCCAACCCTACTTGTCATCTGATACTCTCTGCCATGTCTTTCCTCTTTGTTGTGTTGTGCGGAGTTTACAAAGCATGTGAAATAAGTGTATATAGGTTGTACCATAAATAGTCTCTTTGAGAGGTCATTACTTATACTACATCTGTTTGCTTGTTTGTTATTATATTTGAAAACATGCTATTAAATAGTGATAATATGTAATAGTTATCATGATAATTCATATTTGTATATTTGATAAAAAAAACGACTGTGGAAATTTATGTATTTTGTGCTAATTATCATTCAAATGAAATAGGAAAAAGACAATCATTTTTGCATGTCAAATCCAACCTCTTCAGGCTACTTGTGGTACTAGTGCATGCAGTTACTATTTGATTACAACTAACTTCATAAATTCAGACTTGTTGCAAGGAGAGATAGCACTGATGTTTTCATTATGATTAAGGATGGGAGGGATGGGTACAGCATTCACTTATAATGCTGCAGACATGGGTTTGATTCCCTACATGGTTACAAAGTATGAAATCCATTTCTGATGCCCCCGATGTGATATTGCTGGAATATTGTCAAAAGTGCCATAAAACCATATTCACTATCATGATGAAATAAATGATAATTTCAGATGATAAATGTTCATCTATGACAAATATTACCCAAATGTTTTACAGTTTTGGTTACTATTGAGGACACATTTACATGGATTTAACAAGTTTCTCTAACTGAAAAAAGTCTGTATTCAGAGGCTGACATTTTCAACTGACTTCTTGTTTGATATTTCTTGATGGGGGAATATGAGGAGGTGTTCTTGGATGAAAATGCTTCAGTACAAATATCCATCATCATCATCATCATCATCATCACCATCACCATCATCATCACCATCAGCATTAATCCGGGTTAAAATTGGTCTTCAGCAACCCATGCTTGTCGTAAAAGGCGACTAACGTATCGGATGGTCAGGCTCGCTGACTTTGTTGAAACAGGTCATCGTATCCCAACTGTGTAGATCGATGGTCATGGTGTTGATCACTGGATTGTCTGGTCCACTCTCGATTATTTACAGACTGCCGCCATATAGCTGGAATATTGCCGAGTGCAACGTATACGTATCATCGTCATCATCATCATCATCATCATCATCATGTTTTACCGATCGAAATATAATGCAGAAGAGAGAGAAGTTGGGTTGTCATCATTACAATCACTATTATTATTATCTTTGTTCTCTAGAGAACAACGGAAACAGCCCAGCTTGCCAACCTGGTGAGTGACGTCGGCTTTGCGTACTACCACATCCTGTGTCGCATGATGGATCTTCACGAGGAGATCACTAAACCCAGTAAGTCAATGCCTTGTCCGCCACGTCCCTGTTTGTGTCTCTCACACGACAGACATCTTAATGCCTGAAACACATTCATCGTCTACATGCTTATCAGTGCATCTGCCTCAACGTGTCCGTGTCTCTGGTTGCAGTGCTGATCAAGACACCAGAGAGTGAGATTGCATGGACCTACTTCTTTGACAACACCCTTTCCATTGAGGTTCTGAAGGAAGACATCCTCCAGAAGATCTACTTCCATGTCAAAGACAAGGTAAGAGGCCACTGCCAGATTTATAACATAAGAAAATGATATTATTGATAACTACTTCTTGTTTGTTGCATATACCAACATATATACGTACAGACTGTAGATTGTTACTTTGGTCATTTCTTTCATGTACGGAGGCAGCCATCTTTAAAAATGGCTTTGAGAATGGTGGTTACAAATGTTTGGAATCCAGACATCCAATCACTGCACCTCATTTGGTCATATTCCAGATGTATCTGTCTGTGGTCTCACTGTGGTCTGTCAGTGTTTGCCCAACTGGTTTTAATCACAAGTTGTGCATAGGATATTTGTAAAGAGCGCTCCAAGGAACATAACTTGGGTTTGCTTGAAATCATTTTCGGCCAGTAGAGTGCGCAAGAGTCTGGATTACACAATCTAGTGACTGACATCAGAAGCATCTATCAACACAATTAGGATACACAGGGTTTTACATAGCTCTTCGAACCTGGAGTCCTGGGGACTCCGGGCATATGAATTCTGAGAGTCCGTTTCCAAAATTGGGAGTACATCAATTTGCATGAAATCAATGATCATGGATGCTTCCCATTTGATAGTGGTTATGTTATAATGTGTGTTACTTTCAATATCATTCGAATAATGTTTTAATATGGGATATTACAAACTCAGAAAGTTCTTTCCCAGAAAAAAATGATATTGCGTCCACAAGGACGCACAGGATTTTAGTTTGGGGGTACTTCATCAAATTTCTGCGTCCAATATGCAGGAATCACAGGTCCCATAAAACACTGGACACAACACAGCAGTGAGGTCAGTGAGCCTGACCACCCAGTTCTGTTAGTTACTGGTCAGTCAGGGTCACTAGCTTGCTCTACACAAACAGGACAAACAAACAGTGGATCCAGGTGTAAAGATGGGGCACTTCTCCTCCTGAGAAAATGTTTACTTCAGATCAACAAGATCAAAGCCAGAGATAGAAACATGTTGTCTTTGAAGTGTGCCACATGTCACTCATAATATAGCTTAGATGTGCTCTTTGACATTGAAGTGTATAGACAACAGCTGAACTACTGATCCACCTTCCAAGTCAGCTAGTTGAACCCCTTCCTTGTCAGTGATTGGTCATACCCTTTCTAGTATGTAATAATACCCTTGCTAGTATGAGATAATACCTTTTCCAGTATGTGATAATACCCTTTCCAGTATATGATAATACCCTTTCCAGTATGTGATAATACCCTTTCCAGTATGTGATAATACCCTTTCCGGTATGTGATAATATCCTTTCCGGTATGTGATAATATCCTTTCCGGTATGTCATAATACCCTTACCAGTATGTGATAATACCCTTTCGAGTATATGATAATACCCTTTCCGGTATGTGATAATATCCTTTCCAGTATGTGATAATACCCTTTCTAGTATGTGATAATACCCTTTCCAGTATGTAATAATACCCTTTCCAGTATATGATAATATCCTTTCCAGTATGTGATAATACTCTTTCCAGTACCGGGTATATGATAATATCCTTTCTAGTATGTGATAATATCCTTTCCGGTATGTGATAATATCCTTTCCGGTATGTGATAATACCCTTTCCAGTATGTGATAATATCCTTTCCAGTATATAATATCCTTTCCAGTATGTGATACTGTGAAGATCTGGGTTAGAATTGGTTCTTCAGCAACCCATACTTGTCAGTAGAGACAACTAACAGGATCAGGTGGTCAGGCTTGCTGACCTTGTTGGCACAGGTCATTGTATCCAAATTATGAAGATTGATGCTCATGCTGTTGATCACTGGATTGTCTGGTCCAGACTCAATCATTTACAGACTGCCACCATATAGCTGGAACATTTGCTGATTGCAGCTTTAAACAACAAACAAATCAGTCAATCAATCTTCATTCTTTTATTACAATAATATATTACAAGCTTTATATATTTAACATTAAGCCTAAAAAGTATGTTTAGTGCATGTTCCATCAGGTACCAAACTTCCTTCGACCATGCCATTATGTCATTAAGTTTGTATTGGCACTGAAATGCAAAGAATTTCCCGCCATTTCTTTATTATGTCCTGAATTATTCCATGTGAACCTTTTTTTCTACTTGTTGAAACACCATTATTCCGTGTACAGAACGTACTCCGTGAGGAAATTAAGGAAAAGTTCAAGTATGATGTGGACAGGTCATCGCCTAGCAACAAGCTGCGAGACTTCATGGATTGGTCTCAAGACATTATCGCAGACATCAAGTACCAGCGGAAGGTCCATGCAAACCCTATGGCCCGTTTGTTTGTCCAGAGCTGGTCAGTAATTCTTGCCATTGTGTAGGTATAGAAACTGTTAAGTCAACAGATATGCATGAATTCTTGCCATTGTCTAGGTATTGGAATTGCTAAGTCAGCAGATATACAGGAATACTTGCCATTGTCTAGGTATCAAAAGTGCTAACTCAACAGATATACAGGAATGCTTGCTATTGTCTAGCTATTGAAACTGCCAACTCAACAGATATACACGAATACATGTACTTGCCATTGTCTAGGTATTGAAACTGCCAACTCAACAGCTATGCACAAATACATGTACTTGCCATTGTCTAGGTATTGAAACTGCCAACTCAACAGATATACACGAATACTTGCCATTGTCTAGATATAGAAACTGCCAACTCAACAGATATACACGAATACTTGCCATTGTCTAGATATAGAAACTGCCAACTCAACAGATATACACGAATACTTGCCATTGTCTAGATATAGAAACTGCCAACGCCAACAGATATATACACGAATACTTGCCATTGTCTAGATATAGAAACTGCCAACTCAACAGATATACACTCTAATACTTGCCATTGTCTAGATATAGAAACTGCCAACTCAACAGATATACCACAAATACTTGCCATTGTCTAGATATAGAAACTGCCAACTCAACAGATATACACAAATACTTGCCATTGTCTAGATATAGAAACTGCCAACTCAACAGATATACGAATACTTGCCATTGTCTAGATATAGAAACTGCCAACTCAACAGATATACACGAATGCTTGCCATTGTCTAGATATAGAAACTGCCAACTCAACAGATATACACGAATACTTGCCATTGTCTAGATATAGAAACTGCCAACTCAACAGATATACACAAATACTTGCCATTGTCTAGATATAGAAACTGCCAACTCAACAGATATACACGAATACTTGCCATTGTCTAGATATAGAAACTGCCAACTCAACAGATATACACGAATGCTTGCCATTGTCTAGATATAGAAACTGCCAACTCAACAGATATACACGAATACTTGCCATTTGTCTAGGTATTGAAACTGCCAACTCAACAGATATACACCGCGAATACTTGCCATTGTCTAGATATAGAAACTGCCAACTCAACAGATATACACGAATACTTGCCATTGTCTAGGTATTGAAACTGCCAACTCAACAGATATACACGAATACTTGCCATTGTCTAGATATAGAAACTGCCAACTCAACAGATATACACGAATACTTGCCATTGTCTAGGTATTGAAACTGCCAACTCAACAGATATACACGAATACTTGCCATTGTCTAGATATAGAAACTGCCAACTCAACAGATATACACAAATACTTGCCATTGTCTAGATATAGAAACTGCCAACTCAACAGATATACACGAATACTTGCCATTGTCTAGATATAGAAACTGCCAACTCAACAGATATACACGAATGCTTGCCATTGTCTAGATATAGAAACTGCCAACTCAACAGATATACCACGAATACTTGCCATTGTCTAGATATAGAAACTGCCAACTCAACAGATATACACAAATACTTGCCATTGTCTAGATATAGAAACTGCCAACTCAACAGATATACCGCGAATACTTGCCATTGTCTAGATATAGAAACTGCCAACTCAACAGATATACACGAATGCTTGCCATTGTCTAGATATAGAAACTGCCAACTCAACAGATATACACGAATACTTGCCATTTGTCTAGGTATTGAAACTGCCAACTCAACAGATATACACGAATACTTGCCATTGTCTAGATATAGAAACTGCCAACTCAACAGATATACACGAATACTTGCCATTGTCTAGGTATTGAAACTGCCAACTCAACAGATATACACGAATACTTGCCATTGTCTAGATATAGAAACTGCCAACTCAACAGATATACACGAATACTTGCCATTGTCTAGGTATTGAAACTGCCAACAGATATCAACAGATATACACGAATACTTGCCATTGTCTAGATATAGAAACTGCCAACTCAACAGATATACACGAATACTTGCCATTGTATAGATATAGAAACTGCCAACTCAACAGATATACACGAATACTTGCCATTGTCTAGATATAGAAACTGCCAACTCAACAGATATACCGCGAATACTTGCCATTGTATAGATATAGAAACTGCCAACTCAACAGATATACCACGAATACTTGCCATTGTATAGATATAGAAACTGCCAACTCAACAGATATACACGAATACTTGCCATTGTCTAGATATAGAAACTGCCAACTCAACAGATATACACGAATACTTGCCATTGTCTAGATATAGAAACTGCCAACTCAACAGATATACACGAATACTTGCCATTGTCTAGATATAGAAACTGCCAACTCAACAGATATACACGAATACTTGCCATTGTCTAGATATAGAAACTGCCAACTCAACAGATATACACGAATACTTGCCATTGGCTCAGTCTGGCATGTGCTGACTCATCACATATTTTTTCACCTGCACTCTTGCGCCACACACAGCCAATCCCAAGTCTGATAACCTTATTCTTGAGATAATTGCCACCATTAGGGATGTGTCCTCACCTTAAAGTTCCTTTAAATTTGGACTGCTATTTTTCTTCTCCTTGCAGGCCATGGGTGAACATACTAGTGATGATCGTGTCTGTCGCTATTGCCTTTCTCGTATTGGTCACATGGCAAGAGAACCCTGCCAACGCTGCAGAGTAAGTGATACATTGTCCCTTTTACCATGGTTACCCGGAAAACATCTACCAATCACAGCTTGAATCCTATACTCTGCCTGACCAGTTTATTTTTTTGTGTCTGTTTTTTCAATGAAAGATATTGATTCTATGATGTTCAGCAACATGACAGAGACAAAAGGTACAAGTTTCACACTACTTGATTGGAGTTGTTCCAAGGTCAGACTTGAAGGCCAAGCATCATAAAGTGATCTTATCTTGTATACCTGTGTCTGTTTTATATGGGCTTACCAGAGCCCAGCTGCACAAACAATCTTCAAGCTACAACAATTGTGACTTCAATATATAAACATGCCCTTATAACAGTCTTTTTTCTATTTTGCAACTATGAAATAAAGACTTATTGTCCCTCACGACTTGCCTGAAATCGATAATTGAAACATCCAGGCAAACAGCTTCCAAACAGAGAATACTTGCCATATATCGAATGTAAAGAATTACTCCGTACATCGAAAGCTGTCGCAAGTGGTGTTGTCAGTGTTTGCCAAACTGGTTTCAGTCACAAGTTGTGCATACGATATTTGTACAGAGTGCTCCAAAGAACATAGCTCTATGGGGTTGACAGTTCGCGTGAAATAATTTTCGGCCAATAGAGGGCTCTAGAGTCAATTTAATGCATTAACGTTGCATTAATTCATTTGAAGTTTTTAATTCAATATTGTAATGTAAATACATAATTTTGGGGGGAATAAATTATATGGTAGCTTCCCTGAGGGCTGATAGTTAGTATTTAATTACTAGTTGAATAGAATGACTATATTTGGAATAATTAGAATATAACAAAGAGAGACCTTTATGATTATGTTTTTTGTAATGTAATTAAAACCTTATTTTCAAGGGATTCTTTTCAAACAAAAAATCAAATGTAACATTTTTAATGCTTTTTTACAAATACATTGCCCCCAAACTTTACTGTCACCTCATTCATAAGAGTAGGTTGAATAGAGTCTCTGAGTAGATACAGAACTGTAACCTAAATTCGTTGATAACCTTGATTAGTGGATCACGGTAATTACCATGCTACCTCAGTAAATTAAGTCTCATTATGATGGCACGGCGATACTTTTGATGTACACACAGTGCCACACCTAAGCTGACAAAAGGTTCGAATATCTGCATTACACGTAAGTACACTAAATCTAATTGTCCAACACTGAGATAAATAACCCAAGATCACTATTGCCACCAATACCAAGTTTTATCTCTACAATATGTCAAGTAAAAAGATTTGTTAGCACCAACCTTCTCACATCTCGTCATCTGCTTTCCTAGGTGTCAATACTTATTGCAATGGACTGTCGTACACAGTGATACATTTTAACCGACTACGTAATCCACGAAACAAGGTGACATCACATTTTGTGGGAACACGAATGGGTGATGATTGCATATGGCATCCGTAAACAAACGTTTCATTCATGGGTGAAATATCTGGCATTTTAAAATTCGCTGAATCAATGAATAAAATAATCAGTCAGTATACAAAATGAAATTGTGTATTTAAAATATGATTTTCACCACACTTCCCTTATATCCACGAATCACGGTTCTGTGAGTGTATATATATATATAATTTTGCAAGAAACAAAGAAAATTTTTACATTGAAATGGAGCCCCAGTAAGATGGGAGAAAGAAAGGAAAAGCATCATTACAGACAGGGCGGAGTTGATGAGAAGATAACGAGGTTCAACGACTGTGAGACTCACTCAAGCTTCTACTGTGAGCTTGTTGACATCTTCATTTAAACATTGATATAAGTGTATTCCCTCAGATTGATTAACTGACTGCTTTGCTTCCAGTGCTGTCCCCAGAACAGACAAATGGACTGGCGCCTACTACATGACCTTCATCCTCGGTGGCATCCACAACATCCTCTCCCTGATGATCGTCATCAGCTACTTCATCTCCAACCACCCACCTTCCAGGGATAAAGGACTTCAAGGCTGTGGAAGTAGGTTGAAAACTGTCGCGTAACAGGGAAATTATGTATGACAGGAATGTGGGGTTTGTGAAGAAAGAGATGTTTGTGAGGAAATTATATTTGTGAGAAAGGTCATGTATGTCAGTCAATTAGTGGAGCAACAGTTTGGTAGAGTTAGGGTATGGTTACACCAAACTGCCACTCCGTTATGGTCATGTTACGACCATCGCGATTGTGAACTCGAAGAGGGTCACGGTGAGTCGTTCAATTGCTTGCCATTTGCGATTACACCAAAAGTTATTTGCGACTGATAACAGAAAATTCCCCAGTTTTATTGCGACCTGATTATGAGACCACTCTCATTAGTCTCATAGATCTCAATCAGGTCTCAGTTTCTCGCTTCTAGTTTATGAGCTATATGCAAGTCTGCTTCAACCCAGTTGCAACCCCCTTGCAACCATTAGAGATCGACTTGCTACCGAATTAAGAGTTCTGACCGAGCCCTGTGGCGATCGTTGTGACCATCGCTGCGAGTATGAGATCGAGTTGCAACTCAACCAGGATTAGTAGGAACAATACGTAGCGACTGAAAAACTCCTAACACTTTGCCATCATTGATGCAACCGAATGGGGACTCTGTTACAATCAATGACCGAAATTGAGAGTGCATTAAGACCTATGCGATCTCATTGCGACCACATTTGAGACCTCTTTTGACTGTCATCGGTCGCACAACTTTTGCGAGTGTTTTTTTACAATAAAAACACTCACAAACCCCTTTGCGACCGATGGAGAGTAATTGCGACCATAGAGACCATGTTTGAGACCATGGAGACCGCGTTGAGACTAATTTGCGACCTTATTGCGAGTCTTAGCGAGTGATGGCGAGCAAAGGCCATAGTTCGGTCGTAACTCGGTCTCCAGCCTGGTATAACCGTGGTGTTAGAGTGTTGGAATGGGAAGGAAACCAATTTAAGGAGAGCAATGGTGGCTAGGATAGATAAGGGGAAAGGGACGATGGTGACAAACGATGTTGGTTGAAGACTCTTGTAGGGAAGGTTTTAGTGAGGTAGGGTATGGTGGTAGCCTCTTATGTGAGAACGTTCTGCTTCTAGGATGATCACACCCAAACGGATCCATTCGAAGGTCGAAAATGAGGAGGAGGAACAGAAGAAGGGCGGCCATCTTGAAGTGAAGTTTTTCGGGTTTCTCACGTTCTACTACATTGTAAGTGTGTGAACTTTGACCTGCCTTGTTATTCCCCATTATATAATGGAGAGGAATATAATTACCAGGTTGCCTGTCAGTCCATCATTCTGTCCATTTGTAATAATTTTTTTATATGGTTCAAATCAAAATAACTAAGTGGTGTTCCTTTATGATATTATACACAACGACCAGAATGTCATCATATGCCTTTTGCTTTTTAGGGATTTTTTAGAATTTGTATTCTTTGGTATTTGTATTTTTCTCTTATCACAGCAGAAATATTGACTTTGACTCTTTTAATAGTGTTTTTTATCCACAGTTTTCGTCCAAATTTTGTGTCTACAATTTAACAGCTGCCATATAGCAGGAATATTGCTGAGTGCGGCATAAAACTAAAGTCACTCACTCATTACAAATTAACATCTGGTATAACAGTACGAGTATTTAAGTGTCGACATTGTACAATTATACCAGTCTAATGATAGTCAGTATTCTAGTGTCAGTATTCCAGTATTCTAGTGTCAGTATTCCAGTATTCTAGTGTCAGCACTCCAGTATTCTAGTGTCAGTACTCCAGTATTCTAGTGTCAGTATTCCAGTATTCTAGTGTCAGTATTCCAGTATTCTAGTGTCTGTATTCTAGCATCAGTATTCCAGTCTTCTAGTGTCAGTATTCCAGTATTCTAGTGTCAGTATTCCAGTATTCTAGTGTCAGTATTCCAGTATTCTAGCATCAGTATTTTATTGTCAGTATTCCAGTATTCTAGTGTCAGTACTCCAGTATTCTATCATCAGTATTCCAGTATTCTAGTGTCAGTACTCCAGTATTCTAGTGTCAGTATTCCAGTATTCTAGCATCAGTATTTTATTGCCATTATTCTAGTGTCAGTATTCCAGTGTCAGTATTCCAGTATTCTAGTGTCAGTACTCCAGTATTCTAGTGTCAGTACTCCAGTATTCTAGTGTCAGTATTCTAGTCTTCTAGTGTCAGTATTCCAGTCTTCTAGTGTCAGTATTCCAGTATTCTAGTGTCAGTATTCCAGTGTTGTAGTGTCAGTATTCCAGTATTTTAGTGTCAGTATTCCAGTATTCTAGTGTCAGTATTCTAGTATTCTAGCATCAGTATTCCAGTATTCTAGCATCAGTATTCTGGTATTCTAATGTCAGTATTCTAGCATCAGTATTCTAGTGTCAGTATTCCAGTCTTCTAGTGTCAGTATTCTAGTGTCAGTATTCCAGTATTTTAGTGTCAGTATTCCAGTGTTGTAGTGTCAGTATTCCAGTATTCTAGTGTCAGTATTCCAGTATTCTAACATCAGTATTCCAGTATTCTAGCATCAGTATTTTAGTGTCAGTATTCCAGTATTCTAATGTCAGTATTCCAGTATTCGAGCATCAGTATGCTAGTGTCAGTATTTCAGTATTCTAGTGTCAGTATTCCAGTATTCTAGCCTTGTATTCTAGTGTCAGTATTCCAGTATTCTAGCATCAGTATTCTAGTGTCAGTATTCCAGTATTCTAGCATCAGTATTCTAGTGTCAGTACTCCAGTATTCTAGTGTCAGTATTCCCACGTGTGTCATCTGTTGCAGTGCTTCCTGGGCTTCTCAGTGAGCGGCACCGCCCTGTACGGCTACTTCTTTTCCCTGCACCTCCTCCACATGGCGATGCTCAACCAGCTGCTGAAGAGGGTGATCCAGGCCGTCACACGCAACGGTCAGCACACATCATTCTTTCTAGTCATGTCTTGTTGGGTCAAGGCTGGTGAGCTGGCCTAGTGGTTAAGGCATTTGCTTGTCAGGCTGTAGACCAAGGTTCAATTGCCAACATTGGTACAGTATGTGGAGCCCATTTCTGGTGTTCCTGGTGATGATATTGCTGTTATATTGCTAAACGCCTTGTAAAAGTGGGCTTACTGAATTTGTTTGTCAAGTAGCAGTCAAAGGGTTTTCTATTATCACTAGGTTTTTATCTGTTTTCAAACATTTGATCGTTCAAACTACATATAAATTGATTTTAAGGATATTTTTCAAATATGTAAGAGTCAAGGGTGGTCTTACAATGGTGTGGGGCAGTGGGGTAGCCTAGTGGTTAAAGCATTCGCTCGTCACGGCAAAGACCCAGGTTCGATTCCCCACATGGGCACAATGTCAGAATCCTATTTCTTGTGTCCTCCACCATGATATTGCTGGAATATTGCTAAAAGCAGCGTAAAACCTCACTCACTCACTCACTCACTCACTCTCTCACTCACTCACTCACTCACTCACTCTCACACTCACTCACGAACTCACGAACTCACGAGTCAAGGGTGGTCTGTAGACAAACATGTCACTGAAAACCTAACCTGACTTGGGTCATATGATATTTCACATTGGGGATGAGGATTTGTTAAGAGCCCAGTAGGGTGTCCATGTTAAGCTGAAGTTGGTATCTCTGTGGGTTGGCACAAAAACCAGCAGTTCTAGTACATCCAGCCACACACCAATACACACAAACATGCATATCACTGTGCAAACATCTTTGTTTTAATAAGTGTTGTTCATTTGTTGTGGTTTGAACTATCTGAAATAGGGACTCAAATATTGAGTGGAGGGAAACCGTTAATACTTTCCACCAGTGTATGAAATAAGCCCAAAATCCAGCCAGACATCAGGGCTGGTAACTTTAAAATGTTACCACCCCAAAATGGATTTAACCAGACCAAATATGGTGAATTTACTCAGATGTATGGAACATCAAAAAAAATTACCAGACCAACGGGCTGGCTAGCTGTAAATTTAGACCATCCGTCAGAAATCTAGATCGTCTCGGGCGGTCGGACGGGCCTTATTTCATACACTGTTTCCACCCTGAACAGCTGCATCAGACAGCTCACGATGCACCCTGTAATAGCTGCTGGGTAATGATGATGACATGATGCACGAGCTAAATATGCATATGCTGTTATGACAATGGAAGGAAAACAGTATATATGGATGAACAACTTCTTTATTGCAGTGAGAGCGACGTTTCGGTGAAGGTTCTAACACTGTTATCAAGCAAGTGATGAACCTACACCAAAATGTCACTCTCGCTGCAATAAAGAAGTTGTTCATCCATATATTGTTATCCTTCCTTCTGCTCCAACTTCTAAATGGCTCTCAAAGAAGTCATTATAACAACCTATAATGTCTTGTGATTTCACCTCCCCTCATCCTTGTGTTACTACAGGTTGGTCTCTGGTTCTGGTAGCGCTGCTCGGGATCGCCATCATGTACATCTTCTCCCTAGTCAGCTTCGCTTTCTATAGGAATGTCCTCACCGCAGCGGACGGACGTCACTGCCGCACCATCTACGAGTGCCTCACCACCATGATTCACCATGGTCTCATTGAAGGGGTGTATAATGTAAGTGATGGAGGTTCTCAGGCTCAGAGTGAGTATGGTTTTTACGCCGCTTTCAGCAATATTCCAGCAATATCACGGAACACCAGGAATGGGCTATACATATTGTTCCCATGTGGAGAATCAAATCCGGGTCTTCAGCGTGAGGAGTGGACGCTTTAATCATTAGGCTACTCCACCGCCCCCAACAGGTTCACATGTGCAAGGAGTTGCAATGCTGTAATCAGTGTTATGTCCAGTTAGCTGTCATGATCTGCCGTCTAGGGTTGGAATCTGAGATCCATCTGCACCAGTCATCAGTCTTAGTTCATAGTAAAATGGATGCTACGAAAGGGGGCTATGTTGGTGTATCTTAACCATGATGTTTGAATCTGCTGATCATGGTTTTCACTGATATGAACCATCTACCATCAGACTTGGGAAAATGTTTTAAGGTAACGAGGGTCCTCAGGCTTTCATGCAAGACTTTCCAGTTATACTGCAGACATCATTGAAAAGTACATTACTGGTATGGCAGTTGTTTCAGTCATAAAAACACCTTGTGATTTGTTGTAGTTTTGTTTAATTCTGAACAAGCATTGTGTCATTTGAATCACATGCTGAGACCATTTAAAGCAAGCATTGAGTCATTTGAAGCAAGCATTGTGTCAATTAGATCAAGCATTGTATCATTTAGATCAAACATTGTGTCATTTAGATCAAGCATTGTGTCATTTGATCTAGTGTTGTGTCATTTGAATCAAGCATAGTGTTATTTAAATAGACTCGAAACAAATATATGGTGGATGGGCCCAGGGTATTTATCAGAAAGGAACCCTTTTAACCCCTGGATAACCCAGGATGGTTTGTCCCATGATGCTCCTACATTATTTTTGATAGTGGAAGTAAACTTACTCATTCTTGTTTTGCTAGGTGATGGAACCTTCCTTGGCTGGAAGAGATTACCATTTTCACCTGGGTGTGACTGTGTTCGACACCGTCTTCTTCATCCTTATCACCACCATCGGCCTCAACATCATCTTTGGTATCATCGTGGACACCTTCTCTGAGCTTAGAGACAATAAGGTAACTTTAATTCAAGCCATAACAGTTAGCTAAACAATGAGTCCATTATAAAGAAATGTTCAATTATTATTTTCAGGAATTTTAGAATAAATCTGTCAATGAAGTATTCACCCTTGGCCAAGAACATTTCAAGGTCATCAGCTTCAAGCAGACAGAGCTTCACTGTATGCTGGTATTTACCAGTCAGAAAATGAAATAATGTGATGTACAGTAAGCTACGTGTACGAGCCCGCTCATAATCAACTGCCAGGTATCAGCATGTTCTGGTCTCAGGCACTTGCTGTATATTTCAGTCCAAATGCATGTATGCAAAACCAAAATAGTGGTCTCTTCAAGTTTGTCATAATGATAGTTTGCTGCAATAATAATCATGTAAAACTCCTTGTATATCTGCTGTACCTCAAACTTTGGAGTCAACTTTGAACAACGTTCTATTGTTTCCAGTGGCAAATCGACCATGACATGAAGTCAAACTGTTTCATCTGCAGCCGGGAAAGCTATGACTTCGAACGTCAAGCAGGGGTGAGTGCCGTACACTGCTGTGATAAAAAATATAAACAATCTTTCAGTTGCATTATGCCGAAGACCTAGAGTTATATTACTCCAGAAAATGTCTACGTGTAGAAAGATCTTGTGTTGCTATGAAACTGTCAACAGGTCATCAAACATTGATAGGGTTCCACACCATTACCAAGCTTGACACAAGGCAGTATTGTATCATGTAACTGTTAACAAATCTGGTGTCTAGTCAGTATCACAGTGAGTAAAGCTTGGGGCGGTGGGGTAGCCCCGTGGTTAAAGCATTCACTTGTCATGCTGAAGACCCCGTGTAGCGGGCCATTTCTTCCCCGGTCTAAACTTTCCCCGGGGAGAATCTGGCCTAGGCCAAAGTTTCCCCGGGGAAGATTAAACCCAGGGGAAAGTTTGGCCTAGGCAAAAGTTTCCCCAGGGAAAGTTTGTCCTAGCCCAAAGTTTCCCCGGGGAAGGTTAGACCAGGGGGAAAGTTTGGCCTGTTACACCGGGTTGGATTCCCCACATGGGTACTATGAGTGAAGCCCATTTCTGGTGTCCCCTGCCGTGATATTGCTGGAATAATGCTAAATGTGGCTTAAAATCCCAACTCACTCACTCAGTATAGCTTCATCTAAGGCTGCATATAATCATTTAGAATTCCCATGACTTATCTCAAATCTGATGAAATTTGATGCTTTGTCTGATGGACTGTGTATGTTACATGAACATGATAAGGCTATATTGCTGAAGCCTTAAGTCAGAAAGTATTAAATTACTTGTTTTTCACATACACTCTGCAGTATTATTGCTTGGTCACAGTAACCTGTAGCTAGTTGAGTCATGATCTGGACCTTCTTGATGGGATGATTGCAGCCAACACCGTGGCCTTTCAACAATATTACAGCTTTGTCAGCTATTTGAGTCAAGGTTGGAAATACATATATGAGTACATGTATGTCATAGCAGTGTTTGAAGAGTGCAGTTATGGATATACTAGTATTTATGTAATTTTCGGGTTTCAAGAATACATTCATATGAATATTTCAAAATGTCATTTCAGGGTTTCGAGAAGCATGTGAAGACAGAACACAACCAGTGGGCGTACCTCTTCTTCTTCATCCATCTGGATGAGACGAGGCCCAATGACTACACTGCCCTGGAGCTTTTCATTGCAAATTTGGTAAGTGATGACCTCACTACATACGAGAGTTACCCTAGGATTGTTGTAAAAGGCGACTAACAGGATCGGGTAGTCAGGCTCACTGACAGCCAAGTTGACATATGTCTTTGTTATCCACTGGAGTTCAGCGTACAGACTCGATGCTCTGATGCTGTTGATCACTAGATTGCCAAATTACCCATTTCAAATTCACAATTACATTTCTCAGAATTACACTGATTGATTAGACAGTTGGCTCTATCAGCATTATGCCTCCCTTGCTTCCACTGAATTAGTTCATATTCACAATCTCAGAATTACACTGATTATCTAAGTTGCCAGCATTACATTTAGATATGCTACTGAAATACTGTCAAAAATGGAATTAAACAAAATTCTCTCACTCTTGGCAGCAGCAAGGGAGGTGATTGAGTAGTATTTGGACTTTCTTCTTCTTATTTGCTTGATTTTTCGTTGAATTGTTTTCTTGTTTCCATGGTGATCCAGTGTTATCTTATTACCACTATTTATGAGACGCTATAATCTAGTGTTGATATGTCTTGCTATCTGACATGAGGCATGGTGATCTTGTTAGATTTCTCATTGCCACTTGTCTTGGGACATGGTGATCTTGTTAGATTTCCCATCGCCACTTGTCTTGGGACATGGTGATCTTGTTAGATTTCTCATTGCCACTTGTCTTGGGACATGGTGATCTTGTTAGATTTCTCATTGCCACTTGTCTTGGGACATGGTGATCTTGTTAGATTTCTCATTGCCACTTGTCTTGGGACATGGTGATCTTGTTACATTTCTCATTGCCACTTGTCTTGGGACATGGTGATCTTGTTAGATTTCTCATCGCCACTTGTCTTGGGACATGGTGATCTTGTTAGATTTCTCATTGCCACTTGTCTTGGGACATGGTGATCTTGTTAGATTTCTCATTGCCACTTGTCTTGGGACATGGTGATCTTGTTACATTTCTCATTGCCACTTGTCTTGGGACATGGTGATCTTGTTAGATTTCTCATTGCCACTTGTCTTGGGACATGGTGATCTTGTTAGATTTCTCATTGCCACTTGTCTTGGGACATGGTGATCTTGTTACATTTCTCATTGCCACTTGTCTTGGGACATGGTGATCTTGTTACATTTCTCATTGCCACTTGTCTTGAGACATGGTGATCTTGTTAGATTTCTCATTGCCACTTGTCTTGGGACATGGTGATCTTGTTAGATTTCTCATTGCCATTTGTCTTGGGACATGGTGATCTTGTTACATTTCTCATTGCCACTTGTCTTGGGACATGGTGATCTTGTTACATTTCTCATTGCCACTTGTCTTGAGTCATGGTGATTGTTACATTTCTCATTGCCACTTGTCTTGGGACATGGTGATCTTGTTAGATTTCTCATTGCCACTTGTCTTGGGACATGGTGATCTTGTTAGATTTCTCATTGCCACTTGTCTTGGGACATGATGATCTTGTTAGATTTCTCATTGCCACTTGTCTTGGGACATGGTGATCTAGAGTACATATCTCATTGCCACTTGTCTTGGGACATGGTGATCTAGAGTACACTGTGATGTTTCAGCTGGAGAAGAACAACTTTGACTTCTTCCCGTTGAACCGAGCAATGAGCCTGCGCCACGAGGAAGACAGCAGTGAGAAGAAGCTGGAGACACTGATGGACCAGGTGGACTACCTCGTCAACAAGATGAAGGAGGAGGTTCGTTCTCAGTTCATGTTGTGTGACACTTGGCGTAAAAAAACACAACAGCAATATGCATGTCTTATGTACAATATACAAGATGAATTTGTATACAGCAGAGTTCACTACGTGTGCTGCCTGCAGTCAGCCCCTTAGTTAAGATCTGTAAACGTATGCAGGCATGAAGTTGGTTACTACTAGGGCAGCAGTGAATACACTAATAGGCGAATACGATATGTTTTACGAATATATAATAACATGTACAAATATTTATTCATGAGTATTTTGTTAGTAACAAGAAAAGAAAATATCATGTTATTGCTTAGGTTTAAACTTTTTTAATATTTTCTATAAAGCAAAAGACAATACATTGCGGACATATATCACATTATGACGGTGTTGTAAGGGGCCTTGGCAGGATGACACAAGTTATGCTACTGCATGGCTTCGAGTTTTTCCATTTGAGTATCTCACTTAGATAAACAGCAAACTAATTCCAAGGTAAAAACTCTATTTTAAAAATATTTTATTCTACTGACGACAATTAATGAATTGAATTCATAAAGGGATTCGGTTTGATTCACCCAATACGCAAGTGAATGGTAACTGGACTAGTAACTTCCACAGAGTGTTGTCATGAGCTCTGCATTGATAAGGGCGGTGGGGAGCCTAGTGGTCAAAGTGTTCGCTCGTCACGCCGAAGACAGGGTTTAATTCCCCGCTTGGGCAGAATGTGTGAAGCCCATTTCTGGTGTCATCCGCCATGATATTGCTGGAATATTGCTAAAAGTGGCGGAAAACTAAACTAACTCACTCACTCACTCACTCACTCACTCACTTTGTATCGATAATATTCTACACTGAATTCAAACAGGTTCAAAAGCAATTTTTTAAATCATGCAGAAATTGTAAGTTAGGTGATTAATCTGTTTCCACAGTTTTGGTGTAAAGTTTGAAAGCTGCGTTTCTTGCGTTTGCAGGAGGCGACCAAGGAACGAGATAAGGAGAAACAGAGACAGTTGGAGTGGGAGGCCAAACACAAGACAGGCAAGAAGTAAACCACATCACACAGCTGGAGATCGTCATGCCAAGAAAACGTCATGCTGAGATAGTGTCAGGCTGAGATAGCACATGCTGAGATAGTGTCAGGCTGAGATCTCTATCATCTTGTGATGTAATGTCATGCAAAATAAATGTCATACTGAGATTATATGCAGAGATAATATCATGCTGAGATACCGTCATGCCAAGAAAACGTCATGCCGAGATCTCGTCATGCCAAGAGTGTGCCATGCTGAGATAGTATCAGACTGAGATAATGTCAGACTGAGATCTTGTCGTGTAGTAAAATGTCATGCTGAGATAATATGCGGAGATAATGCATAAATATTGTCATGTCGCAATATTGTCATGTAGAGACAATGTCATGCAGAAATATTGCAATATTATCATGCAAAAATAATGTCATGCTGAAACTCTGTAATGTACATATATTATGTTTATTTTAATGTGGAGAAAGAGAATATGTGCTAATGAGAAGTGTGATATGTCATGCTGAGGCAACGTTATTAATGGCGTCATACTCAGATATTTCTGTCAGGAATTATTGTCATGGTGATTTGATTCCACTAACAAATATTGATGTGATGTAATATTGGTGAAAATGCTGAAACTCCATGCGTGTGTGGTTAATATCTATATTAGTACAGCGAGAACAAAGACGTCTACAAAATAACAGCTTTATAAAGATGATACTGTTAGCTCTATAAAGTCCAAACTGACTATTACTTGACAATAAAATGTCTGCAGATTTTTCCAGAAAAGGTAGAAATAGAATTGGTATTGACTCTTTCATGTTTTTTTGTCAACAAACAAAACCTTTTGTGTCCAATCTGATTAACATGAAGCTTTAAGGTTTGGTAGGATTAAATTCATATTGTGTATTTCCTACTGTGGAGCAAGAAAGAATTCACATTACGATTTTCTTCATCTTGAGATACTTTGGGACAATTATTTTAGTTGAGGAGGATGACTAGAGTGAAGCATGTGAAATGACAATCTTATACCGGTCATTGAATCATTAGGGCCAAAGACATGTACAGAAAACGTACTACATTGAAAGGATGTTGTGTTGTAATAGTGCTGAACGTGTATTGTGTTCCTGTTGACTTTATCCAGTATTACAAATACATTTTCTACTGAATGTGGCTCAGAGTTAATATGATGTTATCAATGTCAGCATTCCAGGTTTGTGTCTATATATACTGTTACTGTGTTTTAACTAGTTTATTTCGTTTCTCAGAAACTGTTATTACTTGTATATATACATTTATGTAAGTATATATTTATTATTTATAGAAGAAACATGAAGTTCCCAATGTTTGTTTCTTTTCTTAAAGCACACTGACGACTGGATACATTTCTAGATATGAAATAGAGATACCAGTTTTGTTTTTTCAAGTCTTTCAGAATGGTTTGTTTATGTAGATCTGTGTGTAAATAAACTTTGGTTGTGTATGTATTTTGACCACTGTGGTCACCCAGGCCTAAAGCTTACTGTGATATATAGCCTGTTATAAAGTATATATTCTCCATTGCTACGTGTGTTCTGCTATGTGTATACAAGGACTGAGGTGTGTAGGTCTTAGCTGTTTTGTGCAGGATCAATTGCAAGTTCGGTATGCACATCAGCTTGATGTTGGAAAAAAACAAAGTGACTACCGTCACAGATGTGACTGTGGTAAAACCTATGGGCTGGTACACCCAGAACAAGGATCATGGTTTAATTCAGTGAATCCTGACATGGCAAAGGGAGGCAACTACAAACAAAAATTGCAATTGTTGGATTTTCTGAAAACTTTTGTACATTGGAACAATGAGAATGGATGTTTATAAAAAATATTCCATTCACTCGCTGTGGTTGTGTTACATTCACTCGCTGTGGTTGTGTTACAACTCTCTTGCAACGACACTTTATCATGTTACTCTTCTATATGTCAAAATCTTCTGTGTTTTATACATGTATGTTTCTATTGTGTGGAGTAAATGTTGACGTTTAAGATACTGTTTGTGTCTCTCATGATATGTGGCAGGTTTAACTGAGATATGATAGACTTGTTTCCATGGTGTAAATTTGTAATAAGCATGTGATATATTTGTTTACATTCTTTGAATTTAAAATTGTTTTAATACATGTAATATATTTGATTTCATTTAATGAATTTAATCATGTTTTAATGCATGTCATATTTTTATAGATCTTTATCAGTTTTCGTCATATGTTTTAAATACTTTTCAAAAGAATCTGTTTATCTGAAATAAGTTGGCAAGTAATGTACAAGGGAGGTTGTGATTGGCTGGGTTAGTGTAAATTGTGACCCAATCAGCCCTTTGAACACCTGGTGTCTTCACTTATTTTCAGTGATCTATTCATAGATTTTCAATATTGTGATTTTTATTCCCAAGCGCAGTCCATTTCATTAAATAAGTGAAACTGGGCTTTTCCTGACGTAGTGAAGGTTCCAACTCAATATTCCCAGTCAAAAAAGAAACTCTAATCTTTCTGGTAATGTGGATGCCTTGCTTTGCTTGATCCATAAAAATAGATCAGTGCATTAAATCTTGTCATAACATTTGGTGGACATGTTCCCTGTTACTTCTGCAATAAGACCTAGTTAGAATTTTGATATTGTATTTTATTGCAATTTGTTTATTGACATATGTTTATTAATTGGCAATCAATTATTTTTGTAATTTTGTACAGCTGTATACAACCTCAAGGTTTATTTAAGGTTTGGAAAAGTCTTTATGATTTAATGCTTTAAAATATATAAATGAGATTTACTGACAGCTTGCCTGTTTTCTTTCTCAAATTTGGAAGTTTGGACCTTTATCATGAAGTTCATAGTGACGCTCATTGATCGGAATTTCACAGAAAAATGTAGCAGTCATCAAGTTTTGACCCACGATGATGTTTAGACCTTAATTACTTCTAAAAAGTTCTGCTTTGTGGAATAGCATGGTCATGACAGTTTGACATTTTCAGTTCACCTAAAACCATCTTTCCTGCAAACTAGTATTCATATCCCTAAGAAGACGTTTTGGAAAATGAAAAGGGTGTGAAATTTTCAAACAGCTGGTCTTTGAACTTCCCATACCTGTAAGGTTTGGACGTCTGACACCATCGAAAACAGAGGCAGTGCTAAAGGAAGTGTCAAAAAAGAGAATGTAACTGAACAGATCAGTTAATTTTTTTCGTAATGATTTCTATACCAGTTGTTCTTGCCTAACAGGGTGCAGATCTAGTTGACCTTGACCTTGACCTTGACATTTGCTGTACCAATTAATGACCCATCCTTGATGATCTCCAGGGTATACGTTACGAAATGACCATGCTTACATGAATGTTTGTTTTTAAGGATGCTTGAGTTAATTTGAAGGATGCACTTGACATGCATGTTCAATCTGTTTATGTTGAGGTCCATTTCCTTTAGCACTTTGATGATTCAGGCCTATGCTTGAACACAGACGTAATGCCCAAACCCACTTGCTGCAGTTAGACTTATCAGGGATAATATACAACATATAGCGGCCATGTGCAGTGCTCAGGTCGTTTGGGGATGGTCTTTGCCTGATGGCTCGGATATTGTCCATAATTACCCGATTATTATTACGAATATGACATGAACGTTTGTATTTGATATGTTATTATCTTGTTACATTGACCAGTATTACTCTTGTGTCGTGTTGATGATTAAACAACATGGCGGATGTTTTGCCTCTACAATGGTTCCATTGGTACTGAGGATGTATTGGGGGGATGGCCTAAAAGTCGGGCCAAGAAAAGTCGGGCCGGGCCGGGCCACCGGGTAATACTAAAAATGGATTGCAGAATATTAAAACGAAACCTGCACATTTGGGTCGATACACTTCCTGCCTTCACAAATGCATAGTTTGATTGAAAATGTATAGTTAATGGTGAAGAAACCCACACAACAACTTTTAGGCCATCCCTATATTGGGCTGTAATTCCTCCAGTTTCAGGCTGCAACTGCTTGTGTAATATCAGAGAGATACAGTGGACAGGGACAAATTCTTACTTCATATTATGTGTTGTATGTTCTTATGATATTGGGTATATGTGTATAGAACCAACAAGGGTAATTGTCAACCAGTTTCACCAGAGTAATGCAACTGAAGGGTAATACAATGGCTACTGGGTAATTAATACCTACCTTAAAGCTAATCCAATTAAACAGGTATTTTTTCCCATACAAATCTTGATGTGTAAAAAAATGACAAATTTTCTCTGTTATTCCTGATCAGCCAAATCAATCTTTACTTCCGTAATTTGTCAGTAAGGTAACAATGTATTTAGGACAGAAAACTGGTATCAAGTTATGAAAATGATTGTGAACTGTTCCAGATGGAGACAATAAAGACATTGCTAGTGTGTGTTACCATGGATACTTTATACACCATGTCATTTCTAATGCCATGACATCTACCTTGTAAGGTTGTACTGGAAAGGGTATATTTGTACTTGTGTGTTTTCTTCAAAAGAACGTAAGAATGTGAAACCGAATAATTCTTCAAATATGATTTATTAATCTTTATATTCAGTAACTTTCAAAGTTTTCTGAGTGTTTAAATGCACAACCATTGTTTTTCAAGTCTTCACGCAAAGATGTCTGTTATGGAAGAAAATAATCTGATCTGATTTTAAGTAATTTAAGTTCAATTACTTTGCTGTTCATGAGGTTCCGTTTGTTTACATATTTGGATGATACAATGAAACCTCTATATATCTCAGACATTGTTGGCCATGCAGGCCTGTTCCAGACCAGATGTATGATTACAAAGGAACAATATTCCTGTTACCCATTCATCAAAAAATGTATTATATTGGAGGGTTACTATGGTAATGTTCCGTCTGGATTAACGAGGTTTCACTGAATGATCCATTCTATGTATGCCTTGATAAAAATACGTAATGACGTCACTGACTGACGTCATCATATGCTTCACGTCACCAAAAGACAGGATTAAGCTGGGCCCGGTCTCGTATATCGCAATTTACGCTTTGGCGCAAGGTGGCGCGGGAACCAGCTTTAAGAGAGGATCTTCCAATGTTCTTTGACTTGGCAGTTTTAATCACAAAACTGTGCAGATATTTGGAATTACAAATTACCGCGAGATTTCCAGTCTTTACTTTGCATGGAATTGTAATTCTCCTTGACTGTATGAATTATTTGACTTCTGTGTACTTTAGTACTGAGTGTCTATATATATTTTTTTTCAAATTGTTATAAATGAAGAAATGGATTAAAATCAGTTCAAAGGCTGGAGTGTTCTTCGTCCTCTGTATCAGATCACCCATGTACAGGAAGCCTATACCAAAGGCCCAATGGATTAAGGGTGAATGAGTTTAGGTTTACGCCGCACTCAGCACTATTCCAGCTATATGGCGGCGGTCTGTAAATAATCGAGTCTGGACCAGATAATCCAGTGATCAACAGCATGAGCATCGATCTGCGCAATTGGGAACCGATGACATATGTCAACCAAGTCAGAGAGCCTGACCACCCGATCCCGTTAGTCGCCTTTTAGGACAAGCATTGTCGCCTTTTATGACAAGAATGGGTTGCTGAAGACCTGTTCTACCCCGGATCTTCACGGGTCCCCAATGGATTAAGAAATGAAATATTTTTCTTAAGTTTGTCATGTGGGATAGTGGTGTACATTGTTGAAAAATCAAAGGTTTGGACAGAGCAAAAACTCTCTCCCTTTCCAAGATTTTATTAATTTCTTAAGAGTTTTTGAGAACCCCCGTGGCATCAATTTTAGTCTCAAATACCTTCTGTGAATGTACAGTCCTTCCTGGATACTATTAAGGAGTATGGTTATCTTCGAGACAGTGATTCTTTGGTTCATTTGCGGGGCCCAGCAACATATCTTTCTTTGTCCGCATCTTTCTGGAGTTGTAGAATGCCGTACAGAATAGGACTGAAATGTTTGTAGAGTTTTGAGGTTTTAGAGTCAAGCCAAAAGTTGATCTGTTTGGTTGGCATTTTAGAAGTTGGTGAGTAATAAAGAAAGTAAAGATTCTTTATGGATAACAACTTCTATGTTATATATGATGCGACGTTTCGGTATGGATTCTTGTACCGTTGTCAAGCAAGAGTGACAACGGTATATATAAGAACCCTTACCGAAACGTCACATCATATATAATATAGAAGTTGTTATCTATAAAGAATCTTACTTTCTTAAGCCAAAAGTTGATAGCTATGATAAATGTTTTTTGCAGATTTCTTCCTCAGTCAACATGCTGACTTACATCAGGCATTATTTGATATGTCACTTATACTAGAACGAAGAAAATATATTTTTGCATATGCACTTTCGGTCGTCACGCAAAAACGCTCAATTCATCAATGGGATAATGCACAATTGCACGACAACGTTTGGTTTGTTGTTTAACGCCGTACTCGGCAATATTTCAGCTATATGGCGGCGGTCTGTCAATAATCGAGTCTGGACCGGACAATCCAGTGATCAGCTGCATGTGCATCGAACTACCCAACTGGGATACGATGACATGTGTCAACCAAGTCTGCGAGCCTGACCACCCGATCCCGTGAGTCGACCCTTACGCGAGCATGGGTTACTGAAGACCTGTTCTAACCCGGATCCTCACGGGTGGCACGACGATATCAGTATTAACAAGGGTTCATTGTAATCATCATATAGCATTAATTTTGTGTACAGTACATGTGGATGACGTTTTACCGCAATAAACAAAACACAACAAAATAAGCACGTTTCAGTAAATATCTGTTTAATGACAAAATATGAAATATGCAACATATATTTCTTCATACTGAAAGCAAGGTGACAGTTTAATAAAATATTCCAAGAGGCCACGTGGTCACATCCTCGATAATCCCAGGGTATACGTGCTGTTAAATCTCCACTAGTAGAGACTTATCGGAACGTATACCCTGGATATTATGCGCGATGACGTAGTCAAGGCCAGGCTAATTTTTTCCACATGAGAAATATATACGACAATATGGTCTCCCATGATGAATGAAAACTACATGATTAATATCTGATTGACATGACTGATCTCATCTTGACATGATTTATCTGTGCTTCCTGGTCTCCAGAACTAAGCTAGCTATGCTCGAATTGTTCGTAGAATTGTTCGTAGCCGGTGGGGTAGCCTAGTGGTCAAAGCGTTGGCTCGTAAACCCATTCTTAACACATTGGCTACGATCAAAGTTAAGAATTCGGTGGGGTAGCTAGATGGAACGTTTCGAGAATACGGGCCCAGGGTCCCCTCCCTCTGGAATATTGTCAGCGTCTAAAACCAAACCCAATGTCCCCTAAAGTCTACAGCGTTTCGAGACTAAGGGCCCAGGGCCTCCTCTCGGTCAGCATGGACACCGCTGTGAGGACGTACAGGATGAAGAATATAACGAAGAGGACACGGTCGACCACTCGTGCAAGTTCCTCCCAGTCTTGGTTCACGTTTCTATACGAGTCGTCTGCCGACAGTTTGCCACAAATATATTTAAGATATCTGCTAACATCTCTCATTTCCCGCGTCCTTACAGTATCCATTTCCCGCCCTCCACCAGCTTCCGGTTGCTCATGCGTAGACAAGTCCTCAGTCTCCCGCAAAGTCTCCGCGAACAAATTGTCCACAGGCGAGTACTTGTCTATGCACAAAATTCTCCGTAGACCATTTCGGCTTAAACATGCCTGTCGAGAAAAGTCGGAACTCACAAAGTTTGTTAAATCTCAGAAGTTTTAGCATTAGAAATATTGCGGGATAATTAGACGACTGAAGAGTAGCAGTGTTGTTTTTCTTTAATATTTTGAGCTTGACATATTTTTTGTATTAAAAGAAATGATCAACAGTAGGGCTTCAACGAGTCCATGTTCTTGGACTCGAGTACTCGAGGGGTGAGACTCGACTCGGACCCGAGTACTCGAAATTCATACCTTTCAAGCAAACAATAGCGTAACTAGCATGACATGTGTTCCGATCAGACAAATGAACACTTACTTCTTTCCGACTTCATATGTGACTAACATTTCCCACTGGTCAGAATCAGTACTTAGATGTTTACTTGACACTTGTTTCTTTCATCGTACTTCTTGTACTGCCTGCAAAACGCAGTGATATACCGCACAGGCGGCATTTGGTTATTTTTCTCTTTTCTCTATCCAGATCAAGATACGCCCATACATATTTGATATTTTTATCTTTCTCCATGTCTATCAATTATCAAGATAGTTACCTTATCATTTTAAGAAGTGAAAAACGAGGTATAATATTTACTCTCATCTGCAGAGATTGTAACAACTAATACCATACAGCCGCACCTTATGAGGAGTAAACTATTTAATCGAGGCCTTAATAAAAACATTATCAGATGGGTTGAAGAATTCAGGGTACATAGAACTCAGTATGTCAGTGTAAATGGCTACCAATCTTCTCAACCTCTACTGCAAAACCAAATAAGTGTGTTCCTTCATCCGTACTCTTCGTTTTGTATACCAATGACTGTTAATGGACAATATATGACGTGTTTACTGTGAAATTCGCCTAATTTCCGATTCAGGGCCTAGATTTTCGAAACTCTCTTAGCGATAAGATAGCCGTAAGTGCCATACATTAACATTAACTTACGACTATCTTAGCGCTAAGAGAGCTTCGAAAATCTAGGCCCTGAACATTATTATCGTCAAGGCATTGACAAAACCGTAATGACAGTTTTTTATCAAACCTTTATTTAAAGTGTGTTGACCTACAATTTTCTATGTTGGTATGGGGATCTGTCTCATTGCAACTAAAACAAGCTTTTCAAAATTGTTAATACTGCTTGCAAAATTTCTGGGGTGTCTTTCAAGTATATTCACTTTATCTATGATTGTCACAAAGGCAGCTAAAATTATATTTGATAGTTGACATTTGATCTCACCATTTTGAACTACTTCCTTCTGGACGCTGCTGTCGATTACCTTCCCTCAAAACAGAGCTCGACAGTCTTTCATACCATCAAGTACTAGTATTCGTGAATGCAACAAATATTTTGAATCACCATCACGTGATTACAACTAGAATTATTCAGCCTCTTTACCTATGTGGTTAATTGAATTATATCATGTCAGTTTTTTTTGTGTAAATAGCATTCGTTTTGTGCATGTAATTATTGTGTATATTTTTGTGAATTGTCTATATATTCATATTGAGACAGTTTGGATGTGTAAGAATTTCCTCCGGGATAATAAAGTTATATCTTATCTTAATATTAGACGTTAACGGACGCTCATGTTCAGCACATGGCAGACAGCCTGTCAACGTCAATAATTCGAGTTATCTCCCCTTTTCGAGTCCTCGAGTCCTTGAAAATGGACTCGAGTCCAGCTAAACCCGACTCGTTCTTGAGTACTCGAGTACCCGTGGAAGCCCTAATCAACAGGCTTTTGTGTGAGTAACCTGAATCACCGGGGACTTCCCCCTTCACTAACTGACATATACGTCACTCACTCACTCACATGGATCACTCATCCACCCGTTCATCAACCCAGCCAGCCCTGAATCACCGGGGACTTCCCCCTTCACTAACTGACATATACGTCACTCACTCACTCACTCACATTGATCACTCATCCACCCGATCATCAACCCAGCCAGCCAGCCACATACCAAAATACTTGCTCACTAACTCGCTCATTATTTAGCTTAGTCACAACCTATACACTCACTCACTCTCTACTTTATATATCAAAATACTCGCTCCTTAACTCACTCACTCTTTAACGCAATCGTTATCCTATATACATACTCAGTCACTCAATAACTCACGAACGAACTAAAATACTAACTTCATTCATTCTTTAGCTTCATTGCCAACCGATATACTCACTCACTCTCTAACGCATACGCCAAAACACTCACTCACTCACTCACCTGGTGAATCCACTTGGGCAGCGACCGTCGCCTGGCGCCCCTGTAGCTGATGTTGCTGACCAGAACAGAGATGACCATGCTGCAGCAAGTCAGCATGAGGGTGATCAAGTAGAAGAGACCTGAAAGGTAGAACGATACTGCATACCTGTACCATTATAATTAATCTGTTACAACGTGGTCTGATGTGCTGCTGTGGTTGAGAATGGCCTCGGCTAGGACTGACATTCACCTACACGTGGTGTGCTGCTGTGGTTGAGAATGGCCTCGGCCAGGACTGACATTCACCTACACGTGGTGTGCTGCTGTGGTTGAGAATGGCCTCGGCCAGGACTGACATTCACCTACACGTGGTGTGCTGCTGTGGTTGAGAATGGCCTCGGCCAGGACTGACATTCACCTACACGTGGTGTGCTGCTGTGGTTGAGAATGGCCTCGGCCAGGACTGACATTCACCTACACGTGGTGTGCTGCTGTGGTTGAGAATGGCCTCGGCTAGGACTGACATTCACCTACACGTGGTGTGCTGCTGTGGTTGAGAATGGCCTCGGCTAGGACTGACATTCACCTACACGTGGTGTGCTGCTGTAGTTGAGAATGGCCTCGGCCAGGACTGACATTCACCTACACGTGGTGTGCTGCTGTAGTTGAGAGGCACAGCCTCTGCTACGACTGATAATCACGTGGTGTGCTGCTGTGGTTGAGAATGACCTCTGCTACGACTGATAATCACGTGGTGTGCTGCTATGGTTGAGAATGGCCTCTGCTAGGACTGATAATCACGTGGTGTGCTGCTGTGGTTGAGAATGGCCTCTGCTAGGACTGACATTCACCTACACGTGGTGTGCTGCTGTGGTTGAGAGGCACAGCCTCTGCTACGACTGATAATCACGTGGTGTGCTGCTGTGGTTGAGAATGACCTCTGCTAGGACTGATACTCACGTGGTGTGCTGCTGTGGTTGTGAATGGCCTCTGCTAGGACTGATAATCACGTGGTGTGCTGCTGTGGTTGAGAATGACCTCTGCTAGGACTGATACTCACGTGGTGTGCTGCTGTGGTTGAGAATGGCCTCTGCTAGGACTGATACTCACGTGGTGTGCTGCTGTGGCTGAGAATGGCCTCTGCTAGGATTGATGCTTACCTACACGTGGTGTGCTGCTGTGGTTGAGAATGGCCTCTGCTAGGACTGATACTCACGTGGTGTGCTGCTGTGGTTGTGAATGGCCTCTGCTAGGACTGATAATCACGTGGTGTGCTGCTGTGGTTGAGAATGACCTCTGCTAGGACTGATACTCACGTGGTGTGCTGCTGTGGTTGAGAATGGCCTCTGCTAGGACTGATACTCACGTGGTGTGCTGCTGTGGCTGAGAATGGCCTCTGCTAGGATTGATGCTTACCTACACGTGGTGTGCTGCTGTGGTTGAGAATGGCCTCTGCTAGGACTGATACTCACGTGGTGTGCTGCTGTGGTTGAGAGTGGCCTCTGCTAGGACTGATACTCACGTGGTGTGCTGCTGTGGTTGAGAATGGCCTCTGCTAGGACTGATACTCACGTGGTGTGCTGCTGTGGCTGAGAATGGCCTCGGCTAGGACTGATACTCACGTGGTTTGCAGCTGTGGCTGAGGATGGCCTCGGCCAGGATTGATGCTTACCTACACGTGGTGTGCTGCTGTGGCTGAGAATGGCCTCGGCCAGGACTGATGCTTACCTACACGTGGTGTGCTGCTGTGGTTGAAGGGAACGGCCTCGGCTAGGACTGATACTCACGTGGTGTGCTGCTGTGGTTGAGAACGGCCTCGGCTAGGACTGATGCTTACCTACACGTGGTGTGCTGCTGTGGTTGAAGGGAACGGCCTCGGCTAGGACTGATACTCACGTGGTGTGCTGCTGTGGTTGAGAACGGCCTCGGCTAGGACTGATGCTTACCTACACGTGGTGTGCTGCTGTGGTTGAAGGGAACGGCCTCGGCTAGGACTGATACTCACGTGGTTTGCAGCTGTGGCTGAGGATGGCCTCGGCCAGGATTGATGCTTACCTACACGTGGTGTGCTGCTGTGGCTGAGAATGGCCTCGGCCAGGACTGATGCTTACCTACACGTGGTGTGCTGCTGTGGTTGAAGGGAACGGCCTCGGCTAGGACTGACATTCACCTACACGTGGCGTGCTGCTGTGGCTGAGAATGGCCTCGGCCAGGACTGATGCTTACCTACACGTGGTGTGCTGCTGTGGTTGAAGGGAACGGCCTCGGCTAGGACTGATGCTTACCTACACGTGGCGTGCTGCTGTGGTTGAAGGGAACGGCCTCGGCCAGGACTGAGATGAGAAGAACGAGTCCGACGATTATCAGCATACCTGTGGAGGGAATTATTATCCTGATATAAACTAGGGAGGAGGAGTAAAGCAAAACATCTGTAACTCGATGCATATGTCTTGGTACCAACCGGTGTTCCGGTTTCCGTGTACCACCACCACCACAACAACAAGTATCCCGTCCGTGTGTCAATGTAGATGCCTCTCTTAATTTACACTGGGGAAGAAACCTGGTAAGAATTGTTCTTCAGGAGTGAGTGAGTTTAGTTTTACGCCGCTTTTAGCAATATTCCAGCAATATCACGGCGGGGGACACCAGAAATGGGATTCACACATTGTACCCTTGTGGGGAATCGAACTCGGGTCTTCGGCGTGACGAGCCAACGCTATAACCATTATGCTACCCCATCTCACTCAATCACTCAGTCTTCAGTAACCCATGCCTGTCGTAAGAGGCGACTAACGGTATCGGGTGGTCAGACTCGCTAGTATGGTTGTCATCATATCCAAATTGTGTCGATCAGTGCTCATGATGTCAATCACTGGATTGTCTGGTCCAGGCTCGATTATTTACAGACTGCTGCCATATAGCTGTGATATTGCTGAGTGCTGCGTTAAACAACAAACAAAATTTCCATTATGTGCATTTAACCATGTTACTGAAGGGCCTGACGGTTCTGCATTCCATTTCTACCTGGTACCCATCCACTGTGTGAATACCCTAATAATTTCACGGGGAATAGAAACACCACTTAAGAGACACATCAGTTTTTTAAAACGTGTTTCTAAAAACCCACGGGGCTCCAGCTTGTCAAACTGGCACCCATCCCACCTTTTTCCCACACGTAAAGCATCAAAAACATGTTAATGTCCTTTGTAATTCTCACAAAACGGCGGCGGCTGAGTAGCCTAGTGGTTAAGGCGTCCGCTCGTCACGCTGAAGACCCGGGTTCGATTCCACACATGGGTACAATGTGTGAAGCCCATTTTTGGGTATTCCCTGCCGTGATATTGTTGTAATGTTGCTAAAAGCGGCGCAAAACCTCACTCACTCACTCACTCACTCACTCACTCACTCACTCACTCACTCACTCACTCACTCACTCACTCACTCACTCACTCACTCCACTCACTCACTCACTCACTCCTCCTCCTCCTCCTCACTCACTCACTCACTCACTCACTCACTCACTCACTCACTCACTCACTCACTCACTCACTCACTCACTCACTCACTCACTCACTCACTCACTCACTCACTCACTCACTCACTCACTCACTCACTCACTCACTCACTCACTCACTCACTCACTCACTCACTCTTACCAACTCTTACCAAACGTATTCTTCTCACTGGACCTTGCAGGTAGTAGAAACAGCACGGGAACCAGGAACCCAATGAGAGCTCCAGGTCCTATGGCCAGGTGCTTGAAGAAGGAAGCTCTCCTCTTCGCCTCCACCGTAATGCTTAGTATAGCGAATTCATAGGTACCATACTTCACCTCTAACAGTTTAGCCTTCAGCTTATCATCTATGATGGTCCAATAAGGATGTTCAACCATCGGCATACCCTGAAAGCTTTCTGAGATGCTAATATCCATCTCTTTAGCCCCCTCCGTATAGAACCTCATGTCCATCTGTTGACGAGTGTGCAACCAAGAACCAAAGACGACTGTGCAGGATTGGGTATCGAAGGGGAAATTGGTGACATCAAGAGGACACTTTGATGACACGACTATCAGAGGTCCCCATCTTACGGTGCCGTCATTGGAAACGTCAACTAGTTCTTCATACACGGGGTCTGACACCGCCGTCGGTGCTCTGTAATGCAAATACGTTCAATTTAATTTAAAATTCATCACTATCGGAAAAGGACGAAGTGTGTTTATTCCCTATGGGTCAACTGCATATGTCAAAGCTGAAAGTTACCAAATCTTCTCTTTTTTTAATGTAAAGGAAATCTAACCATGATCAAATCTTTGACTTAAAAGATACTTCCAGCACACCTTTGTCTTCGTTTCTTTAGACGTAAAATGTGCATGTTCAAATATACAAAACTGCCTTTAACCTTGTCCAAAACATGCTGAAGCAAATCACTCCCATTAACTACAGACTGACTGACTGAGTTTAGTTTTACGCCGCTTTTAGCAATATTCCAGCAATATCACGGCGGGGGACACCAGAAATGGGCTTCACTCATTGTACCCATGTGGGGATTCGAACCCAGGTCTTCGGCGTGACGAGCCAACGCTTTAACCACTAGACTACCCCACCGCCCCTTCCATTAACTAAGTTTTCATAACGATTTCAACAAGTTTCGGCTACTTTTCTTATTTTTTATGTGTAAATCGTGAGGGCTTATAGCATCTTCTCTTCTCAGCGTCTGCAAATCATCATCATCATCACTATTTCCTCCAAGTGTGGAGCTGACAAGGAAATGCGAACATGAGATTATGTACAAATGTACGTATATATTTAGATATCCGTTACATTGATGCACTTCCGGTCAAGTGACTCACGCGTTGAAAGGCACAATATCCGGCAGCCACAGTCGCATTGACGGGAGCTTCACACTGGTCACACCTCCATAGTCTGAGGCATTCCATTTCAGTCGAATGTCGACCCATTGCTTTAACAAAATAGGTATGGATAGATTGCAAAAGATCTACTTTTTTAAAAGATAAAATAATTTTTCTAAAATGGGGTCAAGACGAACACGGTATCATCATAAACTTATTCTATTCTATTACAATAAAAATGTATAATTATTTCTTAATAAGAGCAAATGCAATAATCAAGAAAGACAAGGTGTCCTTCCTCATAGTACATCGGTAGATTGCGGGCTTTATTTTGGAAAATACATAATTTATGTTAATATTTTTGGTTAAGCATAGGATATAAAATTGCTCCTAAAAGGTATCAAGACATATTTGTACTTTATTTTATAACAATACCATGGAACACACCTGGAGCAAGATCAGCGTTGATGTCAGTGTGTTATCGGCTTCATTCTGGAATTGACATAATCATGCAATTTCATCTACAACTTGAAATACATACATGCATGCATGCATACATGCATGCATGCATACATACATACATACATACATACATACATACATACATACATACATACATACATACATACATACATACATACATACATAGACCGCCTCCGTAGTGTAGTGGTTAGAGCGTCCGCCCAGAGAGCGGAAAGTCGCGGGTTCGATCCCCGACCGCGTCATACCAAAAAACGTTAAAATATGGTACTTGTTGGTCCCTGCCTGGCGCACGGCATTAATGGGTACAACAAGGACTGGTCGGCTCGGAGTCAGTATAATGTGTCTGGGTGGGGTATTCATGCTTCACTGCGGCATGGTATCTCAGTGGGCTAGCACTATAAAACCAGCTTCAGTCTGGGCTAGTACAAGAAGCCGCACATACACACACGCATGCACGTCTTCATATGAGCGAAATATTCTCAAGTACGACGTTAAACCCAATTTCACCTCACCTCACCTCACCTCACCTCACCTCACCTCACCTCACATACATACATACATACATACATACATACATACATACATACATACATACATACATACATACATACATACATACACATTCGTGCATAATGTTAGATTATTAGATAAAAGTATATGAATGAATAAATCATAATCCAACCAACAAACACATATAAATACATAATGATGGATAGATGGATTAACTAAATGAACTTTGTGTGTTCCTTATTGTTCTTGTCATAAATGTGGACATTATTTACGTATTGTAAATATCATATATCCGTATTGTAAATATCATATATCCGTATTGTAAATATCATATATCCGTATTGTAAATATCATATCTCCGTATTGTAAGTTATGATATCAATATCGCATTGATCCGATTATGTTAGACAGAATTAAATCATAAGCTTTACGACTTGAACATTACAAGTTGCATCCTTCGTAATGGTTTCAGAGCAAATAACGAAAGTGCGAAATCCGTGATGAAGATACCTGAATATGTACGACTGACATTAACCATCAGGCGTAATGGTTTCAGAACAAATAACGAAAGTGCGAAATCCGTGATGAAGATACCTGAATATGTACGACTGACATTAACCATCAGGCGTAATGGTTTCAGAACAAATAACGAAAGTGCGAAATCCGTGATGAAGATACCTGAATATGTACGACTGATATTAACCATCAGGCGTAATGGTTTCAGAACAAATAACGAAAGTGCGTAATGGATTTTACCGCACGCTTTAATCACTCGCCGGATTTGCACCCAAGTTGGCTTCACGATGATTGGATGAATTTGGTTCAAGCACTTCACAAAATGAGTGAGCAAAATTCCAGCAATATCCCGGCGGGGTCCAGCAGAAATGGGACAATTATATGAATGGAATACTAAAAATAAGCGGTGATACCGGATGTTCGGGTAAAGGTGAGTGAGTTAATATTTAACGTCACATCGTGAATATTTCAGCCATATAGTGACGGGAACAATTAATGATTATATCATATATCAATAAAATTAGAAATTAAAACCTGTCTACGAAGAACAGTAAAACTACTAGTATATCACAGATATCCATTTAAAACTAGTAATTAAATCTAAAAAATGTTAATTAGAAGTGACAAGACAATGTATAGATTGAAGGTAGATCACCATACTAGGGACCATTGGGACTTGCAATACATTTGCTTCCTGCATGGACCCTAGCTGGATTTACACCATCCCTTCAGCCGTTAGCGGTTTAACACATTTAGCCATACATTAAAAACACACATATTCTACGATTAAAAAGGTTTGATAGATTTAAATTTACTTTGAATGTTTTGGGACTTACGTACCCTTTCAGGGGGACACTAATTTATTTTACAATACTTCAACCCCTTTGAGGGTACAGCCACTAACAATCTCAGTAGCTAATCTAAACTACCAATAATAAAATATTTATCTATTTACAAATCATTTAACAAACCTTATTCTTTTAAAAATGCAATAATTTAATGAGAACTTATATTATAAAATAGATCCTTCGAAGTTCGTGATTTAAAATAGTTATCCCTTGTGATGGAATATTCAACACAGTCAAGCGGAACATGCTTGACCGTGATTCTTTCATCACAAGGGATGCAAAACGGAGGATCCTGACCTTTCAATAAATATTCATGAGTACATCTTTTGTGGCCAATACGACATCGTCGCATGATGACCTCTTCAAATCTGGACTGACAACCCACGTAGGTGTAACCAACGGTTTTATTTCATGTAATTTATTAATACCTACTTGAGTGTCCCACTTCTTCTGCATCAGATCACGGATATAAGATCTAATGGACGCTTTGTAATCAGAGTATGGAAAAAGAAGTGGTGTCAAAGATTTGTTGAGTGCTGTCTTAGCAGCAAGATCGGCCATTGTGTTCCCAGAAATGCCAACGTGGCTGGGTAACCAACAAAATACGATGTAGCATTGGCCAGTAGATCATTATATAATTCTATCATTTCTCTTAAAGTGGAATTTTACAAAAAAGATTTTTCATAGCCTGAAAGCAAGAAAGAGAGTCTGAAAAGATTATGTATTGTTTATGTTTAGGATGTCTTTGAATATATTTAAGAGCCGTTAATATATGGCGTTAGCTTCTGCTGTAAAAATAGAGCTGTTATCAGGTATTCTAGAAGATATTGTTCTGGATCCAGTGAGAGTGGCACAAGCCACTGCGCCACCATCCTTTCGACCAATCTGTAAATAAGGATTTTTATGTATTATACTTACTTTTTAATTGACTAAATTCTGTTTAGACTGTAATTCATTAATTTCTGATTTCTAAATGAGGTTAATGTTAGGTCAACTTGTGGCCTCATAAATTGCCAAGAAGGAGAAGAAAGAAGGCGGGAAGGAGCTATAGTTTCCAGCTCAATGTCGGCAGCAGAAATGAATGGTTTGATTCTGAGCCCAAGAGGCAGAACAAGGGAAGGTTTCTTGTTGTAGAAATCCTCGTAGAGGGAATTGAAGACACGGTTAAATGCAGGGTTAGATTTGTTAGAATAAAGTTTTCTAACATATTGTAAAGATAATTTTATACGGCGTTGTGTAAGAGAAGGCTCATCTGCCTCGACGTGGAGACTGTCAACAGGAGAAGTTCTAAAAGATCCAAGACAAAGTCTTAGACCTTGGATAGAATTTAACAGTTTGAGGTTGCTTTTACAGGCTTCACCATATACAATGGAGCCATATCGTGTAAATGGTAAGCATGGGTTGCCCTACCGGTATCAGGGGAACATGGGTTGCCCTACCGGTAACAGGGGAACATGGGTTGCCCTACCGGTATCAGGTAAACAGAGGAGTGTTACCTTTAAACGAAGCAGGAAAAGTATTCGTCAGTATTCCGGAACTGGAAGTACTCCTGTCACATACGGGTACTCACGATATTGTTGATGCTGAGCAGCACGGGGTACATCGTGACATCCACCGTTGAGTTGGCGGATGTGACAGGCCGAGCCTCCCTCACGTAACCAGACTGGAGGAAGTCTGATATTAGTTTTGACTCCCAAAACACCTCGCCCTTCTCACCGCTTCCTGCAAACAAAACATGGTGGTCAGTATAGATGAGGTCTGATCACGACCCGATCAACACCAGTCCATCTCTCCTGGTCAGTGACACCTGTAATGCAGACAGTCAATACAGAATGAATAATTGAGGTAGGACCACAACCCGATCAACACCAGTCCATCTTTCCTAGTCTCATACCTCATCAAGTGGATCGAAAACTTTCTTGTTGACAGACAGCAGTACGTGAAAGTTAACGGAGCTGTATCGAGTAAACGAACCACCAACACTGGTGCGCCACAAGGCTGTGTAATATCTCCTGTTCTTTTCACCCTGTACACTAATGATTGTGCAATCTGTTCAACTGTAAAGTTCGCTGATGATGCAGCAATTGTTGGCAATCTGAACGACACTGATTCTGAAGAACTGTATAAAGCTATATGACCGACGCACTCTGTCTGGCCGCCTCTTGCATGAAGAAAGCAGTTAGCCCTCCCACAACAACAACTAATAAATGGTTTGACTCTGAATGTGAAAGATTAAAATCAGGCCGATGTAGAGCTCTGAATAAGTTTAGGAAATCGAAAGATAAAGAATCATACGATCAATATTGCGCTAAAAGAAACAAATATAATTCAATTTGTAAGGAAAAACGCCTTAATTATTATAAAGAGAAGCAGAGAGTAATAGTAAACAGTATATCTGATTCAAAAAGATTTTGGTATGAACTCAAACACCTGAATAATAGACATGAAGCTCAAAACAACATCGAAATGAACGACTGGCTAGAACACTTTCGGACACTGTTTAACTCTTTACATAATGAAAATGACGATGTAACATGTGATAATTTCGAGCATGAAAACCCATCAGATCCGAATTCAGAGCTTACCAAGGTAATACTTGATTCCCCAATTACTAGAGATGAAATCTTAGATAGCATTAACCAACTGAAATGTAATAAATCACCAGGAATTGATAAAACAATATCTGAATTTTTTAAATACTCAGCAGATCTTATCGTCCCGTACTTCGAATTGCTCTTTAATTTGATATTAGAAACTGGTACGTTCCCCAGATGTTGGGCAATTGGCATAATAGTTCCTATCCATAAACAAGGTAATATATATAAAATCCAAATAATTACAGAGGCATAACACTACTGAGCATATTTAGTAAAACTTTCACCTCTATAATAAATAAAAAAAAGACTTGTAAACTGGGGCGACTCAATGGATAAGATCAGCGAAGCGCAAGCTGGCTTCAGACAGGGATATACGACAGCAGATAATATGTTTATACTGCAAAGTATTATTCAAAGGTATTTAAACTCTAAAGGGGGGGAATTCTACGCATTATTTGTAGATTTTTCAAAAGGGTTCGATTCAATACAACGAAAAAAACTTTGGCTTCGATTTAATACCCACGGTCTCAGTGGTAAAATGAGTAAACTTTTATGCAATATGTATGCAAATGTTAAGGCTTGCATTAAAAGTAATCATAATTATTCAGAAGCATTCGATTTGCAACTTGGTGTGAGACAAGGCTGTATACTAAGCCCATTTCTATTTTCCTTTTTTTTTAAATGAGTTAGCACGACAAATCGAAACTAATTGTGTACACGGGATTCAACTCCACCCTGATATAGTTCATATTTTCCTATTGCTATTTGCAGATGATATTGTTTTGTTCTCAAGTACGATTAAAGGCTTACAGAATCAAATTAATGAACTTGAAAGTTACTGCGATAAATGGAAATTAACTGTAAATAGAGAAAAAACGAAAATTGTTGTATTCAAAAGTGGAGGCAAATTGTCAAAAAAGGAAAACTGGTTATATAAAGGTATGCAGCTGGAGTGTATTGGCTTTCATAAATATTTGGGACTATATTTCACCAGTGGCCGGTCATGGACGAGGCATGTAAAATATGCAGCGTTACAGGGTCAAAAAGCATTAATTGGAATTATGAAACGGTTGAGCGTACTTGGTTATATTAACTACTCTTCATTCTTTAAAATATTTGATGCCAAAGTCAGTCCAATTTTATCATTTGGGGCCGAGATTTGGGGAATAACAAAATTTGACGATATGGAAAAAATCCATTTATACGCATGCCAAAAGTTCCTCGGAGTTAAAATTAACACTATTAGCGCAGTGATTTATGGTGAATGCGGTAGGTACCCAATGCACATTCTTACAAGCATTAAAGTTATTAAGTCCTGGCTAAAACTGTTGATTATGCCTTCAAATCGCTTACCCAAGAAGTGTTATAATATGATGTTGTTATATGATAAAGGTGGACAAAAAAACTGGGCAACCAATGTAAAAAACTATTTATATTCTATTGGTTTTGGAATTACATGGAATACACAATATGTCGAATCACCTACGTTATTCATACAATCCTTAACGACAAGACTAAAAGATATAGAGAATCTCACCCAAGTGTCTTCTGATATCAATTATATCAACACGAGTTGATAAAGTTACAAACATCCGAGGCTTGCCGAGGATATTTTTACTTTTATCAACGAGTGCTGATATATTTGATATCAGAAGACACGAGGGTGAGATTCTATTTATCATCCAAAATCACTCTTCATTAATTTGCAATGACAAATGTACATCTCTGAACATGGTACTGCCATTAGACTTGCAGTGCAGCGATGGCATAGCATTGTGACGTCATCAAGTACATGACGTCATAGCATTGTCAGGGCATTGTACAAAATCTACTGTCAAAACGATATCTCCCAGGAGATATCGTTTGATCTCAAACAAGCGATATCTCCTGTGGAACACAGTTTTGGATGATAAATGTATATTCAAACATGGAGTGAAAGGATATCCTTATCAAATACAAACATGTATTATTCATTGTTTAAAAATGCCATAGTTCTTGAGTCATATCTATCCTGTGTTAATGGTAAAAAGTTTAGAATAGCACTGGCACGATTCAGATGCTCTTCTCATGATTTGTTGATTGAAAAAGGCAGATATATGAAGGTAAAAAGAGAAAATAGAATATGTACACTTTGTAATTTTAACGAAATAGAAGATGAATTACATTTTCTCCTAATATGTCCATTTAATGACCTGTTGCGAACAAAATATATTAAAAGATATTACTATGTCAATCCAAATGTGATAAAATTCTCCTCATTGTTAAGTAGTAAAAATCCAGTTCTTCTACAAAATAGTTCAATGTTCATTTACTATGCTATGATTACCCGATCTAAATTCCTCTCAAATGTAACATAACTTTATGTACTATAGGCCTGTGGCCTTCTCAGAGCAAATAAAGTTGATTATTATTAACTGTATAAAGAGGACATTAATCATTTTACGACTTGGTGTGCAGAAAACCACTTACTCTTAAATGTCACCAAAACAAAGGAACTGATAGTTGACTTTCGGAGTAAACCCACAGAAATGCTTCCAGTGATAATCAACGGTGAATGTGTTGAGACAGTGTCGGAGTATAAGTATCTGGGAACCTTCATTGACTCTGAGCTGAACTGGAACTCTAACACTGAAGCCCTATACAAAAAGTGTCAACAACGTCTTCATCTCATGCGTAAACTGAGATCTTTTGATGTTAACCCATCTGTGATGTCATCTTTTTATGTAGCATTTGTTCAGAGTATTTTAACATTGTCCTTCCATTGTTGGTACGGGTCTCTCTCAGTTCATCTCAAATCTAAAATAGACAAAATTGTTAACACTGCAAGTAAAATCGCTGGAGTCAGATTTGAATGTTTATAATCAACATATGAGTTGCAAATCGTGAATCAAGCTGTTAAAATCATATCTGACCGTACTCACTACTCCTCCCTTCAGGCCGCCGCTACAAAGTTCCAATTGCGAAAATTAAGACAGCCGTACATCCTTTATTCCAAGTACCATATCTCTCTTAAATAAATGTGAAGATACCTAAATCAAAGAATTTATGTAAATATGTTTGGTATCTCTCTAATGTGTCAGTAGCTCTGCTGATGTAACACAAATTCCTGAAAAGGCATCAAAGTATTATTCTATTCTATTCTAGTCTATTCTATTCTATGTTTGTTTCCTAATACGGATTCAGGGATAAAATAGGTCCCAACTACACCATATTTGTTTCCTAATGTGGATTCAAGGAGAAAATAGGTCCCCACTACACCATATTTGTTTTTTAATGTGGATTCAGGGACAAAATAGGTCCCCACTACACCATATTTGTTTTTTAATATGGATTCAGGGAGAAAATAGGTCCCCACTACACCATATTTGTTTTTTAATGTGGATTCAGGGAGAAAATAGGTCCCCACTACACCATATTTGTTTTTTAATATGGATTCAGGGACAAAAAGGTCCCCACTACACCATATTTGTTTTTTAATGTGGATTCAGGGAGAAAATAGGTTCCCACTACACCATATTTGTTTTTTAATATGGATTCAGGGACAAAATAGGTCCCCACTACACCATATTTGTTTTTTAATGTGGATTCAGGGACAAAATAGGTCCCAACTACACCATATTTGTTTTTTAATGTGGATTCAGGGACAAAATAGGTCCCCACTACACCATATATGTTTTTTAATGTGGATTCAGGGAGAAAATAGGTCCCCACTACACCATATTTGTTTTTTAATGTGGATTCAGGGAGAAAATAGGTCCCCACTACACCATATTTGTTTCCTAATGTGGATTCAGGGAGAAAATAGGTCCCCACTACACCATATTTGTTTTTTAATATGGATTCAGGGATAAAATAGGTTCCCACTACACCATATTTGTTTCCTAATGTGGATTCAGGGAGAAAATAGGTCCCCACTACATCATATTTGTTTCCTAATGTGGATTCAGGGAGAAAATAGGTTCCCACTACAACATATTTGTTTCCTAATATGGATTCAGGGATAAAATAGGTCCCCACTACACCATATTTGTTTCCTAATATGGATTCAGGGGTACAATAGGTTCCCACCACACCATATTTGTTTCCTAATATGGATTCAGGGATAAAATAGGTCCCCACTACACCATATTTGTTTTTTAATGTGGATTCAGGGATAAAATAGGTCCCACTACATCATATTTGTTTCCTAATATGGATTCAGGGATAAAATAGTTCCCCACTACACCATATTTGTTTCCTAATGTGGATTCAGGGAGAAAATAGGTCCACACTACAACATATTTGTTTCCTAACATGGATTCAGGGATAAAATAGGTCCCCACTACACCATATTTGTTTCCTGATATGGATTCAGGGACAAAATAGGTCCCCACTACACCATATTTGTTTCCTAATATGGATTCAGGGATACAATAGGTTCCCACCACACCATATTTGTTTCTTAATATGGATTCAGGGAGAAAATAGGTCCCCACTACACCATGTTTGTTTCCTAATATGGATTCAGGGATAAAATAGGTCCCCACTACACCATATTTGTTTCCTAATATGGATTCAGGGATAAAATAGGTCCCCACTACACCATATTTGTTTCCTAATATGGATTCAGGGATAAAATAGGTCCCCAGTACACCGTATTTGTTTCCTAATATGGATTCAAGGAGAAAATAGGTCCCCACTACACCATATTTGTTTCCTAATGTGGATTCAGGGATAAAATAGGTCCCCACTACACCATATTTGTTTCCTCATATGGATTCAGGGATAAAATAGGTACCCAGTACACCATATTTGTTTCCCAATGTGGATTCAGGGATAAAATAGGTCCCCACTACACCATATTTGTTTCCTAAATTGGATTCAGGGATAATATAGGTCCCAACTACACCATATTTGTTTCCTAATATGGATTCAGGGACAAAATAGGTCCCCAGTACACCATATTTGTTTCCTAATGTGGATTCAGGGAGAAAATAGGTTCCCACTACACCATATTTGTTTCCTAATATGGATTCAGGGATAAAATAGTTCCCCACTACACCATATTTGTTTCCTAATATGGATTCAGGGATAAAATAGGTCCCCACTACGCCATGTTTGTTTCCTAATATGGGTTCGTGGATAAAATAGGTCCCCACTACACCATATTTGTTTCTTAATATGGATTCAGGGATGAAATAGGTCCCCACTACGCCATGTTTGTTTCCTAATATGGGTTCGTGGATAAAATAGGGTCCCACTACACCATATTTGTTTCCTAATATGGATTCAAGGATAAAATGGGTCCCAGCTACGCCATGTTTGTTTCCTAATGTGGATTCAGGGATAAAATAGGTCCCCACTATGCCATGTTTGTTTCCCAATATGGATTCAGGGACAGAATAGATGCGTGAGTGTCTGCATACATGAATACGAGCGGTTAAACGTGGATGTGCATGTGCGTGCATGCGTGTGCTTGTGTGCGCGCTTGCTACTGTGCGAATACGAACTTCCTTTATTAAGAACTAGGTCACTCATGTTGTAGCTCCGCATGCACCCCACTCAGAACCAGTACATTGTGGACCCTCCTTTCTCTAGTACCCTTAGACTAACGCTTAGTCTCTGAACATATATAATTTTGACAGTAACAAATAAACCCATTTAAATAGAAAAGGAGCCGCAGTGAGAAGGGGGATTCAGAAACCTGATGAAACCTAGACTTGCTTCATTTAGGGCTTTAGCATTGTAGGAGGGACAATGATGTGGTTCAGGAACTGTGTGGCAGACCATAGAACCCTCAAGGGTATCAACAAGTAACACCAAAGTTTGCTAGGACGCAGCAGGGGGATCGAACCACCGACTTCCGCCCATAGCTAGAAAGCGAGATATCCTGAATTCCTGAAAGCAAACTCAACGTCGACGACTTCAGTCACTTCGTCATTTGTCCCACCTTACATATGTTGCAGTGTTGTTCAAAGCTATATATAACTCTACCACACTCACTAAGCAAGTTGTGGTCCGTGTTCCCTCATCAACATGGGTGTCAATTTTCAGTCTATTGTCACGACTGAATGCATTACGCCAACTAACACTGCCCTGATTTTCAAACATGATGGCATGTAATGCATACACTCTGCAACATCTAACGGGACCAGTAACAACCTTAGACGCCTACAGCACACCAATCACCTGACATAAACACGGGACAATAGTGTGTATAGCTGATAATGCACTACTGCAGATGTTTACCTTCAACACTCGGGACTCCCAGGTACACACCCACAACACCGTAAACAACTACGACGATGATCCAGCAACAGCCCCAAGCCATGGTTCCTTGTCTCTGGTCACTGTCCTGTCTCTCGTCACTCTCTTGTGTCTCGTCACTCCTCACTGACCAGTCGATATGCAGCCTGCCAACATGTACACACGACTGTGAATCACGCAAGAGCTACGATGCGGGCTAGCGACGGGGCTGTGTGAGATAACGTGATATAAAGGTCAAGTTAAGTCTCGAGGTTCAATACGACGGCCTTGAGACGAAATTCGTCACGCTATGAAGGTCATGGGATTTAACCAGACAATAAGACGGCCTTTGATACGCTTTCCCGCGTCTGTATGTGTCGGGTTGTGGATCCATCGTTTATTTTGTGTTGCAGCCGACTGTGTGTAACCACAACGAAGTTTACAACCTATTGCCTGATATATGGTGAGCATATCTGGTGGGTATCTCCGTGTTTTTATCCGTTCGTCAGTGTACATAGTTGGACTGCAGGGCGGTGGGGTAGCCTAGTGGTTAAAGCGTTCGCTCGTCACGCCGGAGACCCGGGTTCGATTCTCTACATGTGTACAAAGCGTGAAGCCCATTTCTGGTGTCCCTCACCGTGATATTGCTGGAATATTGCTAAGAGAGGCATAAAACTAAACTCAGCGGTTGCTGCTTCAGGTAAATCTCCTGGTATTCAAATATTATTATCTCGTTATTCCATGCTTAGTAAACTGTTTTTTCATCACGTCCCGATAGATAAGTTTCCTTTCTTTTTTGTATTATGCGCTTTCTTCTTATTCTATTTATCATATCCAAATATGACGGGTAGGTGTTTTAATAACACGTCCCTAGTTAACTGATCCATTGTTTTATTTTGAACTATTAATCAATATTTGATTGATCCGATTTCTTCCTGTAGTATTTATAATACCCGCATTTGATCGGGTATTTATAGTGTGTATCACTCAGCAGCAAGAGCATCGATCTTCTTAGTTGGTATACGATAACCAGTCAGCGAGCCTGACCACCTGATCCCGTTAGTCGCTTCTTAGGACAAGTACAGGTTGCTGAAGACCAATTCTAACCCGGATCTTCACAGGTGCGATGGCAGAGGGTCGTATATTTATCAACTGCTTTTTCATTCATTTTCTTTTCTAACAGTATTTATGATACTTATATTTGATCCGTTTTCCCTTATAGAAGCTAACGTGTACTGCTTAAGTGATCCATTATATATTTTGTTATCTATCATACCCCTGTTTGATTGATCACTTTTCTTCCCATTGTATATCGATGCTTATGCTGTTGATCACTTGATTGTCTGGTCCAGACTCGATTATTTACATACCGCCGCCATATAGCTTGAATATTTCCGAGTGCGGCGTAAAACTAAATTCACTCACTCTTATTGTATTATCCTACTTACAGTTGTATTATCCCACTTACAGTTGTATTATCCTACTTACAGTTGATTGTTCCGTTGTTTTTCTCATAGTATTCCTCCTGTCTGTATTTGATTGTTCCCCTTACATCCTTAATACTTATATACTCATTTATGATATTTATCAAATCAATATTGAATAGATACGACGCTATTCTCAGATGTATTCATCGCAATCATATTTGATTGATCCTATATTTTACTTATAGTGTTTAACTTGTCCATGCTTGACGATCCAGTTGTTCTGTTGCTATATATCGTATACCAAACGTATTGGACCGCCTCCGTAGTGTAGTGGTTAGAGCGTCCGCCCGGATAGCGGAAGGTTGCGGGTTCGATCCCCGACCGCATCATACCAAAAGACGTTAAATTATGGTACTTGTTGGTCCCTGCCTGGCGCTCGGCATTAATGGGTACAACAAGGACTGGTAGGCTCGGAGTCAGTATAATGTGTCTGAGTGTGGTATTCATGCTTCACTGCGGCGTGGTATCTCAGTGGGCTAGCACTATAAAACCAGCTTAAGTCTGGGCTAGTACAAGCAGCCGCACATACACATACACACGCATGCACGTCGTCATATGAGCGAAATATTCTCAAGCACGACGTTAAACCTAATTTCACCTCACCTCACCAAACGTATTATTCCAATCGTATTATTGCAGTATTCATGAGATCTCAGGGTCAATTATCATACAGTTAACGTTACAGATATTTATACAAATAGTGCTGACATAAGCTCATACAAAGTGTAACTATAAACACGATTCTGGCAGATCTTGCGAACGGAATCCCGGCCCCTTTAACGTCAGTCTCGTTACGACAAGCAGGGCTGCTAAAGACAGATCTAACCCTGTTCTTCACGGGTAGGGTGGAGGGTCATTTATTTTTCAACAACTTTTTCAATCAGTTTCTTTTTCCGCCCTGTAATCTCTATGTCTGAACCACTAACAAGTGTCATATTCACCAAAAACCTATTCCCAGTGGTATATATCACGATACCAAACACTGACCACAAATCCTCTTGGAAACTAACATCTTTGACAACAGCAAATATCGCGTTTTGTCGGAGATTGAGAAAAGCTGCGCTTTTCTTCTTTCTGTCGACAAGAATGCCAATTTCAAATCTGATCCACGTGTGTACGTCTTTGATATTCTTGATAAGATCCGTGTCATGTTTCACGTACACGTCACGCCCCGTCGTCGTCATGACGCAGACCGTTTCATGGTCCTTGCAGTAGGAGAGGCTCAACCTCACAGCGTCCTGGTGGCCAAGGATCCTGTGAGCCTCCTTGGTCTGTTGACTCAAGGTTATCTCAAAGATGCTGTGGCCTGGCTTGAGAACATCAAGGAGTTTGACAGCTGCTTGCACTTCCCAGTACTGTGGGCTGTCCGTATAGGGACCCCAGTGGTAGCAATACCATCTTCTTGGGCTTGTCGAGGACATTTTGTTGTCTGAATAACGAATTGTGTTCTGCTTTTCTGTTCCTGTTTTCCTGTACGTCCAGGCCGAGTAATGGACCTGTCAACGAAGAAATCATCTAGTCCAGAAAGCTTTTAGAGAGAGATTTAGATAAAAAATTTCAGTCACGGACATAGCTTTAAGAAATTACAAGATACTTGGCTGAAAACACATGAAATAATTATTCAAAATTATTGCAAAGTCTGTTGTGGGATGAAATAGAAAATGTTGAGTCCCTTTTCACTTACAAAATGCGATGCGAAATACCTTTTGTGATTTCTTTTATTTCTTGTTATTTATTTGTTGTTGTTGTTTTTGTTTAACGCCGCACTCCAGCAATATTCCAGCTATTTGGTGGCGGTCTGTAAATAATCGAGTCTGGACCAGACAATCCAGTGATCAGCAGCATGAGCATCGATCTACAAAAAGTGTTTAAGTTTGACACTTTTTCCGCAAAAAAAAACAGCAGAGTATCGGGCTTGGAATCCTCCACGCGTTGCACAGATCAGTGAGGACAGCAAGTTGCATGGATATCCATGCAATCAATTAACCTCGGATTCTGACTTGTCGAAGGATTTCGTCGCCTATGTACGGCATCCCGCTGTATTTTAGTGAAAATACAAATACTGGTTTGATGCTAACAGTGGCCGTGAAGCCAGTGAGTACTCACAGAGAACTGTTCTGGATGACTCAGTGAGATATAGCTCCCTGACACCTCCATCGTTGTCCGAGGCATCTTTAAAACAAGGACAATAATTAAACACTGATACTGTGTGTAGGAACAATCTATGTGTAACATTGTGAGTATGGTGTTACGCTGCTTATTTAGTTATGTTTTTCATCAATATCACAGAGATGCGGACTCATGGAAGAATCGAACCCAGGTCGTCGGCGTGAAAGAGCGAACACTCTAACCAGTGGGCTACCCAACTGCCTTGTAACAAACTGAACCACAAGGATGAAGAGTGAAGGGGTGGATCGGATCCCAAAATAACCAGCAACTATTCACACTCGAATTACTTGCCGATTAATGTGAAAAGAGAAGTTTGAAAATATTTCGATATTTTACCATTTGGATAAAAACAAATGTTTAGGGGTTTTTAATATTTGTACATTATAACCTACAAACTGAAAGAAATCAACATTTGGCCTATTAGAAAATGTCTCTTCGTGAAAATCATCACTAATTTCTTAAATTTCGCAGGTATGTTTCCCTTTACGCCTCAAGAAATCTGTTTCGGAGGATAGTCTAGATTAGGCATTCTTTTTGTTTTGACGTTTTGTAATTAAACACTGGTAAAGAACTGAAACCACTTTCGATCTTTCAAACATAACTTTGTTTGTATATTGTCAATATGTTTAAGGATGATAGTATAACACCGCTGCTGCTGCTCTGCAGATCTGAATGGGACTGCATCACGTGACAGCTGAAACAGGCAGGACAAACAGAACACCAACAGAATCCTTAAGTTCAGGAGAACAAATTTCCTTTCCATACTCTTGATGATAAATTAACACTATCTCCTCAATACACGTTGAAGTTTTGATGTTGGTTCTTTATCACTCAATAGCAATCATTTTGACGCTGTTTTTTCTTGATATTTTTATTCACTTTCTCATCCGCAGTTTGTTGTTTATATCTGACAACACAGGAGAAAGGGAAATTGGCTCCTTAAACTGAATCCTCGACCAGAGGGAAATACCAATGACATGTCAGCTGATGGCATCTTAACCATGTTATTTCAGCCTTCCTCTTCAACTCCCCTCTTTGAAGTCCAATAAAATTCAAATTCTATCAGACCCGTGAAGGTCCAGGTTAGAACTGGTCTTCAGTAATCCATGCTTGTCGTAAGAGACGACTAACGGGATTGGGTAGATCAGGGCTCCGCTGACTTGGTGGACACATGATCATCGTATCCCAATTGTGTAGATTGATGCTCATGTTTGTTGATCACTGCTTTGTTTAGTCCGACCGCTGCCATATAGCTGGAATATCGCCGAGTGCGGGAGATTCCATGCACTTCAAACTTGGAAGTGAAACATTCTCTCGATTTACTCTTCATTTTAACATACATACCTCCCTTGGCATCATTCACTCCACCTGGCCAAAAGTGCATCACTCCATGTCTTCTCTCTAGCAGTTCAGTTCTTTCAACGGTTTCCGTCAGTCCATTCGTGTTTCTATTTTAGATACTCTTGTTGGTGTGCCTTTGGCTTTTTCCTCCTAGACCTAGGTGCGTTCGAAAGAAATAATATTGTTAACATCCTTCGATAAAGCTCATTTTGTCATTATTTGGCTTTTTCAACGCCAGAGAATAACCAGCCTCACT